CCCCGGCATCGGCATTGCCGCCAAAGTCCAGATCTGTCAAAGTCAGTCGAGGCGATCTGTCGTGCGTCTTGGTTAAGGCTCATACATGGACTGGGTATGTCTTCTGGACCGATATTGGGGAACAGGATGAGATAAACGTCTCTCCACTTATCTGCCTCGCTCATATTCTTACCCCCCTTCTTGCGGCTGCGCAGAAGCTTTTCCTGCTTCGAATCAATGCCGTACAAGTCAGGCTTGCTTTTCTTTGGACATATATCGTCCATTTGTAGGTGTTCATTACGCTCCTCGTCCGTTTCAAACGTTATCTGACAGCGTGGGCATATGATCGGTAGCATGTGGCACCTGTAGAGATGCTCTCTGGCCTTCTGTTAGAACATTTAGGCTTCATGACACAGTGGGAAAGACACATACTTGACCCTGTGAACTGTCTCCCAGCCAGGCCCCGGACATGAGCGCCACTTTGAAGTGCAATACCGTTGAGGGGTCTTCTTAAAGTAGGGACACGCGAGGCGTGAAACTTCCGTAGACGAAGAGGTCAAACGCGGCCTCTTTTGTTCATCCCCATCACCTGAGCGATCGGCTCCGTGGTCCTCGGACCGCCTCTTCGAGTTCTCCTTTGAGTGGCCTCCCTGAGTGGCGGAGGATCCACTCATGAGCCTTCCGGCTACGGCTCCCTTTCGAGTACTTTCACGTTGTCCAGCTTGTGCCTGTATCGTTGCCTCGGATGCCAAGCTGGGAGAGATGACGGAATAGAAGTACTCCATGAGACGGTCAAGCAAAATCGTCTTCCAAGCGCTTGCACTGAGCCTGTCACTCTCGTGAGATGAGAACGACGAGGAAGAACAACTGGATTCCAGTATGCTTTGCGAAGACGTGACGCATTCTGACGCAGTGTCCATCTCTTCATCACTAGCGATGCGAGCTGCATTGATTTCCGAAAGAGAATGTCGGGGTATAGTTGTGCTAGGAGGCGATGGGGTCCCAGCCGAATGATCATGATCGCCTATCGCTGGCGCCTCGCCCGGCAAAACAACTTGATGCTTAGCAGGTGTATTATCGCCGTGGCCCTCCAATATTCTTTGGTCGTGATACTCAATAACCCTCTGATAATGGAGGCTAAGATCCGCGTGTTGAGTTCCGGACTCTGTCCAACGATGACAGGAGTCTGAGGGCTGATCCTGTGTGGGTGAATGCGTGGGAGGATTATGTGCTTCAAAAAGGCCTCCGCTGCTTTTCTTATGCGCCTGATTCGGTGACCTCTCCATGTTGCACTCAACATCGAACCGTGCTCCGAGACGCTCCATGACCGCTATATGTTGCATGAGCTTCTTTTCGTCGTTGGCATCCACTGGCTTGCTCTTGTTACTGCGTGGCCCGAATACCTTATCCAACACCCTTTGGAGGCGCTGCGAGATTAGCTGGGAACTCTGTGCAGAGACCTGCCCCTTACGTTGGATTCGAGGGAAGTAAGCTGGCAAGGCTTGTACGTGCTACCATTTCCCACGCTCTTCGCGGTAAAAAGGTTCCGCCGTTCAGGGTTTACAACCTTTGAAGACTGGTTTGCGACACGGCGTTTACGCGCAGTGGAATCATTTGAGATCGGGATGCCTGAGTCTCGTGAGACGCGTGGGCGGTATCGCGGGGTACCCCATATGATCGCGTCCCAATCAGTGCACCCATCGTACGCAGGGTCGAAAGCAAGCTCATCTTGTTGAGGCGCGGTCTCTCTAGTCATCTTAAAACACGTGTTATTGGGGTACATTGTACGGAAGGATGATAAGTGCGAAGGTGAAGAACCGCAGAAGCTTCAAGCCTGCTGGCGGTTTAACGTATATGTGAGTTTCGAACTTGACGCGCCACGTAAATTGGGAATGCGCAGTTGCGCAGATTTGGAGCATACAAGAAGACTGGGGATGCGGATTGGCTGCCTCCTGAACCGCCGGTATGCAGGTGGCGGCAGATCAACCATATGTAAGGTACTTTCAACATGCCATTCTTGGCAGGCGCTTGGAATGTGCAAGCTAACTCGGGAAATGTTCCTGGGTCGTAATTGAAACTGCACCTTTCGCAACGAGGATTCACGTCCTAAGTCTCGCGTAGACAGCGACTCTCATGGATTCGGCCACGGGAAGGAAGCGAGGCTTTCGAAAGAAATCGCGGTAAATGATTCCCAAGGCCTTCACACTGCATATTGCTCTGAAGCTCGCGAGGCATCTGTTGCCATAATTATGATCGACTCTCTGAAAACTAAGGGCAGAGCGCTGCATTCTGGTACTGATCTAGCCCTAGACGGTCTATGTACGCCAATAGTGGGATAGATAGCTTGGAAACGAATCAAAATCATGGATCAAACGATATAGCTTCTGAAGTCCAACCGTCAAGTAAAATCAGATGCTGGAGCCCATTCTTGTTGTCCTGATGCGAAAGCCTCTGCAAAGAATGCGTTAATAAGGTCGGAATCTTCTCTTGGGCCGGAGTATGACGGCAACATAGGTTCCAGGCCGAACAAATCTCCATCCATGTCGCTTGATCCTTCGTAGTGATGAGATCCAAGATCTAATTGTTCCCCTGTGTACGTATTGGAGGGACAATACCCATCATCAGATTTGGTTTCTGCATTTGCTGCTTCGGCGTTGGCCGCCTGTGCCGTTGAAGTTGGATTTGCCGAGACGAAGTGATGGTATAATGAAACCTGTAGATCCCGGAAAGCGTTGATGAGGTCGCTGAATTCTCGGCTTTGATGTCCTTTCTTTCTTGGACCCAAAATTTCGTCCAGCCTATCCACAAGCTCGCCACGAATATGCGAGGGGAGATGCTGTCCTAGGAATCGTTCGTATTGTACGAAAGTCGCATGCGAATGCGCAGGGTGCGTATATATGCTCAAGTCGATATCTGAAAGTCTTAGCTTCAAAGACACAAAGCGGAAAATGGCCATGGACTAACACGGACTCGGCATATCATCAATGGATGTCCCAGGAAAGAGAATGAGGAATGTCTCACGCCATTTGTCCCCATCGTCCTTACGTTTGTCGTCCTTTACAGCTCTAATGCTCTTCTCCTTCAATGAGTCGAAGCCATCAAGATCTGGCTTGCTCCGTACTTGGCATGCCTCTGTCAAACGGAGGTGGGCTTTTCGCAAGTCGTTGTTCTTGAATTGCTCATAGCATCGTTCGCAGACAATGATCTTGTGATACCTGACAAGATGTTCCCTAGGTAGGTCCTGTTAGCGAGGTGGACGGCTAGGTAGTAGAAATTGGTCGTACTTGAGGCGATGAATGTCCCATCCTCCCTTCAGACATGTTTTGCGATGTCGTTCTGGATCCATCTTCATGTATGGACACGCCAACCTCTGCCTATCTTTATAGGCTGGTGATCCCACACATTGTCGTTTTGGTCCACCGCTACCTTCAAGATGCTCTTCATTCTGGCGATCGTGATGTTCGACAGATTGGCGCTTGATATCATCCTTCTAATTGTCTAGGTTGCTGCAGTGGCTGCTCGCTGGATTCTCTGTGTTGCTGGTGTACTGGCTGTAGTCCCTGCTGCTTTCACCTCTGTGAGAGACGGGCAGAGACAGAACGCTTGGATCAATCCCGGGAGAGACGACGAGGGCGCCACTCGATGTCACAATTGAGAGCGTTGATGGTGTTGAAGATTGTGGATCGATGATCCCTCCAGAATGAGACGCATGGGGGCCTCGGTTGAATGGCACGATACTTTCGTGGGGAGAGTGTTCCTGGACTAGACTATTGGGCAATGGCTGGATGGGCCTCGAATTGACTGATTTTTTGCCGACGTGCCTTCTTCTACGTTGGCTTGGTGAAGCCCGCCCGCCGAAATCACTCCATGTTCGTTTCCACTGTGGCAGGCCAGTGAGTGGCGCAGGGGCCGGTCGGCCGATTACTGAATGAGGTCGTTTATGCTCTGGTGTGTTGCAGAAAACTGTCTGCTTTGATGCGCCATCAATGCCTTGTCTCTGGAAGGAAGCTTTCTGGGAAATTGGGCTGTAAGAGGAGCCAGCAAATGGTGTGGCGGTGACCTCAGGAAGATTGGACAATGGAGCTTGTTGCCTTTTGAAGGCAACCTCTGCACGTTGCCCAGGTGGGGATGGGGGCATGGGATTAAGGAGCCGGTCTGGCAGATTGGTGTTGTCGTTCAAGTAGACATCGAGCATTCGTTCTTCTTCTGACATTTTGAATGACTTGCGGTATGAATCAGATGAATAATAGTGCTTCGGTTGCTTCTATCTTGACTTTCCGAGAAACGAAACTTAACAAGATCCCAACAGGAGAATCGTGTTTATGTGCTCTACACACTACAAATCTCGAATCTGCCCGACCGCGCAGATTTCCAACGGGGCAGCTGCTGGCAGGGGCGGATTGGCTGAGTACTCAGAGCTTGCATGCAGGAGAGGGACCACTAGGAGCCAAACGCCTTTGCCAAGTGATGCAGAGGGCCAAGTCCGGATTTCTTGGGAGGCCGATCTCAGATGGAGATATCAACTGGACAGAAAATCCCGAAAATGAGACTGAAGCAAAAATGAGCGACCATTGCTTCTAAATGTTGGCGGGAGTCACCATGATCGTTCCGCGAGGTACGAGCGCATCTTTCTCCATAATGTCACGCATTGTGTTTGTAGTTCGTGGCTAGATCTCCATGTATGGCGTTCGTACCGGCAGCCCGCAGGACTGGCCAGATTCATGTTCGAGTCGTTCAAATCATGTGTTGTGATGTGGGATTGCATTGAACAAGACTGCTGGAGAGACAGACGTGCTTTGGTTAGATTGTTATCGATAACAGTGGCTGTCGTCCCAAAACGGCTTAGTGAGGGGCACCCCCACCAAAAATTTCATCTTCACCGACCAGGTCTGGCCATCTGGGTGCCAGTGACGTTCTCACACTCATCAGCTCCAAGTACATTTGCGACAAGTCTGAGACCGCGGCACAAATTCACCGAGCGTATCACTCCGACGTTCAGTAGTTCGACACAGATTTTCAAAATGGGTAAGAAGAGAGAAAGAGAGGAGAAGCCTGCGGACGATGTCGCCGATAGAATGGACGAGGACTCCTCCGACGATGAGGTGAGAGATGTCATCGTTTCTTCCCGAAATAAAACTCACAAAAGCAGGACTTCGACGTCGTCAACGTCGATTTCGAGTGGTTCAACTTCGACCCCGAGGTCGACTTCCACGGCACCAAGACGCTGCTGCGCCAACTCCTCGACGTCGATGCGACGCTCTTCAACATCTCTGGCCTCGCCGATCTGATCCTGTCGCAACCCACCATCGGCTCAACCGTCAAGGTCGACAGCAAGGAAAACGACGCCTACGCTCTCATCACGGCGCTCAACATCAAGGAGCACAGCCAGAAGCCCGAGATGGCCGATCTGGCCAAGTACCTTATTCAGAAGGCGCAGACAAATGAGGCCCTGGCCCCTATCCCCAACCTCATCAACGGCGGCGCTCAGGTCGGCCTGATTCTCGGCGAGAGGCTCATCAACATGCCTTCCGAGATCGCGCCACCGATGTACCGCATGCTTGTCGATGAGATCGAGGCTGCTGTCGAGGACAAGGAGCCGTACGAGTTCACGCACTACCTGATCCTCTCCAAGACGTACCAGGAGATTGAGTCAACACTGACCGAGACGGAGAGGAAGGGCAAGAAGGCCAAGGCGGACGCCGCCATGTGGCACTTCCACCCCGAGGACGAGGTTTTCGTGAAGCACGCGACGGCACACGGCTCGTTCTCTTACACCAACGACGATCAGGCCGTCGCGGATAGCAAGCGCGCATTCCAGGAGATGGGCGTCAAGTCGCACGGTTACATGATCCTGATCGAGGCGAGCAAGTGGGAGGGCGCGGTCCAGGCGGTAGAGAAGTACATGAACCCCGGCCAATAGAGGGGATAAAAATAAAAGTCATGAATCATTTCGAGCATTTCATTTTAAAAGTCTACTCTACCGGCTCTAGTCTTTGCATCAGGTACTCTACCTCAACTTCCTTGGTCAGGGGTATCACGAAATCCTTGTACAGGGCGACCACGGAGTCGGCGTCAATCTTGGCCTGGTTCTCGGGACCCGCGCCGATGGACGGATCGGTGCCGTAGGTGAGGCACTTGAGGCGCAGGCGCTCAAGGACCTTCTTCTCGACGGCGGCGTTGGTGATGGCAGCGCCGATGCCGTCGCGGTCCTCGGCCTTGATAAGCGCGGTGTACTTTTCCGGGTCCGACTGGAACTTGCTCTCGGCAACAAACTTTCCAAAGTGTATCCTGCGCGACAGGGCCTGCAGGCAGGCAATATCGCAGGTTGCCGAGGAGCCGTAGTTCTCCTGGGACTCGCCGCGGTCCTCTCGGCCGAAATCGGGGCAGAGTGCGGGGAGGAAGGTATCCACATAGAACTTCTTGATCTTGTCGTTGACGTTGACGTCGTTGGGATGCAGGATGCGCGGGTAGTGCAGGGGTTTGAGGATCTGCTTCTGGAGGGCCTCCGGGAAGAAGGGGTACTCGTCGGGGGATTCGTAGCGGCGGATGATGGACTGCAGCTTCTCCTGCTCGCGCAGGTACCAGTCCATGAAGCTCAGCTCGCTGTTGGGGATATCCAATGCGCCGGGAACGTAGATAGTCTTGTTGAGGGCGAATTGGGCTCGTTCGATGAGGTGGAAGGTGATGGTGTCCTCAAGACGGCTGGGTTACATTGTCAGTTGTTGCCGTAGATACTGTTTGTCGGGGAGTTTGGGTTGACATACATCAACTGGTACCGGATGCGGGACAGGTCCAGCGCCTTGGAGGGGTCCGATAAGTCGATAAGGGAGTCCATCTCGTCGTCAATTGACTGGAAACCAGAAGAGATATTGTAGACCGGGCCGTGAGGATTGTTCTGGCGCAAAATTGGCGGTTGGGGGTCTGGCTGGTGAGAGAAACGCATCCGGGCTGGTTATCGTCGAGTCACAAAATCTTGGGGTAAGATTTGCTTGGAGAGGAGCCAAGGCCGATGACGCCGGCGCAAAAGGGGAAAGGTGCCAACTGAGAAAAAAAAAAAGATCTCATCTCAGCACTGCCTTCAGAGCGAACAAGGCTGTGCCAATCTCGTTGACGGGAAAAAGGACCTGCAGCACAGGCACAGGGGTCGCTTCCGGCGGGCACCAATCAGGACCCCCTGCGACATGTCAATTCCAGCAGCAGCTCGCTGTTCACTGCTCAGGAGGTCCCGTCCGGTCGCTGGAAGAAAGCCCGGACCATCCACGCCGCTCCAAGGACCAAAAGTGCGGGCGCTGCTACCTTCAGCGTCTTGAGCGTGTTTTCGAGCCTTGTGGTCGCTAATGGAAAAGCAGCTTAGCGGATTGGAGGCAGCCACGTCGGAAGCCCGCCCAGAAGTCGGAGTGTCCACCCGACCTTGAGGTGACCTGCTGGCTGGCCTTGGAACTGGCCCAGGTCCATCCAGCTGAGGGGGCACGCCGCACCAGAGACGGGAGAGGTGCACCTGCTACGTGCAGGGAGCTCTTCGGGTTTTAGCGCCTTCGTCATTCGCGGGCGCACACACGCTGGACACACACAACTGGGCCTGGGACGGTCACAACCGACCCCAACCGGGTCATTGCCGGGATCTTGTCTGGTGTGTGGATACGTAGTCGATTCTTGACCGAGACAACAAAACTTGACCTTGTCGAAAACCACCACCGACCCGGAGCTGTTTCCACAACTCTGCAACCTACACCATTTCTCCTCTCCCTCCGACCTCGACCTCATCCCCCTTGTGCCACCATTGTCGCGCGTATTGACCCGGAGAATACGTACGCATGGCGGCCTCGGATAAGGATAACGACCAGTATGGCTTCAACGACGATGCCGGAGACGACCAGTCGGTCCTGTCTGTAAGTCACGCTTGCCACTCGCGTGACCCCCCGGCGGCATCGACTTGGCCGGTATCGTGGCCTGATCCAGTGCTGATTATAATCCCCCTCAGACCCGTGGCATAGAAGCATTCGGGCGCAAGGTCACCACCACCGCGAGCCATTTGATCGGCCCTCTTTCCGAGCAGAGTGGCAACGGCCATGGCCATTACCATGGCGCCCTTGCCGAGGTCCACAAACAGCTGCGCCGCCCAAATGTCCAGCGCAGCATGTTCTCGATGGCGAAGACCACCCCGACCGACTTGGTGCGCTCAAAGCTCTCCAAGACGGAGATCCAGCATCGCGCTTTGACGTACCTTCCCGATGAGCTCCTGGCCAACATTCCCGAGGGCGACAACTCCTTTTCTCTGTTCCAGGGCTTCAAAGCTAGCTTCCCCGAATTGACGGAAGAGGGCAGGAAGCACCGGAGGCGGGTTTCGAGGGGCAGGAAGTTGCTGGACGAGACGGCACATACCCCCGGCACACCCCAAGAGCTGCAAAATCTGAAAAAGGACAAGGCGTCAATGATGCACGAGCTCGAAATGCTAGGTGTTCGTAAGAACATGGCCAGCAGCGAGATTCGTGACATTGACAACAAAATTGCGAACTTGCACGGCATGCGACGGATTATTCTGGAAAGGCTAGCGAATCTGGAGCAGGAAGAGACAATGCTGGAACACGACCGTAGGTGGAATCGCGGACAGCTTATGGTCTTTAGCTAACCCGTCACAGTTATGGACACCGAAGCTCGATTAGAAGAAGCGCAAGAGCTCTTCGACGAAGCGGAATCAATTGCTATTAACACACCTACAAAGACTGAGGAGGACCTTGCCGGCGATCAGGATGAGTCCGGTTTCATGTCGCAATCCGTCTACGAGAAGCTACCGTCCGCATCCAACACCCCGGCATCAAAACAGAAGAAGAAGGTTGTTCGTCGAAAATCTATGCCGATATTGCACGAGCATTTTGAACCGGGCACCGCCATCAGGGAAATTCGCGCCCACCAGGATACTATTACGGCTCTCGACTTTGACGCACCCTTTGGAACTATGGTTACCTCGGCTATGGACGACTCGATAAAGGTTTGGGATCTCAACGCGGGACGCTGCATCGGTTTGCTAGAGGGTCACACCGCATCCGTAAGAACGCTGCAGGTCGAAGACAACTTCTTGGTGACTGGTGGAATGGACGCTACGATTCGTCTGTGGGATCTTAGCAAGGCTCACTACGACCCTCACGGCAGCCAATTCGACGACGATGAAGATGGAATCGCATTTGAGAACCCCGACGACAGCCCGGTTGAACCTCCTGCAGGAAGCATGAGGGATTGTCCTCTTTACACCCTGCAATCACATGTTGACGAAATTACGGCCCTTCACTTCAGAAACGATATCCTTGTCTCCGGTTCAGCAGACAAAACTCTGCGGCAGTGGGATCTTGAAAACGGTCGTTGCGTGCAAACTCTCGATGTTATGTGGGCAGCAGCTCAGGCTTCTGCCAACTTTGGCAGTGACAGCTCTTGGAGGCAGACGAGTAGAGCGCCCGCGCAGACGGCCCACTTTATTGGGGCTTTGCAAGTGTTTGAGACAGCTCTGGCCTGTGGTACCGCCGATGGCATGGTTCGTCTATGGGATTTGCGAAGCGGCCAGGTTCACCGAAGCTTGGTGGGACACACTGGCCCGGTGACATGCTTGCAATTCGACGACGTTCATCTTGTGACCGGTAGCATGGACCGAAGCATTAGAGTAAGTTCTTCCATGACTGCAAAAGAGAACCCGGCTAACCAGACCAGATATGGGATCTCCGTACAGGATCCATCTACGACGCGTACGCATACGATAACGCAGTCACCAGCATGATGTTTGACGAGAGGAGGATCGTCAGCGCGGCGGGCGAGGACGTTGTGAAAGTGTACGATAAGGTAGAGGGCCGGCAGTGGGAGTGCGGCGCCGGCATTGCGGAAGCAGACGACAACAAGACGCCTGCCGTTGTAGAACGTGTACGTGTTAAGGACGGGTACCTGGTCGAGGGCCGTCAAGACGGTATTGTAGGAGTATGGACATGTTAGAGTATACAGAACCCCTTTCAGTACAGAGCGAATCAACGCAATACAACGAGATACGGCATTCTCAAAGCTTGTGATAGTGTGTAAGACCGAAAGTCGCATGAGTTGCATTTCAATTGACTTTTGCATAACCAATTCTCCTTGATGTTTTGATCGATGGGCTGAGGGGTGTAATGCTGTTGGCTGACAGTTCGTCCCATCTGGCACGAGCTCACCAGCACCTTCTTCAGACGGACCCGCTTGGCGCAACTCAAACCTATTACATCTCACCATCAACACACTCACATCACACGCTGCTTCTCATCCACAAACTCACTTTTCACAACGAGCTAGGCATCATAACTTTCATCTATGAATTGAATGGCTTCGTCGGTCCCAGGAATATGAACACCCTCAGCAACCCTGCCCTCATCAAAGAATGCACAGACCTAGCCCTCAGGATGGCGTCCTCTCGCCCAGAGGACTTTGCCGCAGGCGACAACAAGACGTTGAAGGCAGACGGCGTACACGCTCTCACCAAAGATCTTTTCGAGCGGTACAGCGAGCTCGCGCACCGCACGCTGGCCCTGGCACGCTCGCCTGCTGAAGAGGAAGCGGCGGAGATGATCCGCCTGCTCGACGAGGAGCTGGAGAGGACGTATAAGCGGTTCTACGATTTTGTGTACGCGGAGCTGCCGTTTTGTTGGAGGGTGCTGTATACGGAGCTGAGCCTGATGAAGTTTGTCGTCCTAGTCACGACGGGCGGAGCAAGCGACGATGCGGGAAAGGAAGAGCTGCTGGATGAGCTGGTCGGGGTGCTGGATAAGGCTCTCATTCTCGCTGGCGGCGCGGGGAGGAGTAGGGGCCGGAGGGTCATTGAGAGGCTGCTTTCATACCTCGATGCCCCGACACAGGGTACCGCGTGCTTGCCGGGGACGTTCCCGACTACGAAGGTCTTCACCCCGCCTGTGACGAGGCCGATCGAGGTCGTGGAGGGCATGTCCATGGCGGGGTTCCAGCGCTACCTCGACTCCGCGGGAGACCTCGGGCCGGAGCCGCTGGTGCTGAAGGGGCTGCTGACGGAGTGGCCCGCCTTGTCGAGCCGGCCGTGGGACAGCCCCGCGTACCTGATGAGCAGGACCTGCGGCGGGCGACGGCTGGTGCCCGTGGAGGTCGGGCGGAGCTACGTCGACGAGGGGTGGACGCAGGAGCTGATCCCGTTCAAGGAGTTACTGAGGCGGATCACCGGCGAGAAGGGGAAGACGACGTATCTCGCGCAGCACGAGCTCTTCACGCAGCTCCCGCACCTGCAGAACGACATCCTCACGCCGGACCGCTGCTTCACCGCCCCGCCGCCGCACCCGCTCGACCCCTCAAAGAACAAGCCGGAGCTGGATCTGCCGCTGGTGAACGCGTGGTTCGGCCCGCCGGGGACGATCACGCCGCTGCACACGGACGGGTACCATAACCTGCTCTGCCAGGTCGTCGGGGCCAAGTACCTGCGGCTGTACGCGCCGCACGACTCCGAGGCGCTGTGTCCGCGCGGGGAGGAGGAGGTGGACATGTCGAACACGAGCGGGTTTGACGTTGGCGCCGTGGAGGGGTGGGACGAGGACGCGGAGGGGCGGGACGCGATTGAGCTAGAGGAGTTCCGGGGGCTGCGGCACTGGGACTGCGTGCTTGAGAAGGGGGACGTGTTGTATATCCCGATAGGGTGGTGGCATTATGTGAGGAGTCTAAGTGTGAGTTTTAGTGTGAGTTTCTGGTGGAACGGAAATCACGTTGAGGCAGAAGGGTGAGGATTTGTTTGATGTTAAAATTCAAAGTGTCGAGGTAGATGCCCCAGCATAAACGCTATGTACAACAACGCTGTCGATCCTGTTTTTCGCTACCGTTCAAAATCAAGAAGTTCATGAAAGATACCGCGCCTTTAGCTACCGCCCGTCTCCTCCGCCTCTTGAGCGGCGACTTCAGCCGACCCCTGCGCCTGCCTTCTTGCCTTCGCGCCCGCCTTGAGCTTGTCCCATTTGTCGCGATACTTCTCCAGCGTGCGGGCCATCGTCTTGTTCTCCTTTTCCAGGGCTTCCATGCGCTCTATCGCGAGCGCGAGCTGCTCTTCGAGATCCTTGTTACGTGCTCGCAATACTGCGTCACCTGCGCCGCTGCCAGCCCCGCCGAGTCCCGATGGCGATGCGGGCGGACGCAGGCGCATGCTCTCCGCGAGAGCCATGCTGGAGCTCTGAGCGCTGGCCTCGAAGGCGTGTAGGCGCTTGCTGAGCTTGTCGAGCGTGTCTTTCAGCCACTCGTTTTCGAGGCGATGTTCCTCGGCCCGGTCGCGTTCGGAGCGGGTCCTGCCGCCTCGGCGCTTCGCACCGGGGGAGACCGGGGCTGAAGGGGTCTCGCGCGCGTCGACGAAATCGTCCTCGTCGTCTTCGATAAGGCTGCCGACGCCGTGGAGGGAGGCCTCCATACGACGCTTTTCCTTGTCGGCAAAGTTGAGAATGTTGGCGTAGGAGACCGTGTGGCCGCTCGTGGGGACGACGTAGAAGGAGTCGTTGGGGTTGTTTGCGGAGAGGGCACGAAGGGTGTTACGCGAGTAGATCTTCGAGAGGTCGGGTTCGGCCGTGGTCGCTGGCGATTTGAGTCTGTTGCGCTTGACGGGCGCTGGCTCGGGGACTTCGACTGGTTCAGGGGCGGGCGACTCTTCGGAGATCAAGGGCAGGCCGGCGAAGGCCAGGGGGGCCGAGAGACGGTTGATGATGCTGCCAAAAGTGTTGTAGAAGCGCGAGTATCCGTCGTCGCTGGCTGGAGAAGCGACCTCCTCCGTCTTCTTGGGCTCCTGGCGCTGCGGTTCGGCGTGCGTCGGCGGTATCCAAGCTGGCTTTCCTGACTGGTCCAAGACATTCTGCATCTTGGCCCTCGAACCCTCACGCCTCGCCTGCCCCTCCATGTTGCCCGGCGCCTGGTCGTTCGTAACGCTGGGCGGAATAGGCTGGCTGCGGTTCCTGCCGCCCCTGATTCCGCGCGCCGAAGCGAGGTTGCTCGCAATGGACGAGGTCATCTCGCGACTGGGGTAGCGACGAGGCTGCGTCAGGGACGGAGGGTGCTTGGCCGTCGCGGCCGGGCTGCCGGCGGTCTCTGACTTGGTTGGCGCATCGTCCGAGGCGGAGATGCTGGTCGTCTCGGAGGCCTGCGACTCTGCCTTCTCGTCGATGGTGTCGATATTGGAGGCCTGGCTTGTGCGGCGGTCGAGGGGAATCTTGAGGAGCTCAGAGAGATGTTTGTGGTGTTGTTCCAGCAGCCTCAGGGTGCGCAGCGCTTCGAGGCTGGCGGTGGAACGAGCGGCGTTTGCGAATTCTCCCGCGGCGAGGGCATGTTCGTTGATTGCGACCGTAGTCTCGGACTGGTGCGTCGCGTTGGAGGCGGCTTTGGCATGGTCATGCGCCTAGATATCATGTTAGGACAGTTCATGGAGAGACATTATGATGCGAAGGGAATGAGGCTACCTTGACCAGCGGCGACTCGTCCATGATTGGAGCCGCGACGATGTGGGTTGCCGATTGCGGTTCTTGAGATGACGGGCAAACGTTTCGATCGGGCTTGTGTGAATACTTTTCTCGTAGCGTCGCATACACGGGACTCTAAGATCCGGAGGTCACGCGCCCGCCACGGAGCATCTAAAACGGTGGCAGGGAGGTCGGTCGTTCGGTGGAGGTGCCGATGGCGGGACAGCACTACTGCTCGGTGGGTGTTCAAGCAGAGGGCGGGCTGGGATGTTGGGTGGTTGGCGGTTGCGGTCACGGAGGATTTCCCCAGAGTTTCGCTAAGAAGCTTCCACCTGTTCCCTCCCCGCTTGTTCTTTCTTGTGGTGGCAACCCCAACAGGTGTACTGCCCTGGTGGAAATGGCCCTGCTCAGTGCTGCGAGTGCTGCATGCAGGAGCGGCAAGTCATTGCCGTGTGGCCACAATGGGAGAGGGGGCCTGGAGCGGTCGGTCAATGGAAAGTGACTGAGCGCAACAGGTACAGTACGTAAGCAGGGCAGGTCGCTGCCAACCTATGACGAGCAGCAAGGTTCACCCTCCCCACGTCACCAGCAAGTCCAGAGTCAATTCTGCTGGTGACAATTTCATGATGCAGTTTTGAACCAGATTATGAGTGTTAGCCGAACAGCCATGCTGAAGCTAAGAGAGGCCGTCAATTTTCCACCGCTAGGCCGGCGCTTCCGGGGCTCGTAGTTTGACAGCGAAGACGTCGTTATGCGTACCACTGCCTCGGTTCAATATGTTCTCAATTGACATCTGTCGACTGTTCTGCTTGCTTCTTGGCCAGCAAAGCATTCAAAGTCAAACCCTGAGATATGCCTGTGCCACCACTTGACGCAACGGGCTGAACATCGGGGAAAACAAATGTGGCTGACTTTGAATCAGCCCAGCGTCAGAGCCTCTGAAGTGACGGCAGTCGCGTGCCTCTGAGTTTAGCCAGAGACATGGCAGAGACAGGTACATGCCATGCGCCTCGCCGGGCGATGGAGGATGGAAGGATTCTAACATTATCCAATGCCCGGGGGCGCGGCGTCCTGTCTGTCTCGTCACAGGAGGATCTGGCCTATCACAAGAGTCGCAGTGGCCTCCCCAAGACACTATTCGCAACCTGCAGAGCCCCTGACGTAGTTATGGGTTCCTTAGCCAGCAGGTGATCCAAACGGGGAACCCAGCGGCCACAGCAGGCCCCGATCGGGCCAGCCATCGAAACCCTCTTGGGATTTCCCATCTGCCAGACTTGCATACATCGACCATTATCGACAGGAGGGACGAGGGATAACGTGGTGAGGTGGGATGAGCGTTGGGTGCATCGCCCCGAGGCTGCCGTGAGCCGCGGATGGCCGTCGTTGAATTATCGATGGGAACCTAGGACGACGAGGATGATGCTCCGCGAGATATCAGTGTGACAGCGTGCTGCCACCTACTTATACGAATACCCGACCTAACATTCCGGCCTGTCCACTAATTAGGGTAAGTCGGCAGACCATGCAGGTGGGATGCGAGCGCACTCGGATAGAATGGAGTTCGCGAATGAGGTCAGATGCGATCCAGGCCAAGACGGAGGCGGTACATGATCTTGTTAAGGGGGTGAGAAAGCGGCGCTCTTCGAGAGATCCAACTCTAGACGATCTAGCCAAGCGAGTGCGAGAGGGATATGCTACCGAGATGGTGGAATCTGCGCAGCCGCACTCGCATTCTGGATGACCCAAGCAAGCGAAAAGAAGCTATTAAAAACAAAAATAGCAGCATCAACTTGGTCTGGCTGGGTGGAGGAAGGAATATTACCACCTGAGGGACCCATCGCAACATTGAAGTGGCGGTCGACGGCCCCAGATTCCCAATTCTTCAGGAGTCCAGGCCGCTCGTAATAATGGACCACTGCAGGTTGGAGTGCACCCAGATGCACCAGAACACCAGATCGGACGGCGAATAACAATCGACACTATTCCGTCGGGTGCAACGGCATTGTGGCACAATAACATGCAGATGTCCGTCTCTCTAGACATTATTTGATGTAGGAATTGTGACCCACTAACAGGAACTTGTACCTGCCTCCAGACGGTGACCACTTATGCTGCTCCTCCCACTTTGGGCCAAGGCGATTCTCCCGTAGGGTAGGGGCCGTTTACCCCGGCCCAGCCCGCCCGTACGAGGCATTTGCCTTCGCCTTCAGTGATGATGACGCTCGCGCAAGGAGAGAGCGCTCCGGCTTGGGTTGGCCAAGCTTCCATTGTATTCGTAGCCGTACCGTAATACCTCGAGGTGGTCTGCTGCAGCGTCCACGTCTAGACTGGGCAGGTCGCAGGCGAGCATACAAGGTGGGACCGGTCGTCTGGGCCACTGCCTTGCATTTGAACGCACCTGCCCGGGTCTCTTCCAAGGTCATTCATAGATGAAGCCGCCCGTTGCTTCTTTTTAGGAACTCGAGATCCAGAATTCGATCCATGGATCAGGAACCTTCTCGGCCGGAAACCTGAACAGCTCTGCTCTGCCTCACCCGTACCTTGCACTAATCGCCGCCTTCCTTGCACTGCAACATCACATCGAAACGACAACCTCGAATCAAACACTTCAAACACCAAACAGGACAACCCGAACCCCTACCACATCGACCTTAATTTCGTTGGAATACATTTATTTCCCTGTCGCCTCAGAGCATGATCTTCGAGCCCACTTGTCGGGTCCGGTGCGCGTATTGCTCCTGACAGCCTGTCAACTGCCAACTTCGGGACCTGCCTGCCTGTGCTGGAGTCTCTGGACCGAACCCGCAAACCCCTCGTAAAGAGTACGACATTACGGTATTTACGAACCCGGAGCTGAGGAGGAGCAGTGAGGATCAGGACCCAGATATCCAGCCTGCCGGACCAGCCAGCCAACCACGATGGACAGCACTGGGGAGAGTGGAGGGGCGTTGTCGAAATTGCTACCAAAATCCATCGCAGCCAAGCGCCGGCGCAGGAAGCAGGAAGCGCGAGAGGAAGACGCAGCAGCAGCTACGGCGCAACTGCTGCTGGGAGTTAAGGGAGAAGATGTCACGGCCCCAGCAGACTCAAGTTCGCTCTCAGCACTCTCGGCGGCACCACCACTAAAAGACGACTATTACGACGACGACGTCAGCCAGTCGTCCCATAGACGCGACAGCGGCTCCTACGTCCACGACCCCGGGCATGACATGGACAGCCTCGCAAGAGACGGCTCGACAGGCATTCCCGACCCAGACCGCGACTACAGACACAGCTACGATCGCGACTACGAACCCAGTCCCAGCGGTGCCAGCACCAACTACGCCCGCGACGACGCCAGCATGGTGTCCCTCGAGACACCCGAGGAGAAGTGAGTAGTGCGTCTGTTTCTGTCCCGTTGCTTGCTTGCTTCTTTGCGAGTTTCTTCACGAGATCTCGGGTCTCACTCTTGGCAGCCGTTGCTTGTCTGCGCATCCAATTGCTTATTCCCCTCCTCCTTGTCGTTCTTATCCTCTTTCTCCTTCTCTCAGCGCTTCAATGCCCATCTCCAATCTCCAATCTCCAATCCTTATATCCAATTCCCCCCTTCCCTGTCTGTCTGATGCAACTCCGTGCGCTGCGGCAGCTTCATGTGCTGTTCTGCACCGGACCCTTTTGCATCGGCATCCGGACGCACTGATGCCGCATTTCATCTGCCTGGCAAGGCCACGTCTCTCGCGTGGCGCATTCTAAAAAAGTCGTCGTAGAGGCTCCATCGAGTGACGAGGCGGATTGCTACGCTGTTCCGCTCTGCTGGACGAACCTACTAACGGCGCGGCGCGGCCTGGCCTCCTCTCCTCGCGTTCCCTCGCTTTCACTCCTCCCCCAAGTCCACGTCCCCCCCTAAGCTTTTAGGGGAATGGCAGGGGAGGAGAGTGGGAGAGGAGAGTGGGAGTGTGATGAGGGGAGAGCATTCAGGGAGCGATCAGTCGGCAGGTTGGGGGGCGCATCCCGGCCTTGACAGTCTGACTGGCCCGGGGTTGGGGCTGGCCGCCGCCGCCGCGCCCTTTTCCATTGCTGGACTGGAGCATGGCTGGAGCTTGGTCTCAGCTCCTCATCCACTCTCTGCGGCAATCGCCGTATGACGCTGCCCGGGGGTCCCATCAGCACACAGCACCGAGTGCACCAGCACCAGCACCAGCAAGTGAGGTGTGTGTACCAGGCCAGGCCAGTCCAGTCTCAGCAAATCGCTGTTTTCCTGACGAGTGTTCCATTTCCTTTTCAAGCGAGGGGCGGACACAGGGCCGTCCATGTTTCTCCTGCCTCCTCCGTTTCGCATCTTAACTGCTGCCTCCATCTATTACTTTACATCGCATTTCACCTCGATCGAGGCTCCTCGTCCATGATTGCACCCAACTAACTTAACCTTCTCTTCCCCCCCTTCGCTAGATCCTCCCGCCCAAATGCTATCTCGACGCATCCTTCGCAAATAGGTTACTTGACAACTTCTTCCCCGATCGTTCAGGCAACTCACTTGCCTGAACCCCAAGCGCAGATACTGGACGAACAACTGTCAGAGATCGCCTCGGCGCGATCCACATCCAACAACTCAGCCAAGCGGACGCAATCGGCCGAATCCACAGATTCGTCCCTGCGCTCCAAACGCAGCTTTACCAGTCTTGTGCCCCCCAAGAAAAACACAACACGCTCACCTTCACCCGTCGGCCGCCTTAGGGGAGTTTTCAAGTCAAAAAAGACTCCAAGTGCCACCACTAGTCCCGAGAGGAGTGCGGGCGGTGACGACACTGACACCGACCGAGACATTGGACGCGGAGTAGCCTACCGAGGGCGAGCTGCAGCTTCAACATCTGACCTCACCACCACTACAAGGTCCTTTGACTTCACCGACGCGCCACCCGTCCCACCTTTGCCGATAGTACAAGCGCCACAACCAACTCCCGCAAACAAGACGAATGCATCCTCCCGTGTAACGACGACATCTCACTCTCCTGAGCGACGCCGCTCCAGAGCCTCTACGAACAACTCTGTCAAGATCGACACCAACGTCCCCTCGACCCCGCCCCAACCCGAGAAGGGCACTCCCGTCATCGTCAACACGCCGCCGACCCCGACCGACCGCAGCGCTCCCTCCGCACACTCCTCACCGGGGCCCGGTCCGCAGCCCGCCGTTGATGCAGCTGCGACCGCCTCAGGCAACACGAATGGTGGCTCCGCCCAGGGTAACATGATTGCTCACCGTAGGGGCAGATCAAACTCTGGAAGTGTTGGGCCTAGCAAGCTCTCCCACATCACAAACGCTCCTTTGACACCCATCCCCGACGTAAACTCGGCCAGCAATCCAGGGACCCCCGCTCCAGGAGGCGGCTTTTTTTCCTCGGTATTCTCAGCCGCGCAGAACGCTGCGACCCAACTTAGTAGCGCAGTACAGAACACAGGCATCGGGCCAACGCCTCCTAAGAATAAGACGACCCAGAGACCTCCCGACATCAAGATCGAAGACCATCCCGAGGTCGAACCTCCCCTGCCGTCCCTCACAGGATCAGCCATGGAGAAGGAACCCGCCGTCAAGACCATGGGGTCTGGCGAGCTGAGCCTCAGCCAACTAGGAATAACAGATACAGGAAGCGTCGCCGGTACGCCCGTCACGTCGAAGTTCCCCGACACAACCGATTCGCGCTCTAGATCCGAATCAGCTCCCACCGATGCGGCTTACGTAGCTGCGACCCGAGACCTTGGACCAGACGACGGCCGACAGCCCTCTACGAGACCCCAATCCTTGCACGATCCGGGAAGCGGCGGCGACCGTACGCCGCCATCGAGCAGCATCAATGAAGACAGGAATTCGGGAATCCAACGGAGTGGAAGCATTCGTAGCGCCATTGGACGCCATCGTAAACGGGGAAGTTCCGCCGTGTCTGGAGGTACGGCAACTACAATTGGCGCTGCCATTGCTGCGGCTAACGCGTCTCTCGCTCATCCTCAAGCCAACGCAAGCGTCCCGAAACTCACCGGATTCGCCGTCGCAAGCAAGAAGCGCAACCGCGATTTCCACGCACTGTTCAAAAGCGTGCCCGATGACGATTACCTCATAGAAGATTACAGCTGTGCCTTGCAGCGCGAGATTTTGGCGCACGGCCGTCTATACGTATCCGAAGGTCACCTGTGCTTCAGCAGCAACATCCTCGGTTGGTCGACCACTCTCGTCATGAGCTTTGACGAGATCGTAAGCGTCGAGAAGCGGAGCACGGCCCTAGTTTTCAAGAACGGACTCATGATATCGACCTTGCATGCGAAACACATCTTTGCTAGTTTCACAAGTAGAGACTCCACCTATGACCTAATTGTCAACATCTGGAAACTTGGTCACCCGACCCTGAAGAGCTCTTTGAACGGAGTGCAGCTGGAGGGTACTGGCGGTGATAAAACGGAGAAGGTTGACGCGGATGTAGTGGCCCCGGAAGTAGAAGACGCGAGTCTGTCCGACGCAAGCGAGGAAGACAGCGAGTCAGGCGACGACGACGACGTCTACGATGAAGACGACGACAACGAAGACCTCCAGGAAGTAACACAGCCAACAGACATGAATCCCGAACCCGAGACAGAGAAGACCGTCTCACGGAAGGTATCAGGTGCAGGCGGTGCTAATGGCGCGCTTTCCGATGTCGTTAAGGACGCTGTGGGTGTACCCAGCACCAACGATGACTTCCCTGGCCCAGCCACTCATGCGCCGACGGACTGCGGAGACTCAGGCACGCATTATGAGAAGGTTGTTGGTGATGATGTCATTCCCGCGCCCATCGGCAAGGTGTACAACCTGCTCTTCGGTCCAGCATCGGTCACTTGGATGTCCAAGTGGCTCACCGTTGAGGCCAAGTGCACTGAGTTGACGATGGAGGACAAGAAGGGTTTGACGCTGGAGAACAAGTCACGCTTCTTCAGTTACATCAAGCCTTTGAACGGAGCTATTGGTCCGAGGCAAACCAAGTGTCTTGTCACTGAGACCTTGGAGAGCCTGGATTTTGAGAAGTCGATCAACCTGAACGTTGTCACTCAAACACCCGACGTCCCCAGCGGCAACATTTTCAGTGTCAAGACGAAGTATTGCCTGTCTTGGGCTGAGAACAACTCCACCCGAGTCCAGACCAACTGCACCATCGAATGGACGGGCAAGAGTTGGTTGAAGGGTAAGTCTCAAGAGAAAGTCCGAAACTACGAGTGCTCAGCTAACAAACGTCAGGCCCGATTGAGAAGGGTGCGAACGAAGGTCAGACCGCTTACTGCAAAGATCTCTTTGCCAGTCTAAAGTCGGCCGTTTCGTCGAAGGCTCGCGCTGGAGGTGCAGCAGGTGGTGCTGCCAAGGGCAAGAAGCGGGGTAAGAAGGGCAAGGCTACAGGCTCATCGACAGATGTCGAAGACGAGCAAGTCCGTCCGAAGAACGTTCCCAAGAAGGATTGGGGACCGCTGGAGCCCGTCCGTGGCATCCTGGAGCCGATCCTCGATATCGTCAAGCCGCTTATAACAGGCAACATGATGTACGGCCTCCTGGTTGGACTTTTGGTGGCTACTTGGTTCGGCTTTGGGCTGCCAGGCAGACAACCGTCGAGCGACATGCGCATGTACGGCTATCCCGACCGCCTCGCCGCGTACGATGAGATGTGGAGGCGTGAGGAGAGTGAGCTGTGGGAGTGGCTTGAGGAGCGTGTCGGATTGGAGAGGTTACATGACCCCAACATCTCGACACGCAAGAGAGCGATGGAGCCCATCACGGTAGAGGAGAGGGTAAGAGAAGATCGCATGGATGAGAGGGAGATTGAGGAAGCGATCAAAGTCACGGAGGAGAAGTTGAAGGTGTTGAAGGGGGTTATGGACAAGAAGAAGACCACAGTCGGCTGAGGAGATACCCAGGAACGGGAGGCAAAAGTGCAGCAAGTCAGGTACCGACACTACACACCGTGTTATTCTTTTTTGTTATTATTGTAGCATATTCATTAGCGCCGCCAGCGAGCAAACAGGGCTTGACTGGGATAGCATCTGCTGCGAATTCAATTTGTCTCATCACTCATCATCTGGATTATCTTCATGTAACACTGGCTGACCTTCCGCACTCGAGTGAACTTACAGCCAGACAGCAGTCGCGTCAGTCCTACTTTCTTTCTTCAGGTTCCTTCCTCATGCACCCTGGGTTGCAAGTGCCTTCCGCGGATGGCCTGCTCCTGCCTCAAGTCACTAAGACTTATTAGAGAGGAAGCAGCAACGGTTGATACGGGGCCAGGCTCCTTAGCCCTACCTTCCTCTTCACATTGTTCTCATTTAAGCCAGCACCTACCTGCAGTTTTGCTGTTTACACCTAACCACCATGTGCGAAACGATCCTTGATTAACCCAGTAGTAGCCAAGGCAGGTTGTCTAGACACAATACCTCTCTCCCCTGGACTTTTCCTCCCAAATCTTCCCTTTCTCCTCTTTTCAATTTCATTAACTGCTTCCTGCTCCAGTATTCATCGTTCTTTCAACATTCAACAACGCAGTCTCGCCTTCGATTGGACACTTCCCTGCGTCCACCACTCAGTCAGTTACATACGTCTTTAGCCAAGGGACAGGGAGCTGCCACCATGACAGGCAGTAGCCAGCCTGCACCCATGACCTCCCTCGGGGATGACGGGTACGCGCGCACCATCGACCGACTGCGCGAGATTGGCGTGGCAGATCATGTGGCGCTGCCGCAGCTTGTCGTCGTCGGCGACCAGTCTTCTGGCAAGAGCTCCGTCCTCGAGAGCGTCACGGGCTTTGCCTTCCCTCGTGCGCCAGAGCTCTGCACAAGATACGCGACACAGATCACCTGCCGCCGTGATGACTTCGAGAATGTGGTCATCAGCATCATTCCTGCCACAAACTCCAGCAACGCCCGGAAGGAGAAGCTCTTGGGTTTTCGATGCTCGACCGGCAAGAGCAAAGTCAACCTGGCTAATGCCTTCAGTGAGGTACGTGTCACGACAGCATCAGTTGTGGGATTTTCTGACACTTTCGAACACAGGCAAACAAGGTTATGGGAATTCGAGAGAAAGCCGTTTCCGGCTTTGGCGATGGAACAGCAACCTTCGCAGAAGACACGCTGAAAATCGAGATCAGTGGGCCTAATGTGAGTGTTTTTATCTCTAGAAACTCACGAGCAAGACTGAATCTCCATGCAGCAAAACCATCTGACCGTAATTGATGTGCCTGGCATCTTCAGAACGGCGACCTATGGATGGACCACGGACGAGGACATCGTCTTGGTCAAGAACATGGTCCAAAGCTATATGAAAAGCCCGAGAACCATTATTCTGGCTGTAGTCCCCTGCAATGTCGACATCGCCACCCAAGAGATCCTCACCATGGCAAAAGCATTCGACCCTGAGGGCGTCCGGACGATGGGTGTTCTCACAAAGCCTGACCTTGCAACCGAGCGAGCAACGCAACAAATTGTCTGTGAGCTCGTTGAAGGAAAGCGATTCCCACTGCGTCTCGGATACTGCGTCGTGAAGAATCGCGGTTCAGACGACAACAAGTCGACATTGGGAGAAAGAAACTCCTCTGAAAAGGTGTTCTTCTCTGTATCGCCCTGGGCGAGACTTCGATGCACCAAGAGAGTCGGCGTTGAATGCTTGAGTCTTCGACTTCGCCATCTCCTGCGGGATGTCTCAAAGAAGGAATTCAAGAACGTTGCGGTTGAAGTCGAGCGTCAGCTCTGGACCACGAGCAAGGCATTGGAAGCGATGGGCCCACCGAGAGACAGGCCTGAGAGTCAACGGCGATACTTGGGACAGCTGAGCTCAGACTTCCAGGACGTTGTCCGACGAGCCCGGGATGGCCACTACAGCGGGATGGAGATATTCGACAACAACCAACAGCTCCGACTGATTACCAACGTCGTCGCTCTTCAGGAGACCTTCAACGACACCTTTGAGAAACGCGGCCATACTAGACTTTTTGAGGGAACGCAGCGACAGCGAATCTCCGGAACCCCCCCTGTCTTGCAAATACTCGAGTCCTGTCAAGGAAGCGAGATGGAAGGCATCATGCAGGATTTGCATGGAATCTTGAGAGAGCTCAATTACGGATGCCCTGAACCTCGTACGGATTCTTTACTGGTACAGATCGAGATCGCCTTCAGAAGAACCCGTGGACCCGAGCTTGGAACGGTAAGTTTGATACTCTCTTGTGGTTCTTACCTGTTTCTCTATTACAAATGTACCCCCAACCGCCGTCGTATGACGTTGTGAATGATCTATAGATTCCCTTTCTTATGTGACTTTGGTGCTGACGCAAAGAACAGTTTGGTGGCTCTGTCCTGGGCGAGGTCTTCAGAGAGCAAGCCAGAAGTTGGGCGCCTCTGGTTCTTCAACATACCAGCCGAGCGATTGTGCTTGTTCACATGTTCATCACCCGGCTGCTTGCTCTGAAGTTTCCTGACGTCACCTTCCGCACCAACATATTCAACAGACTTCTCAAAGACAAGCTTAGAGCCGCTTACCAACGTGCAATCAACCATGTCGAGTTTCTCATTGACGTCGAGTTGAACGGCCAGCCCTACACGTTGAACCACTACTTCAACAGCAATCTCCAAGCAGCCCAGGCTTCGAGGCTCAAGCAAACACTCCAGAAGGTCATCGGCAGCAAAGAGTCCTGGATGATACCCAGGAGTCAGGGTGGTGGGTTACGGAAGAGATGCTTTCTAAGCTGACCCAAGACCGCTCGAACGCCGAACAGGTCCGGGTCGACATTCACGATATCCTGTTCAGCTACTACAAGGTTGCGCGTAAGCGCTTTATGGATGTCATCTGCCAACAGGTTGTCTTCCACTTTCTCCTCGACGCTAAAGATGGTCCTCTTCAGATCTTTTGCCCTGATCTTATCATGGGCCTCGAAGACAGCCAGCTACGACTCATTGCAGGAGAAGATTCCAGTACGAGAGAAGCGCGCGAGAATCTCACCCAAAACATTGAAGTTTTGAGAACGGCGGCGGAGGAGTTGAGGAATGGTTCCTCATGAGCGGTTGCTGGTGTACGTGTTTTTGTGTCATCTGGAAAGGATCTGTAACTTTGACCACAATGTACAGAGATGGGCGGTATGATGGCGAAGGACACCTGGATTTGCTGATGACGGACTTTGAGTATTGCTGAAAGTGAAGGGACATTAAGATGAAAGAAGACACCCTTAGTCAATAGTGTACGTGGACAATGATGATTAGCTAGACAGAGGCATTCAGTTGTTGCGAAACGCGATGTCTTGCTTTGAACACGGAAAAAGTCTTGCTTCAGGCAATCGATCTTTCCAGGATCAGCATTGGAAATTAGTTCTTATTTTGTCATTTCTATATTCTGTAGATGGAAATGCCCAGACCCTTAGCCATTCCGTGTAGCATCTCGTACAAAGCCCACGCACCGGGGTCGGGCAACTCCTGGCCAGCCGCGTCGCCGACATACGTTGCGCGTCCAAACCTCGCCTTCAGATACCTCGTAGCCTCTGCCTTCTCAGCAGCGACCTTGACGGCAGTGGCGAAGTCGGCCGTCGCAGCAAAGCTGTCAGTGAACGGGATCAGGACGTCCATGACGGTGCGGTCGCCTTCCCTCGCCGGGGTGTGCGACTTGAGCGACTCGACGGCCGTGGCTAGGGACTTGGAGTATAGCGCAGCTGATGGGGCAGCACCGGTTGCAGCGTTTGTCCTGAGGGATGAAGAGTACGCGGACAGGAGGATGCCGAGGATGGCGCCCAGGGTGCCGCCCATGTCGTCAACCGCGCCGATGGTGGACTCGAGGAAGGAGAGCAGGGAGCCGCTCTTGGCGACGCCGTTGTCGAGGTTGCGGAGGACTGACTCGCAGAGGCCCTTGACGGCCTCGCCGCAGTCGCCGTCGCCCATGACCATGTCCCACTCTGTCAGCTTCGGCTCGGCGGCGATGGCGCTTTCGCAGCCTGACCTGATGGACTTCTCGAGCAGGGCAGGGTCGACGTTGATCTGGACATCGGACTTGGCCGAGGAGGCGTTCGCGTCGGTTTGGTTTACCGTAACGTTGTTGGCCTGCTTGGCGTCGGCGGAGGGGATGATGATGTTCGGCCACGAGACGGCCGTGGTCTTGCGGTCGAGGAGGCCCAGCAACTCCGCCGCTCCTGTGCTCGACTGTCTAGCCGCGGCCGAGACGTTGACCAGCGAGATGGAGAATCCGGGGGCGTTGAGCGACGTCTCGAACGCGCCGGTGAGCGTGCGGCAGGGCGTGATGTTCCACGTCGACGCCAGCTGCGTCTGGACCTCGTCCGTCAGCGCGCCGAGCTCGAGGACCGAGAGGCCGCCGTAGTTGTTGATGAGCAGGGTGACCTCGTCGCCGGTCTCGAAGTTGACGAACGCGCGCTCGGGGTCTGACGGGTCGCAAACGAGCTTCAGCATCTTCTCAACGAGGTCCTTCACGGACGGGAAGGGGGTCAGCAGCTGCTGGGCAGGCTCGTTGTGGATGCCGGCACCGAGCGCGCAGGCGTCGGCTGCGAGGGACTGGAACTGTCTGCCGGGGACGTGGCAGTGGTCCAGTGCGGAGCCTATTGAGACGGTCTGGTCGTTTACTGCTCTGCCGATATCTACGCAGCGCTCGAAGGAGTACTTCTCGGCCGCTGCCGCAGACAGGATCTTCATGGCTGTGAACTGGTCAATATGCCGTCTTCGTGACATGGACTTCGGAACTTACTGAAAATGTGACCTGGCATTCCTCTCCTGCCTACCCTGCTACTCCTACTCCTGCCGATCGAGACATCATCTGTGGCGGGGAGAACAACGACATTGTCGGAGAGACCAGCAGCCTTTGCCCTCTCGGCGGCCAGACCAAAGTGCAGGCGGTCGCCGGTGTAATTTGTGATGAGAAGAATCGTACCAGCGGTCGAGGGCGCCAGTCTCATGGCCTCGAGGACCTGCTTCGTGCTCGGCGACGCAAAGATGTCACCGCAGGCGACGGCCGAGAGAAGACCCTCGCCGACGAACCCACTCCACGCTGGCTCGTGACCGGAGCCGCCTCCGCCGATAATGCTCACCGCCGAAGGGTCGTTCTGGGCGTTCGCGACGACGCGCTCGGCCTCGCTTAGGACGAGGTGAGGGTTCGCCGAGACGAGAGCACGGAGCGCTCTCGGGACGAGCGTGTTCGCCGCCGTGTCGGGGAAGTAGTGCTTGGTCGCCATCTTTTCGACAGGGGGTATCTTTTGCGAGGAAGAGAGGAATTGGCCAAAAAAGCAAGCAGCTCTACGCCTTTCGCCGGAGATGGCTGCAACTCCTGGATATAAGGAGCGCGCGCGTGCGAGTGGTGCTGTGCGCGGATATCGAAGTGCGTGTCATCGTTGCGAGGTCTCGCATTGCCATCCCACGATCCATCGGGAAGCAATCCATCGAAGGCTTCAACGCGCCTCGAGCCATGCCATTTCTCTGCGAATTGTCATGACTGTTCGTCTTTGGAACGTCGCGTTTGCGACTTGGATGGCTTAGTCCGCGGGTAATGACAGCCGAGTCAGCATGTGGTCGCGAGACGCGGTCTGTTGATGTGGGAGGAAAGCAGGAATGCTTCTAGAGAGAAGTGCCCTCGAGCCGCGGTCACCCAAAAAGAAGAAAAGAGGGAGGCCCTTGTCCCCGCACCACGCGAGACTTCCAAGTTCTCTGCCTTTTCTGGGGATGGTTCGTTTTCCCCGCGCGCATTCCCGATCAGAGCCTTTCCAACCCTTGACAGACCCCACAACCGAATTGAGACCACGACAGCAACCGGACAAGTGCCGACATGCCCATCTCGAAGAGTTGGGAACGAACAGAGACCGTCGGTCAAGATCCGCCGCCCTCCCACGGAAATAACCGCCGTCCACCACCTCCAGTCTCTTGTTCTCTCCAGGTCACGAGTTGAGGGGCCCCGCTCCCCCGCCCCAGAACCCGGAGACTCCACGTCGAGAATTCAGAAAGTCACCCAGCGTCGTGTACCTTACCCGCGACCTGACAACGTTGGACGCGGAGACTGAAACCGTAGATCCCCAAGTCTTGTTTCGTCAATCTCAGGCTTATCACCCGCTGAGAGCCGCGTCTCGCAGTCTTTATGCCGGCCACCTGCAGCTAACTACCTTACACTAGCGAGGGTTTCTGCACGCCTGCATTCTGCTGCTCTCCACGGTGCCTAGGTTGCCTGCATTACCGGGACACCACAAACCTGAGCGTGTCTTTCGGTCTGCCTGCTGGCCTGCCATGACCTCATGGACGGAAGACGGGATGCAGCCGCTCCTCCAAAGAAGCGCATCAGAAAGCCCCGCGGCCGCGGCTTGCGCACCAAGACGGGCTGGTAAGTTCAACTCATCAAGTCCCACCCTTGACACCTCCCCGACCCTCCTCGCTCCGAGACCAACGTGTTGATATCGGAACCTTAGCTTGACCTGCCGCGAGCGGCACAAGAAATGCGATGAAAAACAGCCGGTATGCGGCCCATGTAGCATCTCCTCCCGGAACTGTGTTTTCCCCCAGCTCTCTCAGGATGCCGCGGGCAGACAGGCGAGCCCATCTGTCTCCGTCACCGAGCCCCCACGGACGCGTTACCGCCGCGTCGTGGAGACTCAAACTCAGTCTCGCGTAGATGAGGCTACCCGCAACGACTCAACCACGGTGCCCGAGTCGGTGACCACACCCGCGTCACTCGTTACGCAGGTCACCGTCACCGCCGCGGCCGCGGCGCCTCCGGTCACCCAGCCGGCATCCGACTTCAACCCGACTCAGCCGCCGTACGTCACCCAGCCGCCCACCTCGGCGGGTCTCACCTTCGGAGATGTCAATGTGTACAGCTATTCCCCCGAGACGGTCGCATCCGAGCTGTGGACCACCGACTTGGCCTCGACCCGATGGCTCGGTCTGCTCGCTACGGACGCCGCCCAGGCCGACAGCGGCTTCTCTCTGGCTCCCAGTCCTGCGCCGGAGGATGAGGACCAGCGACGCGCCGCGACTGTGCATGGCCCGCCTGACGCGGGCAAACTCTCGTCTCGGCTGCGCGAGGTCTCGGACCCGGAGCGGAAGACTTGGCAAGCTGATCGGGCCATCACGCTGACCAACCACGAGGCCGTTCTCTTCCGGCATTTCACGGAGCGATCGTCGCGTTGGCTCGATTTCTTGGATCCTCACAAGCTCTTCTCCACTTATGCGGTGCGCTTAGCCCTGCGGAATGCAGGTCTCATGAATGCCATCTTGGCTCTGTCTGCCAAGCATCTCTCCAAGCTGGAGGGGGCGCTGTCGGGGTTGGCTCCGGCCGACGCGAGTCCTGCGCACGACTCCGGCGGGGAGTGGATACGGTACTACTATGAGACCCTCCGCTACGTCCAAGAGGCCCTGGCTTACACCAGCTACACAAATTCGGAAGAACTAAACGCCACGGCTCTCATCATCTCGGCGTATGAGATGCTGGACGAGTCTGATGGCAGAGGCAACTGGCAAAGACACCTCAAGGGCGTCTTCTGGATCCAGCGGTCTCAGGATGTCAATGGCTGTTCTGGTGGTCTGCGACAGGCCGTCTGGTGGGCCTGGCTTCGGCAAGATATTTGGGCGGCCTTTCGTGAGAAAAGACGCTGCCTAAGTTTTTGGGCGCCGTATAAAGACTACTCTGAACTAGACCAGCACGAGCTGGCCCACATGGCCATCTACTTGCTGTCGCAGGCTGTGAACTTCTGTGCAGACTCTCGTATGGCCGAGACCTCACCTCTGTCGGATGCAGCAGCAAGCAGAGTTCGCGCTGGCAACGAGCTGCTCGCGAACTTGGAGCGGTGGAGGGCATATCTGGGCAGCGAGTTCAAACCGCTTCCAACATCAACAGACCATTGCGACGTCTTTGCTCCCCTCTGGGTGCACCCACCTCAGTTCGGCGTGGCCTTGCAAGCCTACTGCTTCGCGCGGATACTCATCCTTCTCCACAGCCCAATGCCATCTGGGTTCAACGGATTTCTGAAAATGCAGAGGTCCCTTTCCGAGGCCGTCGACATGATTTGCGGCATAGCTATGGAGCTGAAAGACGAAGGCTGCCAGGTTCTGTCGGCGCAGTGCCTTTACGGGGCGGGGCTCTGCGTTCAAGAACCGGTCAAGAGAGAAAAGATTCTGTCCTTGATGGAGCAGAGCGAAGAACGGGTCGGCTGGACGCCAATGGCAACCTGGCGAGACGACCTCAGACAGGCGTGGATAGACGCTGACGTGAAGAGCCCAGATGCTACCCGTTGACGAATTGACGACGCATCATGCCGTGTAATAACATATACCCATGTCTATTTGGTATCATGATTCTCTATTATCTTATTTTCATGTTTCCAAACGCAAAAGCAAATACAAAAGTTCGGACTGATTATGCCTTGCCTGTAGATTTGCACACATCCATCTGCCATTCCGTCAGCTTCTGCGCCTCCTTAACACCCTCCTCCATCAGTGTCGTCAGGCTGAGCGTGGCCGCGTTCTTCTTGAGGTGGGCGAGGTAGTCGTCCAGAACCAGCTTGTTTACGTTGACCTTTGACACGCCGCCGCGGATGCACTGCTGCATCAGGTCCTCAGGGAAGTCGTTCGTTCCGTGGAGCACGATGCGCACTCTTCCGGCCGCCTTGGCGCGAATCTTCTCTAGCCTGCATTTCGACTTTTGTTAGCCACCGGAACCCCAAAACTGGAACCAAATAGGACAGCGAAGAGCCAGTCTCACCTGTCAAACTCCAAAACGGGACCTCTGGTACCGTACTCGCCGTGGACGTTGCCAAAAGCAGGCGCCAAAAAGTCAATCCCCGTCGCCACGAAGTCCTCCACCTGCTCCTCCGTCGTTAAAGCACCCTCTAGATCCGCGGTATCAGCAATACCGTCCTCGCCTCCCTCGATACGTCCCGGCTCCGCCTCCGTGGCGATACCGCGCGCGTGGCAGTATGCCACGAGCTCCTTCGTCTTGGCCAGGTTCTCCTCCATCTCGTAGTGGCTCATGTCGACCATAATGGAGTCAAAGGGCAGGTTGTCAGCAGCGTGGCGGATCATGGCCTCGTCCTGGGCGTGGTCGAGGTGGATCGCGACGGGGACGGAGGCGGCCTTGGCGGCGAGCGCGGCGGCGCGCACAAGGAGGCCGTCGGAGAAGGTGATGGCCCAGGGGAAGACCTGGATGATGAGCGGGCTGCGCTTCGCCTCGGCGGCGCGGATGAAGGAGAGGATGTTTTCAATGTTGTAGGCGATGGGCGCGACGACGCCGTACTGGCCCTCCTCGGCCGCCTTGAGGATCTGGTAGGTCTTGTTCTTGGTCGGGTCCCACGCCATTGTTGCGGTTGTATATGCTGGTGATTAGGAATGTGTTACTGTGTAAGCCGTGGCGTGAGGGAGAGCGATTGACAAGACGATCGAGGGCGGTTGAAAACGGTATTCACACGTAGCACGATCGAAGAAGCATCAAAGCCGCTTTCTAATATTGGACATATTACTGGCAGTTCCCATAAAGGGCACCTTTAACCACCGGACCTTTCCCATCTGGAGCTCCAAGCTACCCCTCCATCCGATCTGACCCCGCGACGATTTCCTCCCCGCGTCGCGTCTCCCTCTTTGTCATGGGCCATGGATGTGGCTTGCAATCCTCAAGCTGAATCGCGGGGGTGCGTTGGGGTGGGAGGCACGACACGCGGTCACCTCACCCGCATCCGCCCCACCGGGCCGCGATGCGCGGACTCCTGATCCCTGTCCCGACAAGGTGGGTAGCATTCTGCACCGGGGCATCATCAATGGCGCTTCGTGACGAGCATCGTGCATGTTGGAGGTGTACATCTCAGAGAGGGCGTATACCGCGTATGTCGCCATAAAGATGCGCGAGCGTAGAGAAGGGCTGTCAGAAAAGGCCAAAAAGCCTAGTCCTGACAAACTGATCTGAACAGAGCAATCCGCCAACCCAACACCTTTTCTACTCTATCCCATAAACAAACCCCCCTGTCAAAATGGCCGGTCTGCGCATTGCCCTCGGCGGCGACGAAGCCGGCTTCAACTACAAGGCCACCATCACGGCCGACCTGAACAAGGACCCGCGCGTGGCCTCCGTCGTTGACGTCGGCCCGAGCTCCGAGTCCGACAAGACGGCCTACTCGACGTACGCCATCACGGCCGCCGAGAAGGTCGCGAGCGGCGAGGTCGACCGCGCCATCCTCATCTGCGGCACCGGACTCGGCGTCGCCATCTCGGCCAACAAAGTGCCGGGCGTCCGTGCCGTGACGGCGCACGATAGCTTCTCCATCGAGAGGGCCATCAAGAGCAACAACGCGCAGGTGCTGTGCCTGGGACAGCGTGTGATTGGCATCGAGCTCGCGAGGAGGCTGGTGAGCGAGTGGCTTGGTTACGAGTTTGACCCTGTGAGTTTGCCTCCCCTTTTCTGGCATACAATGAAATATGATTCTGACAAAGGAAAGAATTCGGCTTCTGCGGCCAAGGTCAAGGTCATTGATGATTACGACGCGAAGACTACGTCGGAGGGATTCAAGGTGTCGGCTGCTGCTTGAAGGTTCTTTTGCCACAAAAGTTTAGAAATGAAGTAATGAAACAAATACTGTCAAAGTCCAATCTCTCCATTTCCTCTAGTTCTAGGTCTTACCCATAATGTCAAGGGATCATCTTGACTGCTTCTTTGGATTTGTAAAGACAAGGCCCTCACTCTCTTTTTGAGTTTCTAGGCGACAGATGAAAATGAAATGCGCCAGACGGAAAAGGGGTACGAGCAGATGGGCAAATTTTTCTCGTTTCTCGGCTTGTTCAACCTGTCATCATGTCGGAAATTAGGTACATTCAGATGTACTTCACACCTTTCGCCATTTTACTCATATCGAGGGCTTAATCTTTTTCAACTCGATTACACGTAATAGGTGTTGCTGTGGAAGTGACAAACTTCATCACAATGCCTATCAACGATCTCGATCCTTCGTAACAAGGATGAGTTGGTAAGTCTCGTGATGAAAATAATGCAGCTATATCGTCAAACTACTAGAACCTTTCTCCAGTTTCTTAGCCAAGTTCCTAGCGAAGCACATGAAGCCATTCTATTGACCCATACGGGATACCAGCAGCCGGTATCTCCGAGCACCCCTAGTGTACTTCTAAGGTGCATATGATGTTCCGTGCCTGGCAGATGACTTGAACAACCGAGGTCATGCCCTAGTCAAGTTGCCTAGAGACTATGCTAACTCTGGACCTCCGTACGACCGGCTGCTCCAGCCACACGTCCTCGCGTTTCTCATTCGAGGTGCTACGAGTTACCCCGGGCCTTCCTGGCGGACCATCTTATGCAGCTCCTCGTCTATACCGGGATACCACGCGGAAATGAAGCTGGTAGCGAGGGTGAGAGTGTAACATCCGGCTGCTCGGCTCGTTCGTAGCTGCATGCGCTGTGCGCCGTGGCCATGGACATGGGACGTGAAGATTTGACCCCTGCTTCATGGAGATCAATATCGATGGTTTTGATAACATAATATCAATGTGGCGTGAGTTTTTTTAAGTATCATCAAATTGAAGCTAGCATCAAATATGATCATCGTGGAGTCTGGACTAGGTCCTCATGATATGAACTACCAATTTGCGATGGATCCCTTCATTACAGTCTTAGCCGCCCGTTGGACCTGACTTGGAACTCCAGAGCTTCTGCACTATGAAACTAGTCTGTCTGGCTTGGGAAGTGATCTCATGAAATAAATGAATGTGGCTCGGAATTGAAGTACACGAAGAAGTTAGACTCGTCCAAGGAAAATCACAAAGTCTTTGAAAGTTAACGGCACTTTCATAGTTCACCACTCATGGCACAGTTGCAAAGCATCAGCTAAGAACACTCTAGGAATCACGATGTTGTTGTGATTTAACGAAAAATATCATTCAGTCTATTGCTTCATGTCTACGTTGAAATTTTATGCCGTTCCGCCCAAGGAAATTGGTATCACATGTTTCCCACTTTTGTTTTTCTTTTACCAAGCGCCAACAATACCCGCAATAGGGATATCAATACCAGTGGTGTAAGTAGCCGTCTCACTCAACAGGTACACGTAGGCACCTCCCAGCTCCTGGGGCAGAGCCAGGCGGGGCATACCGCCGTAGTACTTCATCTTGGTGTCCCAGTCGGGAGAGGTCTCGACGTAGTAGGTCAGAGCCGTCTTGACGAAGCCGGGGGAAATGGAGTTGACACGGATGCCGTGCTGAGCCCACTCCATTGCCAGGGTGTGCGTCATGTTGCGGATAGCACCCTTGGTGGCACCGTAAGGCGCAGAGGGGGCGGCCTTTTCATGTTTCGTCAGTTGCTTGTTCATCAATTTGGGGGAATTCATGGAATGTACTCACGCGGTTGGGTCTGTAGGAAGTCATGGAAGCAGTGAAGACGATGCTGCCCTTGCAGCCGAGTCTGATGAACGTCCTCGCGGCGGCGGTGGCACAGTTCCAGGAGCCGGTGACGTTGAGCTTGAAGAGGAAGTCAAACTGCTCAGGGGTGAAGTCCAGAGCGGGCTGGTGCTTGGTGGCCCCGGCGTTGGCGACCATGCCGTCGAAGCGGCCCTTGGCATCGACGATGGCGTTGATGGCGCTCTCGACGCTCTTGTAGTCGGTGACATCGGCCTTCTGGAAGTCGAGCTTGCCAGGGAAGCGCTTGCTCAGGGCGGCGAAGTCATCGCCGGGGGAGGAGATGTCCAAGCTGTAGACGGCAGCGGCGTCATTGACGAGGCAGACCTCGGCGATACCCAGACCGATACCCTGGTTGGCACCAGAGACTTTTCGGACTTGTTAGTTTCCTTCTTGGATATGCGTCTCTTTAGAGCGGTAAACTCACTAGCGATGACCTTGTCCTTCAGGGAAATCTTGAAGTCATGGCCCTCCTGGGGGATGGTGCTGAGGAACTGAGGGGCCTCGCCGTTGCCGTTCTGAGCCATTGTGTATGTAATTAAGGGATTTGTCTTTGACTAAGTGGTGTAGAAGAACGTTCAAACGAAGTTAAATTGGACTTGTATATCTGTTGTATATTGGTCCGTTGAAGAAGAAATAATTGTATGTGTGTACAAACCAAGCTGGATCTGAGACTGTAGCTGTGGCTTCAAACATCACGGGAAACTTTTCCGCGTCCTTAAGTATGCAGTCGGGGGTTCCTGGAGGTCGTCCGTAATCCGCAGTCGGCGGCTAAGCCCGTGGGGGCCCATCTCCCCCATCTCCGTGCATGATGCAGGACCCGAAGCCGTGATGGCCCGCGACGCGCGATTCAAGACGGCGGGGAAAAGAGAGAGAGAAAGAGATACCTCACCAGCGTTCCGCATTAGTTGCTGCAATGCCCTTTCCCAATGACGCACCGCCTGCATTGAAGTTGAGGTGGTCAGCTGAGAGGTGCGGCGTTGGTTTCTGTGTAACAGCCGCCTCTCCAAGCAAGATCCATGTCAATCAATGCAGAAGTGAAGCCCGCGAGCCGCGGGCAACTCCCGCATCACCACTTAGCCGCGGTGTTGAACGTCCACGAGACGCGGCTCTGCACCAACTCCACGCCCTTTTGATCTAGCGCAGCTCAGCCCTTCAGCTCAACCCGGGATAGGCAAAGGGGGGAAATGACTCTTGTCCACGCCGACTTCACGACCCAATTTTCCACAACCAACCTCGACACGCGGTCAAGCAAGCATTCACACCTCGTGCCATCCCCAAAACTTTGCCCAAAAAACCTGCCGCTACGACAGGACTATGACCCGGGACTCCTCCCCGGACCCCGCAAGATTCCGGAAGTTCATCTCAACCCCAGTTTCCCCCAGACTGGGGGAAGTTTACGGGAGAAATTCTACCAATTACGCCAAGCCTGCCGCCTCTGCACACCGGAAATGCTCGACTCGGGTTGTGGTGGTTCGATCAGCGCGCATAACCCAGGCATAACACTTGTCCGCACTCCATATTAATGGATGTGTGACCAATGTGCAGAGTAAGCCACACGCACATTAGCTGGGGAATGAGTGAACACGACGTAGGTACAGAGAGACAGAGACTCGTTTGTTTGTGACCAAGGCAGCAACCTCGTCGTTACGACCGCTCCTTGTATCCGACGGCGCGCGCGCGCCCACACTGCTACCTACACACACGCACACACACACACTCACCGTACGTAATACGGCACCTCGGCCGAGCCACAAGGAGCAACTCTCTCTCAACCTCCAGACCACACACCGCAACACGTCTACTTAAGAACCTTTAAGTTGCCCCAATTGGCTCTTGCTTTCCAGTCCCCTGGTTCTTCGTTGACAGATTGAACAACCCTTCTTATTTTTCCTTGTTCTAGTCGGGTCTTGCAAGTTGGTTCTCCTTCCTCAGATAATTGTAACAAGTCTGCGATTCATCTACCGGTCTCAACATCGCTGTCTGTCTCTTCTTCCGCCAAAAGCAATTTGCCCATCATGGACAAGAACGATATGACTAGCGACCAGCATGAACATGCCATCGGGAAGGACGTCGATCTGCCCGCCGTCGATTATGTCCCGGGCAGCGACGAGGAGAAGAAGCTCGTGAGGAAGATTGACATGGTAAGACGCCATCAAGACATTTGATGATTACAAGACGCTGACCCTAAGCAGTATCTCCTCCCCTTGATGTGGCTCATGTACCTTCTTTCCTACATGGACAGAACCAAGTAAGTTGCCATCCAACTCTGTGACTCTGCCTGCCGTGATGTCACCTCAAGGCTAACCCCTATTCCCCCAATCTTCAGCATCGGCAACGCCAAGATCGCCGGCATGGACAAGGACCTTGGCCTCGACTCTGGCAAATACTCGATCGCCCTCATCGTTTTCTTCATCGGATACGTCCTATTCGAAGTCCCCTCCAACATGCTCCTCACCCGCACCCGTCCCAGTCTCTACCTCCCCGGCATCATGGCGGTGTGGGGCTCGGTGACCATCGGAATGGCCTTCTGTCCAACCTACGAAGCCCTCGTTGGTTTCCGTGTTGTCATGGGTTGTAAGTAAAAACCATCGCATCAAACGTTTGCATTCTCGCCTTTTCTCATAACTCAACAAAGGCCTTGAGTCCGGTTTTGCTCCCGGTGTCCTGCTCCTCCTTTCCTCCTGGTACAAGAAGGAGGAACAGTCCAAGCGATTCGCCGTCTACATCTCCGCCGCCATCCTCTCCGGTGCTTTCGGCGGTCTCCTCGCCGGTTCCATCACCAGCGGTCTGCACGAGGTCCACGGCATCGCGGGATGGCGCTGGCTGTTCGTCGTCGAGGGCGCCGCCACCGTCGGCGCCGCCGGCATCGCCTTCTTCGTCCTCCCCGACTTCCCCGCCAACACCTCCAAGCTTAAGTTCAACGAGAGGGAGCGCGCCCTTGCTATCCGCAGACTCCAGAGCGACGAGCAGGCCCTGCGCGGCGAGGAGGAGCCCGTCCTTGGCCACTGGGCTGCCTTCAAGCTTGCCATGGTCAGCTGGAAGACATGGCTCTTTGTCGTTGGTTACATGGTAAGCCCTACTCACCACTACTCTTGGTACTTATCAACGCCGGCAAACTGACACAACCCTCCATCGCAGGCCATCGTCGGTTCCTCCACCCTGTCCTACTTCTACCCCACCCTCGTCAGCGGTCTCGGCTACACCTCGACCGCCGCCCAGTACATGACGATCCCCATTTTCGGCGTCGCCTTCGTTTGCACGGCCATCACCGGATACTTCGCCGACCAGCACAGCAAGTGGCGCGGCCTGATCCTCGGCGCCTGGATGGCCGTCGCTATGATCTGCTCCATCATCATCTGCGTCGTCTACAACTTCACGGCCCGCTACGCCCTCTTGGTCATCATGGCTTCCGGTCTGTGGGCCTCCAACGGTCTGGCCCTATCGTACGCCTCCGTCAGCTTCGGCGACATGGCCAACGAGACCCGCGCCATCTCCCTTGCGTTTGTCAACGCCATGGGTAACCTTGCCCAGATCTACGGCGCTTACCTCTTCCCCTCGAGCGATGCTCCCAAGTACCTCATGGGCTTTGGTGTCATCAGTGGATTGTGCTTCACTGGCGTGGCTTCGTACGTTGCCCTCCACATCTTCTTGAGAAAGAAGAACCCCCAGTACTAGGGGCAGAATGTATGTGTAAATACCACAGTAGGAAAGGGGAAAGGGAAAAACATCCATATTGGTTGGATGATTCGTTGTTATTTAGGTTGATACCCAATCACACGTGCGGCCATTGAGTATGGCTAGATCGATTAACACCTTGCTGCTACTATGACTTTGACGTGTTCCCCTGGATGTCTCCAGTTTGTTGAAGCTGGCCTGTATAAGTCGTAGAACTGTCATCCGACACTGCTCTGACAATAGTGTCCGCTGCCTAGGCAGAGTGTGGCATGCAGTATAAACTGGAGATGTGCCTGCTCTATTGATCATCATTTTTAGCTTACAACTAGTACTTACTTGGCTGCTTCGTCAAAAATTCGCTTTCTAGCTATTCTCTGTCTCGTTCTAGTGGAAGATGAGCATTCCTCGCTGCGGGGAGGAGTACTGTTACAACACTAGACTGCTCCTTAGATACCTAGCTCAAAGTCCGAGATGTTTCTCAAATCGTCAAAGACGTGCTTTGCACGCGATGCTCACGGCCAACAGGCAGACAGACACCTTTGCTCTTGCCAGTCTCGAAGATTCGCTCCTTCTTTCACTAAACATCTTTTCTACGCCTGTTTCTAATTCTTCCATCTTGACCCCTCCGTACCTACTTCGTCGCTATATTCGGCCTCTTCCAGATTTTAAAGAAGGATTTATCCAAGATCAAACTTGGCCACCAACTTGCAAACATCCTCGCGTTGATCCTTCTCTGATAGCGCATCGTTGCCAGCGACCTTTTTTGACGACAAGTCTCACCACAGCCATGGCCTTCCAAGCAGACATATCTGCCACAGAGCAACCCAAAGATCCCATGATACTTGCCTCCTACGACGACCTTACCGATCACGAAAAGCGCAGTTGCGACCCCATCATCACCCACATCCTTACTATCAACCGGACAGGCAAGGTCCTTGACGATTCAACTCGCGCAGCCTTCTGGGAAGCCGTCTTCCATCGCTGGACAACGTCTCCTGCCGCACACAACTACCTCCCTCGCCCTCGTCCTCAACAAGATAATGGCACTCCAGTAGCGACCCTTATCCGCGACGTACCTTCCCAAGAAGGCTCAAAGAAACATGTCATCGCCGAGAACGAGCCACCACCTGCATCCTCAATTCCAAAAGAGCGTCGCCAAGGTGCGACTGTCTGGCTTCAGCCCCTTCCCAACTTCGTCGCGAACCAGATCAAATATAAGTGGACAGACAGCAACAACAAGAACATCGGCGGGGCAAAGGCAATGACACTTACGTATAAAACGTTGCAAGAGGCTAAAGTTGAGGCGATCATCAAACGCGACCAGAAGGAACTCGACAGGGTGGGCCGCCTTAACATCGACGTCGCCGTCTACTACGCCCGGGAACAGCTCCTCAACCATCTCAAGCTGAACCGTCGCGACGGAAGTCGAAAGGGCCACAAACGCTGCAAGGCTTGCAAGATGCGCGAGGTGTCGGGCATGAAGGAGTTTCAAGAGATCCGCCTCTGCGGGGACTTTATTGCGGCTCACCAGGATCTCTCGGCTGGGTACTTTGCGCACGAGAAGCAGCCTCTTGTCGGCCCATATTTCATGTAGTCGTGTCTGCAGGACAGGGAGAGCGGTCTGCTGGGTACATATCGAGGAGGTTGGAAAGGAGACACAACCCTAGCGTTGGCGTTGACTTTGTTATGGGAAATAGAATTCATCTTGAAAACAGTTCCGGCTTCTCGTTTCAAGAGCTTCACGATGCCAGTGATTACTGATTCTTCAAATAACTTCGTCTAATGATTTAAATCGCTGTCTGGGCGCGCCCAAGCCGGGGAAAGCATGTCATGACATTTCCCACCGGCTGCAATCAAAAACCAGGTAGCCTAGCAATGGCCATGTTACACCTCCGAGACCTTCTTACCATTGACAGAATGCTCATCTTCAACACACTGATCCTTGAAGCCTCCCATGCCCACGAGTGCGTCCCCGACGCACTTGGGGCTAGTTTTCGCCGGCACTATCGCCGAAAAGATCCAGGAAGCACCCACCTCCTTCGGTCTAGGCTCAGAAAATTTGGTGTTGAACCGGTAGTAATCGTTATAGAACCACTGAAACATCGAGTCAGATATACCGGCGTCGCCGCTACACTTGATAATCGCTGAGGAGAGTTTGTCTCCGTCAGATGCAAGCTTGTCATCGCGGAATCCGCCGCCACGAATAAACACCTTGAGCTTCCTCTGATCTTGGAACCAAGCGAAGCTACACGAGTTCCAGACCCGATCCTGCTGGACCTTCTGGATCCTTTCCTTGTCAAGGGCCACGCCGGGTGCGGCATACGCTGGGTCCTGCTTCTCCATGGCCAGCGGCTCACGCGTGCTGCAGTTCGTGTGGACGAAGATGGTGATGCCATCGGGTACCTCCTTGCCGCTGGTTTTGTCTTTGATGTTCCAGAGCTGGTCGACGCAGTAGTTCATTTTGTGGTTGGCACCGTCTTTCTTGGACGTGCTGCAAGACGTTCCTGTTTTCCAAACGGACTCAGATAAGGTTCCGCTGGAAGAAGACATGTTTTAGTCTAGACACATATTGGAGATACCCGCTCAAAAGACTGACCATGTGATCTTCTTGACGGGAATGAAAGTGAAGTAGCCGCACTGGCCCTCTTTCATGTCGAGAGACCAGTTTTGGCCTTGCGCATAAAACTCCAGATCAGTCTTCGAACCGTACCCACCAGATATTCCAACCTCTAAAGCCTGGTCTAGGTTGGAACCGGACTTCTTCCAACTGCCGAGTGGCACCTTATCGTTTGTGGTGAGGTTGCAGGCCAGGGGGTAATGGCATTTCGTGTAAGCGAATGGCTGCTCGCGACTCCATTCGAAGTAGGTGCCTAGCAAATTGAACCCTCTGTTACTGGATAGTTTCAATGATTGCAACAGCCGTTCTTAGAAACAAACTTACGAATTTGGCAGAAGCTCATACATTTAACCTGGGTGCCTTTACCGTTATATACCTTGTCCCAACTCTGACACGAACCGTCGGATTGCAATTTGAGCGTGGGCTTGCAGTCGGCGTCTCCATACTGCCGATAGAGATCAGCAGGTTTGTCCCTGTCTTCGCACGGATTTGAGGCACGCTTTTCGAGGAAGGAAGTCTTGTTCGAAAGGAAGGCCGCGCGCTCTTCTGGCCCGATGGTCCATAAGGGAGGGTCGGATGGGTCCCAGTCGAACTTGACGGATGCGGCCTGAGCTTGTGTATCGGGTGTCCTTGGCAAAGGGAGAAGAGTGATGAAGAATACTATAAAACAACAGGTGATTCCCTTCAAGGCGATAGCTTTTGATGTGACGGTAGCCCCGCAAAGGGTTGCTTGAAGACTGGCCGCTACCATTTCCGATGTTTGGTAGGTGGACGTTGGACGAACACACGACTTGATCGCAAGTCGGCATGGCTGGAAGCTTTGATACTTATACCGGTAACCCGGACAAAAGGAGAGTTTGTAGATGCCGTCATTTCATATTTTAAGAGCAGAACTAGAGACCAAGACCAAGAAACATGTGTGTTCTTCCTAGCAATTGCATGATCGATCGCCCGACTTTTGGGGTACATGCTGCAGTAGAACTAACATAGGGGCTGAGTGGAAGCAAGGGGCTAATGCGCATGTCCAACTGAGAAGTAGACACAAATCCAGTGACGTTGCGTCGTCGTAGGTTGCACTTCCAACAACAAGTCATCATTGGCGAGGTGTAAGGCGGGGTTTGGGCTTTTTTTTGTTAGATGCCAAGCCACGGTGAGCATGTTCTAAATCAAGATACATGCAGCCGAGATACAGAGCTAGAATTGGGACAGAGTGATGGAAACTTGTAAGTCTTGGCGTCGTACCGGGAAAGCTTGATGAAGGCGGAGGACAGCCGCTGTGTTTGTCTTGACTAGTGGTACAATAAGAATGTTGTGCCACACACGTGGACGTTGTTTTCTTTGAAAATCATCTTGCCGGCACACTCTTATGTCTAGGATCTCTTTCATTTGATCCGAGGCATGTATATAAGAACCCATCAGATCCATGCATCTACCGTTGGCAAGACCGGATAGCAGACCATCATAACGAGGTGCGTCATTCAGTATCATTGAGGATGGCCAGTTACAATTTCAGCCACTCGTATCATCATGACAATGATTTTCATGATATCTTTGAATAGAGCAGGCTATTCTCATTGCCAGTGTCTGCCGCCAGGTTCGGGACCGGAATCGGGGTTATCCCGTGCTCGGGTTCGGTGCCGGACATGGGCCCAGCCGTTGGGCCTGCCGATCGCCCTGTGCCGGCCAAGTCTGGATCCACATGAAGTTGGAGAAATCTTCGTCGATAGGAGGATGAATCGTTGCCCCTTGATCCTCTGTGATATCCAAATTCCGAGATTTTCTTTATTTTACAAAGATGTGACCGGCATATCGGATGCACGATGAGCGACGAAATAAAGATTGCGCGGTGTCGACACGAAGTTGCGTTCTCAACTACCTTTTCTGTAAACTTAGACGCGCTCTTGAGCACTACTTTCGGTTTAGCGCACGCCAAGACTGGACCTGTGAAAGGTTCCTTCACCATGGCCCCTGCTTGCACCCCCGACTTATCAGATTGCGACCCCTCTTTCGACAATCTATGCTACGGCAGCAATGAGAAAATGAGTAAACAATCTCTTAGATATCCGGCTTGGCCAACGCTGGGGTCTACTACGCCTAGCGAGACCGGAAACTGAAAGGGGAAGCCAATCTACATATTTATATATCACATCCGAGACTGCCATCCTCTTCTTCCATCAACTTAAGCAATCGTTGCGTTTCTCGATACCGTCGTCGTGATGATTTGGTCTCGAATCAACTTCGTCGCCCTCTTCGGCTTGGTTGGCCTCGCGAAGGCAGATACTACCTTCTTCAACGAGTCGACTGCCATTCCCAAGTTCCACCTCACACTGACGCCGAGTCTGGTTCAGGATGACTATCGCCTTCGTGGGAAAATCGTTTTAAGCAGGGCATGCGGTAGCAATGAGACGCTGGTAGTGTTGCCTAAGACCATCGCGAGCGTAGCATCTGCGCAATATGGTGCCAACGGCTTGACAGCATCCGATAAGGAAGGAGCCCTGCCTCTCGACTTTCAGGAGGTAGCTCAAGGTCCCTTCGGATTACCAACTCAACAATGGACACCTAAAAGAGCCACAGAAGGCCCAGTATCAATCGAATTCACGGCAAAGCCTGCTTCTGTCAACGTCAGTGCTCTTCCGGGGCCTCATTTCGATATTAGGAACGCCACCGGTGGTCTCACTGGCTCGATGTGGGCTTTGGTACCAGTTCCAAATCCTCTGTCGGGTGATAATTACAATATCACCGTTTCTTGGAACATCTCGGCCGAGCAGGACGCTGCATATACCTGGGCTGACGGTGTAGGACCCCACAGTCACAACTTCGTCGGGCCTTTAACACGACTGACCCAGACTTATTTTATCGTCGGCGATGTCAAGGGCTATCCGAGCATGCCAACCGGCCCTGACGGCAAATTTGGGATCTACTGGCTTGAGAAGACGCCTTTCGATATCGAACAGGTTGGCCAGTACCTCCAAAACTTGTTGTCTTACTCGACCAAATTCTGGCAAGACAACTCCACGGACCCATACCGCGTTTTCATTCGCATCAACGAAGAACAGCGTGCTGGGTCCGTCGGGACCGGCGCTGGCGGTACTGCCTTGCTGAGGTCCTTCTTATTTGGATACAACCGGGATGCAGGGCTGGTGCAGGACAGAGTCATCACGCTGTTGGCGCACGAGATGACACACAACTGGACCCCGTGGTCCAGCGGAACCAATGCCGAACAGTCTCGGTACAACGAAGGAGGGGCCGAGTTCTGGTCCTTGAGGCTTCTTTGGCGTGCCGGTATGCTCAATACGGACCAGTATCTCAACGAGATGAATACCAGAGCGGTCGACTATTACACCAACCCGACAGTGAATTTCACCGACAAGAAAGCCCAGGATGTTGCATGGGAGATTCGCGACGCCCAAAGAATTCCATATGGCCGAGGCATGCTTCACTTCGCCAACATTGATGCTCAGATGAGAGCCAAATACAACGGAACCCAGAAACTTGACAATCTTGCGATCCCCTTCTTGCATACTTGCCAGCAAAGCGGCAACTGTGGCGCAGAGGAATGGTTCCCTTTACTTAAATCATCTTTGGGACAGGAAGCCGTCGATGATTGGAACAAAGTATCTTCAGGACAACCACTTATAAAACCTGTCGAGGGTAGCTTGGGCCCTTGTTTCGAGGTCGCGCAGAATGGGACCAGCCCTGTGGTCTACGTCTGGAAAGTCAAAGAGGGGTTGAAAACGTCTAATTCAGACTGCTTGATATAGTGAATATTTGGTTATGAGATCTGGGAAGCCTGGTTTAGTCGCAACAATAGTGTATTTTCACCTTGCCCAGCGTCTTTGTCTGATCCTGGGCGCTCGCGCTCCTTCTATTTCAGGTGAATTTGGTCAGAGGTGTGCAGCCTTGTTCACGTTCAGGTTGAAAATTGCTTAGGTCAACCCACCTTTCTAGACGGAGGAAAAGAGACCATTCACTCAGTCTTTCATTCTCACTCTCAAGCGAAGAGTCTGACTATTGATTCTCACCTTCACATCGCGCAAGGACTTTCCCATTCACATCACAAAACAATCTTCAAATCAACTTGGGCCCTAAATCTGCGCTGCATCTGCGCTCATTATCAGCTGTCACCTTCCCTGGCTACCGTCCCTATTAATTACCTCCGTCTCCGACTACTCTCGTCTTTGGCCGTCTCCGCCTCTGGTGTCCCCGTCTTTGGTCACTACTGCCTTTGGTCGCTTTGGCCGTCTGCATATTCCTAGGTTTGTTCGACTGGGATACTTCAAAACGAAAAAAGCTAACGAAGAATAACTAGGCACCATGGCTGTCTTCTCTCGCATCGCCGACCTGCCCAAGGCACAGCAAAAGCTCAGCGACGATCTCCTTGCGGTCCTCGCCCAGCGCAACTACCAAGCCGACCCTCCCACCCTCCAGGAGATGCGCAAGACCCTCTGGGAGAAGGTGTTCTCTGGTGGCTGGTCCACCGAGGCCAATAACGAGAGCCCGGGCCTGCCTCGCAAACGCACCAGTGAAGAGACCGCCCTCTATATCGGCACCTTGAACGAGGACGTGCCGATCAAATCCAAAGGAAACGTTGTCCCGGACTACCGTCGCGCTCGGCAGCCTGTCATGTTCAAGGCATCTTTCCAATTCGGCGGAAAGCTTGCTTTCTACTGGGTCGACGCCCATTTCCAGAAGGTTCCTGCTGAATCTGTCGACATCGATGGCAATATGTCGTATGCGGACATCAAGGGAATGGTAGCGTCACACTATGATGCTAATGAGGTCGACCGAGTTGGAGAATGGAACTGGGAGAAGGTGGTCCACTGGACCCGTCATCGTGTCACGATTGTCGCTCGCCGCACCAACGCTGGCGTAGGCGTAATTGGCGTCCGACCCAGACCCCTCCCCGACATCGAGGAAGACTTGGGAGAACTCCAGCAGATTAGACTTGCGGAGCCGTGCTTGCGTGATGAGGAGGAGGAGGAAGAGTAGAGGCGGTGTCTTTGGACTTCTCTCTTGGGTTCTGGCTTTGGTTTTGTCCTGTTCTGGCTGCGTCACATACATACATTATATCCATAATAGGCCGACGAACGCGATCACAATCCGCGCATTTCCAGATACTGTTGCTACAGGTGACACCTCGCCCATTTCCACCAGCACTTGATCCAACCTGCTACTCTATTTTCCAAATTATAGTCAGAGGAAACTTATTAATTCGATGGACTTGGGCTGCCGGTTTGCAGCCTTATGGTAGTGACTTGGTCTCGCTTCAGAAGTTCAGTCGTGTTGCTCGCAAGACAGCACAGATACTATCACATTTCGTGGCTTAGGAAATGAACGAAACCAGATTTGAACAGCCTTTTCGACATTTTTCATATCCCTTAAGCGAACAATCCTCATTGTCCAAGATGACAGCGAAAGCAATGGAGGAGGCCAATAACAAGAGAAAAGCCGCCTTTATCTAGCGGACTCACGTTCAAAATATCGTCGCTGACGGGATTTGAAAATTGAAGAACAGCTCGGCTGCTGTTAGCATTGTCATACTCAATTGGTCAAAATGGTTTTATCGCAGCCACCAAAAAGGCCTGATGCCTTGACCCGAAGGTTTGTCGGTCTGGCGCCCAGGACGATATCATCACTAGCCCGTGCTACTGACGTACCGAACATTTGGATGATGCAAAGAAGCCTCTCAAACTTACTTATCATACAGATAGTATTCACCACTTGAAGACTGCGTGCTAGGCCATCATAACGTGGAATAACATGAGAGTCACGCAAAAACATTCACTAGATAGACTGACTGCATATTACGATCTCCGGAACTATATAAGTCCTCCTCTCTCCCGAAACTGCCGGTCTTTCTCTTCCTGTATTATCGGAGACCGTCGAAAAACAATAGAGCCCACCAACGACGCACTCCAAACGACAATTCATCGCCGAGAGGAAACCTTGCAATCAGACACGATGCCCTTAGGACGCCGAATTTCCTGGAGCGGAGAGTTTCCCGAGGAATTCCGTTTCCTTCGCATTGGCAGGAGAAATTCAACAGCGAATCCTCGCGACAATCGTGGGTGCCAGAGAGTAATCACTTACAAGTCGTTTGATGATGTTCCTACCCGAGAGGTCACGGCCTGCGGCGATGTATGGGAGAAACTTGGAGAGACCCTCGGACCTCAATTCGAGTTTGAGCCTGTCGACATCAACGGTCTCTGGGACCTGGTTTTTGAAGATGGCTGGACAACTGCCGACTCCGCCGGCAAGCGTCCCGAGCCTGCTCCTCGCGACGATTCAAAGTTGATCGTCCATGTTGGAAAGTGGATGACAGACCTTCCGAAGGCTTCGGTACGTTGTATTGTCCTCTCGCGATATTGATCTAACTTCCGGGATAGGACGACATGCCCGACATTGAGGCACGTCGCAAGTGGCGTGCCGCCTACGTCAAATACATGTGCACCTCTGATGATCACATATTTGGCTCGACTTTCACATTCTGCGACAGGCACGGTCAGGAGGGCCCTCAATCCGCCATTCACTTCCTTGGTGAAAACTCCAACTACTTTGGCAGGGCTGTCGCGAGATTTGAGCAACACGAGATGGACCGCCTCAAGACCTTCAATGAGGATCTTGCCGTGTACATCGTGAGACGCCGGTTGCAGCTATGGAGCCAAGATGGATTCAAGCACCCTTACGCAGATCCTCACGGTCGCGACGATGAGGAGCTCCAATTCTATGTCTCCGATCCGCAGGACATGCAAGCCTTTAGGGAGATGGCTCGTCCTATGGCAATTCTCCATATGATGGCCGAGGCATTGACGGAATACAACGAGGAGAAGATGGAAGATCGCTGGGACAGAAGAAGATATTGATGGGAATGACGATGAAGTTATGGGGGGATTTAATACTATCCGGGGTTGCGTGCGACAGCCGTATTGCAAGTTGCGACACCTCGCAGATAGGTTTCGGGGTCTGATCACCCAGCAAGTCTAGTTAATACACATTCATCAAATGAAGCGCCAGGATGATTGGGGACCTATTTGACGCAATTATTCCCGCTTAGGTATGGACGGAAAAGATTTCGCCAGGAGATTGCGGTCCAAGAAAGGCGCGCCATGGGTTTGGTTCGCGTGAAGGTGAAGCAAATCGTCCCATCTCCACAACCTCCACTCCAAACAAGTTTCCGCAACTCCAACTCTGAGCTGGCCGAGAATGGCGCTAACCCGATATGGGCATTATTCTGAGAAAACTGAAGCAACAGGGATTCTGTGTAGTCGACCTCTTCCCCGGTCCATCTTATCTCCCCAACATGGACACACATGTCACTTATCTTTGGTTGGGCAGCCCCATGTGAAGCAGGTTCCTGCTGGACAACCCTTCACATAGCTAAACTCAAAAAAGGCAATATCCTGAGATTCTAGGGCACATGTGTGTCATGGATGACCTAGGTCGTCTTCAGATGTATTCAGGTGGTCGATATAAAGACTCTTCGTGAGACGGGCAGAACTTTTGCGTAACCAAGACTTCATCTTTTACTGTCTCCATAATGCCGTCAGCCAATATACCCAATATCACACCGCCCTTGGCGCGCTACGACGCCACTGACTCCTCAACCACACCCGAGAAGTTGGTCGAGATCATCAACCGTGATGGTGGGGTTATTGTCGAGAAGCTTATCACCCGCGAACTCGCGGAGTCCATCAAAAAGGATCTGAAGCCTTACTTCGATGAAGATATCCCTGATAAATATGGCTTCTTTCCACCTACAACCCAGAGAGCCTCCGGACTGCTAGCAATCTCGGATAATTGCATCGAACTCGCCTGCAACAAACTTTACACTGATGTTGCAAATCTCATGGTTTCTTCGTCTTACACTTTCTGGAGGGGTGACCACCAGAAGACCGTGAGCGGGAAGCCTATCATCTCCTCGACCGTCGGCTTCCGAGTCAACCCGGGTGGCAAGCGTCAGGTCTTGCACCGCGACGATAAGTAAGTCTAAGGAGGAGGGTCGTTAGGTTGAGATGACTAGCTCACAAGTATCCAGCGACTATCATCCTCACGATAAGAAGTTGCCCGTGATGATTGGTTGCGTGACTGCGTTGACCAAGACGACGGCCGCGAATGGTGCTACTGTGATCATTCCGGGGTCTCATCTTTGGGGACCTGAGCGGCGGCCGTTTGACGATGAAACTGTTCCCGCGGAGCTTGAGCCCGGTGATGCGTGCATCTTTCTAGGGAACACTTATCATGCGGGCGGTGGCAATATTACCAAGTGCGTTCTCTTGTCGGCCATTTACTTGAAGAAAGCCATCCGGAGTTGAATCGCTGACATTCGCAGGGATGAGTACCGAGAAACGGTGGGAATATTTCTATGTCAGCCAACGTTGCGTCCGGCTGAGAACCAATTCCTCATGGTACCGTTGGAGAAAGTGAGGAAGATGAAGCCCCAGGCCCAGAGACTTCTTGGATATGGGTTGTGTGAACCAGGTGTGGGCTTCATGAAGTACCAGGATCCGATGAGAGTGTTGTTTGGGGTTGAGGATGAAGAGACCGTCGACTTTTGAACTTCTTGTTGCATGTAGTGGCCTCTGTTTCATATGTAGGATATGAGAAGAATAGGAGAGCCAAATAAAACTAGTGATCCTCAAACGACGAGTATCCTCTTTCCGGACGCTTCTCTTGCCCGGGCAAGCGGTCGCCAATCGGCATCTGAACCAGTCCAGAATTCTTCTAGGAAGTTGACCGCATCTCTGTAATGATTAAATCGAGTAGCCTGATGAATCGCGGTGAACAAAGATAGTATTGTTTTCTGTCGTTCTTTGTTTCCATGACATGCTGTGCCAGCAATGAAAGTTGGCCAAGCAAGATTCTGTACGAATGCCGTTTGATCCTCAAATCCTGTGAGCTGATCAAAGAGATTATTGCATGCTGTTGTTCGCTCGGAGCCGTCTTCATGTACACATTCCAGACATTGAAACGAGTACACGAGTCCTGCGTTGTGATAAACCTCTACCAGACGAACGAAGTCGCGGGTCATCCTTGACCCATTGAGGCCGAGCCGGCCAGCTGCCATCAAGGTGGACCCTCGAGCTTGCTCGAACTCCGATCGGATCATATTCGTGGTCCGTGAGTGCGGCGGGAATTCATTGGAGGAACCGGTCTCGACAACCTCAACCGAAGCGAGTGTAACTCGGTGTAAGAATGTGAGATACCTCGAGAAGAGCAAAGAGTCTGATCCCGGTACGGGCTTGATTGCGTCGTTAATCAAACATCGATCAAATGAAGTGCTTGCCGTCGTCACATCGTCGATGGCCAGCTGATTACGCAGAAAGGAGAAGAGTTGTCGTTCTTCAATAGCGCTTGAGCTGTTGAATAGGTTGACGATGGTGCGAGCAGCTTTTCTGTGCTCGTCGGCTACCTCGGGACAGCATCGGTCGTAATTGGTCATGATGAGGATGGACGCAAGCATCCACTCAGCATCAGTAGCATCGGAATGATCGTCTAGCTCCAACCCTTTCATGAGCTTATCCGTCATTTGCTCGGCCCGAAGTTTGATCAGTTGCAGGCACTTATCCCGGGCATCCTCCGCCATCGCTGCGATGGCTTTGTTGGAGCAGCTCATAGAACCGTGCTGAGCCACGAATGCCAGGATAGCAAAGCCGATGGCAGGCTGGTGTTCGGCGAGAGGGATGACTTGTTTCCGGTAGTCGTTTTCTTCAGAGTCCAACCAAACCATGAAGCCAACTAGGTTTCGACGGTAATACTCCATGAACCTCGCGCCCGTAGCGAAAGATTCCGTGCTCGGCGAAGCGGCCAATTCGAATATTGTCAACCCCGATGTAGGTACTAACGCTTGAATAGTCGGGATATCAGTTACCAGTTCAGCATCCTTTGGAGGATTCCCTGAGGCTGTCGGCATTTTTGGAGACCCCGGAGGGGAAGCCCGGGTTGGAACCGGTCGGCCTCGAAGATGGCCCCTCGCTGCAACGCCGTTGATCCATCGAAACGGGCGAGTGTAGCCTGGACATTCTAAGCCTTTCTTGTAGCATTTATGGCAAGTTGGCTTCTGAAGATCGCAACGAATCCGACGTCGCTCACATGTCGCACAGCCTGAAGGCGATCAGTCTCTGATGCTTGATGGTCGTTAGGAAGTGACGATGACGCGCACACCTTTGTCAAATTTCAGCTGTGCGCCTGAGTCCTTCCGGACGTCCTGCCTTCCTCGTCCTGACATCCCGATACATGCATGCTGACCGTGCTGGTTGATGATATGGTAGGTAGCCCGCTCTCCGGGCTCTGTGATGTGTGAGAAACTTTCTTGATGCGGGGCCGTGGCCCAGTGTCCCCATCAAGCTTTCCGCACAATCGTCCGGTCTCCACTCGGCTTCCGGCCCGGCTGACTCGTTATGGCGTTGGTTGAAGATTCTCTAAGCACAACTTATCACTATTTAGACCAGTTTTGACTCTTCTGGCTACGTGAAGGTTCGGAAATAAGCTCGTCTTATTCTTTGCTATCACAATTTTGATCCTTCGGACTTATCGTCTACCTCTTCCATTGGCGCACTTAGCCTGCGCTTCCGCGGGGTCAGGATTACTAGGCCGGGCGGCTTGGGTCGGTTCTGCAACTGCGCGAATCATTTTAGCTCCATTTCATTGTTGCCTAATCTTACCTGCCTCACGTTTCTCATCAACTCCAGAAGTTCATCTTTTCGCCAGGCTTCACACGCGGGGTTTTGCGGCACAAGCACTCCACCAAGCAAAGGCACACCTTGACGCATCATCCTCACCTTGAGGTGATATCTCTGCATGATGGAGCAAGAATGCATCAAGAAAGCCACTATCTCCCCGCATTGGCTTTCTAATGAGAGCTCCTTTTGGTATCGCCGGTATCTGTCTTCGGGGAAATTCGAGTTCGTCCTCGTGGATTGCGTTCACAAAACACGCCGACTAGCTTTTAACCATGAGAAACTCGCAACTGTTTTGAAGCAGAATGTATCCCTCCGAGATCAAGGCATAGACCCTAGCTCATTACCATTCACTTGGATTGATGTCACACCTGACGGATCATCGATCCATTTCTTCTTTGAGGGGAAGAGATGGGCCTTTGGCAGCGATGGCAAACTTGAAGAACTGGAGGGCCCCTTCGGTCAACCCCGGACCCAATTCCTTGCCAAGGAGCGTCCTTCCAAGTCTACGAAGCAGATCGTGACCGTCAACTTTGTCAACCATACCGAAGGGCCTTTGTCATCGTACTGGATTGACTTCAACGGCAAGCCCAAATTATACCACAAAATTGGACAAGGGCAGACCCATGAGCAGCAGACATTTTCGGGCCATGTTTGGAAATTGGTTAATGATGAGACGAAAGAATTGAAGGCGATCTACGTTACTCCTGAGGAATCCGAAGATGTTGTCGTCATCGAAGAGAGCACTATGGAAGAGATGAAGTTCAAGAACGATGGACCAAAAGGAGACACGGATGACGACGATGAAACGGACACAAATCGATCGGCAACTCTGGATGAGAAAGAAGAACCTCAAAGCAAAAGTCAAGTCTTTGTTCGAGACCACAATGTGTGGTTTTGCGATGTTTCCGGGAAGGAGTCGCAGATGTCCTCCACTGGCACCGAAGAAAACCCGTTCGACAAGGCAAGAATCATTCAATCGCCCGCTGGGGACTTTGCTGTCGTCTGGCAGTATACCCCGGAAGAAGAACATGTGCTCCATCTTCGGGAGTCAAGTCCATCAGATCAGCTTGAGCCGAAGGTGCGGACTGTCCAGTACTTGAAGCCGGGCGATCGCGTCAGAGTCGACCGGCCTCGATTGTTCAGTTTGAAGTCCAAGGAAGAGATCAAAACCAGCGATGATCTATTCCAAAATCCATATAGCATCGAGAATATTGGCTGGAACGATGACGGCACAGAGTACCGCTTCATTTTCAACGAACGCGCCCACCAGCATCTTCGCCTGTTAGGCATACGCACTACCGGAGAGGTCAGACGCTTGATTGAGGAGGAGAGCGATACCTTCATCGACTACTCGAGCAAGTCCTACCATCGATTAATTGCGGGGACGGATGAGATGCTCTGGATGAGTGAGCGCGACGGCTACAATCATTTGTACCTGTTCGACTTGAAAGATGGAAAGCAGAAGGACCAAGTTACGAAGGGGAACTGGAACGTTCGCTCTGTCGTTAAAATTGATGAAACGAATCGTCAAGTGTGGTTAAAAGGATATGGGATGATTGCGAATCAAGATCCGTATCACGCTCACTTGGCTTGCATTCGTCTCGACGGAACTGACTTTCAGGTGCTCACTGAAGGTGACGGCACTCATGAGTGGACGTTCTCTCCGAACAACAAGTTCTTCGTCGATACCTGGTCGCGTGTGGACTGTACCCCGCGATCTGTGCTCAGAAGTCTGCAGACTGGAGAAGAGCTCCTTTTCCTTGAGGGACAAGTCGAGGACACTCAAAAGCTACTTGCGGATGGTTGGGCAGCCCCAGAAAGATTCACAGCTCCAGGACGGGATGGCGAGACTGCGATATATGGAGTCATCATCCACCCTTCAAGTTTCGACGCTGCAAAGAAGTATCCAATCCTTGAAGATATCTATGCCGGACCTCATGACTTTCATACGCCCAAGGCATTCTCAGTTCTAGCCAAGCAACGGCAATGGGCAGATCAGGGGTATGTGGTGGTTCTCCTAGATGGTATGGGAACAAATTGGCGATCGAAGAAGTTCCATGATGTTTGCTACAAGAATCTCAAAGATGCCGGATTCGCTGATCGTATCGCATGGATCAAAGCTGCAGCGGAGTCGCGCCCGTGGATGAACACCTCAAAGGTTGCTGTCATAGGAGGTTCAGCGGGAGGGCAAAGCGCCGTCGCCGCGCTCATTCATCACAGCGATTTCTACACAGTTGCAATCGCTGATTCTGGGTGTCACGATAATCGTATGGACAAGATATGGTGGAACGAGCAGTGGATGGGTTTTCCTGTTGATAAGTCTTACGAAGACTCGTCAAATGTGGCTCATGCGGAGAAGTTGCAGGGTGCTTTGATGCTGATCGTGGGCGAGCTCGATGATAATGTTGATCCCGCTTCGACCTTCCAGCTAATCAAAGCTCTGAATGATGCGGACAAAGACTACGAGTTCGTGTTCATCCCTGGCGGTGAACATTGTGGTGGGCGAGCGAAATTCGCCCTGAGACGACAGGAACGCTTCCTCCGACGACATCTTCCGGGGTAAACTCAATCAGAAATACCTCCGTCTATTGTATTCAGCAGAACATCTTATATCCAAATTATGAGAATCAAATTGTGTCCTTTCCTCTTCCTTAGGTCGTGTACTTAAAGCCCTTGTACTCTTTATCAGTCAAGTCTAGCCAATCCTGCGAGGCAGCGACCTGTTCATTTGCCTCCGCATCTCTGCGACGATTACTCATGGCACAAAGAGCACCATATGCAAGGACACAAATCATGGCCACCACATAGCACACAATCATTGCAATAGTGCCACCTGTATAGGCTGGTGCTTGCTCTTGGCGAAAGGTCTGAGGTCCCACAATGTTGCCAGCTGCCCAAGCCACATAAAACCAAGCATAAAGTGTGACTTTTTTTGTATGTCCGGCGATGTTCGCCTGGTACACAGAGACCAATGTGACATAAGGCGCCCAATATGTGTACAGGATGCTGAAGGAGATTAGCAGCATGTACCAAGTATTCTCGGGGGCACTGAACTTACTAAAGACCAATGAGCTGACCAGCGAGGTTGTCCCGGGGGAGGTTGTAGCACAACAACGCGCCAAAAAGGGGAAGTAGGATTGAGCCTGCTACAATCGGAGTCCGATACTTGCGGGTTGTTGACGCGATATAAGACAGAACAATACCGGAAATGGTACTCATCGCCCCCGGGGGCATAGCTAGAAGGGAAGTCTGAAGAGGGTTGAAGCCAAGCCCAGAGATTATAAGTGTGTTGAATGTAGTCAAGCCACCATTAGGAACTTGGAGCGCAATAATGGCGAACCAAATCAGCCAAGTTTTGACATCTGCAAAAGCCTCCTTGACCTGTGAAGGCTTGAAAACCTTGTTCTCGATGCCAGTATTGTCAGACGCCTTTCTCTGGATGATGATGTATCTCTCTCGAGGGCTCAGTCTCTTCGCTTCCAGCGGATTGCTGGGGAGGAAGAAGAAAATGACGGCAGACCAAGCAATGGTGACGCAGCCGACGAGAAGAAAGACGATCTTCCACTTCGCATAGGATCCGTTGTAGTAGCCAATCACCCATGCCACAAAGCCATTGATGATGGGAGCCACGACGTTGAGAATGATGCTATTGCGTCGGGGCTGCTCTTCTGGACGATACCACATGGATGTGATCAGCGTGACCGCAGGGATAAGCAAAGCCTCAAAACCGCCTAACAGAAAACGACACGCAAAAAGGGCACCGAAGCTGTGGCATGCAGCCATGGAGCAGGCAAGAACGCCCCAACATAGAACAGCGAATGAGAAGTAGACGACAGCAGATAGTCTAGCCAAGCACATCACGTCAGTACGTAAGCTCTTAGATCTGTGTATGAATCAATCGTACCTCTGAATAAAGTATGCAGACGGGCCCATGAAGAGAAGGCCCCCAAAGAATGGTGCCGAGCCGACCCATGAGTACTGCTCGCCTGTCATGTTGAGATCTTGGCGGATGCCATAGATGGCGGCGGCTGAGATTGCGGTCTTGTCAAGGCCAGAAAGCGTTGCGCAGACAAAAAGCTTTCCTCGGTCAGTAGGGTGAAGGTACGTGATAACAGATATGGGCAACTTACGATCGGAACAATCATCCAGTCAACCTTCCGAACCAAGCGCTTCTCTTCTTCGGGGGTCCAGCTTCTGTCGAACTCTTCGCCATAGTCGGCAAGAATCTGGGCAGCAATATCGACATCTTTGCCCTGGCCATTCTCTAGAGCCTTTAACGCTGGCTTGGCTGCGGGAGTCTGGTCGTTCAGACTGGAAGGAACCTCATTTTCAGAGGTGCTTTCATCTTTGGGATTGCCCATAACTGGCTTGTTCGTTGAACGTCAGGTGGCAGAAATCCAGAACGTTTGGATAGGATATTCAAGGCGAAATCTCCAGAGCGAAACTGCTGCAAGCTTTCCACCCCAACAGAGAGGTTGTGTTTGTGTTTTATGCGCTGTAGATCATTGAATGAATCTCAAAGGTTCAACAGTACAGTACACCGAGTGCGGTATCAGACCTTACTATCAAGCCACAAGTGGTCGAACCCAGCGCCGGCCTGATAACATGAATGGCGAATGATAGTTATGATACTGCCTCGCCTTGTGGAGTCTCATACGGGCGCATAAGCGAAAAAAGCACCAGAAATCGGCAAGTCAACCGAATTAATCGAGTCTTGGCTTCTGATCAGAGTATCTGCTACGCTGGTGAATGAGGTTGGCCGCGATAAGCCAGAACTGCCTGTCTTATCGTTGGCCGCGGTGATCGCGCGGCCAACTCCATCTCGGCCAACACCCGCCGCACACTACGTAAAGATCGCGCGCAAGGTTCTTGGTGGAACCGTGGAGAAATGATGAGGCATTGTTCTCTAGAGCTGTTGAGCGTCAGACAATACGTAGTCAAATTCAGGCTAGAATAAAAGACGAATTCAGCGTCCCGAAGCCTGAGCCATGCATCTGAAAAATCAACTGTCATCGTAGTAATATCAACTATCTCTCACCTTCATCATGATTGCCAAAGAAGAGCCTACTGTGGACGTGCAAGTCAACAGGAAGGGTGGTCCGCTCTATCCTGACTATCTTCGTAAGATATTGGCATCTTGAAGGTTATCGACAGAATACACTAACATTCTCTGCCAGCGCACTATGATCCTCTCGAGCAGGTTGAGCCTGTCGGGGCTTTTGAGCATGATGACCCCGGTCATCGCGCCGACCCGAAGATGCCCAACCTAATTAGTGAAGGTGTCGAGTCCATCGAACTGTCTCCCCATTGCGGCACTGAGCTGCGAAACGTCCAAATTGTGCGTGGAACTGTTTCCAAACTTCTTACACGCTCACTTACCAAAATTTAGTCTGAGTTATCCAACGCCGGTTTAGACGAGCTCGCTCTCCTGTGCGCCCAAAGGGGATGCCTTGTCTTTCGAGACCAGGACTTCACCAACTTGGGCTTTGAGAGGCAGAAGGAGATCGCATCATACTTTGGTCCACTCCATAAACATGGGTGGATGCCGCACCCCAAGAACGGACCTGAGGAGTTCGTAATTGTCTACGACAGCAAGGAAGACCTGCGTATTCGCAAGTCGTGGTCTCGCAAAAGCCCCGTCCAGTTCCACGTCGACCAGTCTCCCGAAAGCCAACCTCCAGGAGCCACCTTCTTTTGTATGCTTGAGTCTCCACCAGGAGCCGGTGGCGACACCATCATTTCCAGCGTAAGGCCAAATAACCAATGACTCTTGGAACTAAGACGTTGACATTCCGCGACAGACCGTTCAAGCTTTCAACCGACTCTCTCCATCTTTTCGCAAGCGTCTTGAAGGTCTGCAGGCTATTCATACAACTGCGAAGCCCATTGAACGGGAGATCCGCGACAATGGTGATGCTGCTGTACTCCGTCGGCCCATCACCAAGTCAGTCCATCCGGTTGTAACCGTTCACCCCGTGACCGGACAGAAGAACCTGTTTGTCAACTCGTCTTACACTCAGCGCATCGTTGGCTGGGATGATGAGGAGTCGGACTACCTTCTGAAATTTCTGTTTGACCACATCAACCGTGGTCATGACTTCTGCTGTCGCGTCCGGTATGAGCCAGGTACTGTTGTCATTTGGGACCAGCGTGTCACCCAGCACTCTCAGACACTTGATTACCAAGCCGGGTCCCGCAGACATGCTTTCCGACTCACACCTCTTGCCAATGTACCGATCCCCAGTAAAGTTGAGGAAGATGATGGGGAGTGTCAAAAGGACGAGGGAAGAATGCTGCTCAACCTGTGTTAAATATGCCGAAAAGAGATAACAGGTCTTTCACATCATACATATACACGTATTTAAGTTGTTCTCGTCAGCTTCTGAACTTCCACATCAACAAAATTTGTTTAAGCATCCATTCTAGTGTTAGAAATGCTTTCTCGCTACTATTCGGTAGATGAACTTGCTACAGAGCATTCGCCTCAGAAGCCAGTAATCTTCCAAGCATTGTTTCAACCCTCAACAAACCCAAATTGGCCAACCCTTTCGCGCCGGCGGCGCCTGTTGCAGATGCCCGAGTCGCGCTTCTCCACCTCGTAATCCATGCTCGAAGCTCTTTGTCCTCATCATCAAACCCGAGGTCTCCATCATCGCCAACACTGAAACGAACCGCATTAGATGCTGATGTGATATGCAACAAGTGCACCATGAATGACCCCCCAATGGCGAAGTTTTGCCGACTCCAACTGTGCCAGAACCCGTTCCACTGAGAACTGGTCATGTTTTCCAGCATCTCTACAAACTCTTTGACGCAAAGAATTGAGCCTTTGATCACTGCTTTTGCGGCGGTAAACAGTCCTTCAGCCTCATTAGGAGATTGTAGCGCAATGGCAGGCCAGCGATCAAGAGGCCTGAGTAAAGCGCGGAACAGTGTCATGTGGGTAATGATATAGCCCAGATAAATTGCACCGATACCATACATCTCGTCTTCGCCGTTTTGAGTTGGTGTTCCAGCATCATGAGCTGCCGGTACCTGGGGTCTTCCTATGAGTGTTCGGTACCCCGAGGACAGGTTATCACGCCATTCCTTCAACCTTGCACGAGAAGAACGAGCCAGGTCTAAAGAGAGTGGCAGGTTATGCGCTGTTCTCCCGATGCCGCGAGTGGTGTAATACGTCTGTTGGATATCTGACATGATGCACGTCATCTGCACTAGCTCGCACAGGTGTGTTCTGCTGTGTGTGGACTTAGAAATGGAGTCGTCGACGTCATCCGGCCTGAGGTCTGGGACGTCAAAATCGTCTAGATGGATATGGCTAGGCATCCCTCTTGTCAGAGAAACCCACTTCTCCATCGTCCACGTAGCCCACCACAATCGCTTCCGAAGCCTGCGTTCCCAAGGTGGCACAGACTCCCAAAAAGAAGGGTCTTGATGTAGCCCAACGGTTTGTGCTACTGCGACTGCACTCGAAATAAGTGACCAAGAGAAAGCGGTGTCTGAGAGATAAGGGTTGGTGGGGAGTCTCTGCTGAAATAAGAGGCAGGCCTGCAATGTTGCCAGAGAGGGCGCATGGAATTGCTGGGAGATATCCAACCAACATAGACGGTACAACCGTTGGCTTGAAGGTGGATGTAGAAGTAAGCCGTACAGGCTTTCATCATGCATGATGAATGGCAGTGCTGATGCGCATAATGCTGCCAGCAGTCCCAAAGACATGTTGCTGAGCTCTTCAGGACCTGATGGAAGTTGCTGAATGGCGACGATGGGAAAGCATGGATCCACGAAGCGGCCATAGAGCTGTATCAGGCGCCATGCTGTCTGGGGATCAACAATGCTCCAGAGTTCTGCCCAAGCATCATCAATGACGGAACTTTCGACCTTGGGCTCGGCATCTGCTAAGAGTTCCTGGTCTGTGATGCCAAATATGACAGGACTCTTCTGTGAGGCATCCTGTTTCAAGCGTCTATATTGCAGACCACTCAATCTAGGGCGAGCAATATCATGGCCATCATATTGTTCGCGGCTGAGAAGGTGAACATCGGCTGCTCCGGTGGGCCCTATGAAGAAGCTGAAAGCCCCTGGTATTGCTTCCAGGGATCGTTGTAAAGGTAGGCTCTCTGCCTCTGCAGCGGAATGATTCAACGCTTCTTGTTGTGATTCCCGTGCTCGAGAGTGCTCAAAATTTGACTCTGGAGAGACTTGAGAAGAGTCATTACCTCGCGAGGAGGTTTGAGAAGGCGTCTCAATTCCAGCTGAGGCCACAGGATTCCCCGCAAGAAGTAGGGGATCATGAAGTTGTTCAATATCGCCGGCCAGAAGATCATTCTCTGTCAGGTTGAAGAAGTCCGGGACGGGGAAGTCCTGGTGAGCATGTTCCCAGAAGCTATCCATCAAGTTAGTCAAGTTGTTTCTGAATACAATTTTGAAGTTTACTTTGAAGGCAATATCACTGCCGCCTCGACAGGCGACGACGCTCTCTTCCTTTTCCTTTCTCCTGGACCTTGAACAAATGTGCACGATAAGCTGCGAGTGGAGCACCGATGACATGGTGGGCCTTTCGGCATGTCGCAGACAACCTTTCTCTTCCGGCAGCAGTCACATGGTCGTGACTTTCGTGACTTGTAAAAGCGGCCAACTGGCGGCGGACGCGCAGGGGTTGATGGTTGGGGTTGGTCCATCCTGTCGGGTCAGGCTAGATGCCGAAGATCAGAGGAGCGGCCAACACTTCGAACGAAAGAGCCCGGAAACCGAACATTGAAGGCCGAACGGGCATTACGGACAGGAAGTCAAGCAGCAGTCATAGTTTGGTCTCTGAGGAACGATAACAATGATAAAGTCCGTGGGAATCCGATAGGAAGGATTCCATCTTGATAAGCTTATCTACAGAGGCTCGGCCAGTCACGGCCGCTCCTTTTTCTTAGCGACAAACAACGCCTAAATGAGTTGCCCCTCATTCGCCAGAAGTACCCTAAGAACTCATGCGTCAAGCCTACTGCCGGGATCATGACGCCTAGTGTTCCGCTCTTGTTAGTGCAAATGTCGGAGAAAGATAGGCTCTTGGGCTTCTGCTACAGCGTCGCCTCCAATTGCAGCAGCTTCTGCAAGTAGGGGTCTGCAAACATGCTGTCGGCAAGGTCATCGGACATTGAGGGCAATGGACGTCGCGACACAGGGCTGTATCCGAATTTCCTGTTCAGTAGTTTCTTTATTCCATGTATCTGAGAGACTGTCAGTATCTTGCTGAGTTTGAAGTGCTGCTTAAGGCCGCCAGTGATTCGGACTCACCCCCATCTTGAGCTGCACGCGGTCGGCCAGCGAGATCAGCTGCTGCAACTCCAGTGCTTCTTTCGCCGTGTCATGCGATTGGCAAAGGTCCCACAGCTTAACGCATGCTTTCTGTGAAATTTGAGAGACGTTTCGTTGTTAAAATATCTTGTCATTTGGTCGACTCACAGGAGCAAAATTGGGCAATCCGCTGATAGCGCCCCCAGCGCCCAGCGCTACTGAGGGCAGAAGGAAGTCGATGAAGCCGTCTATGGCAGTGAACTCCAGGTCTTTCGTTCGTCTGGGGTATTTTGCTTTGAAACCCGGGTTATTCGCCTCTGCCAAAATGCGCGTGAGTTTCCCCACGTTTGCACAGGTAAGCTTGATGCCGCATATGTTTGGTGATCCTTTGATGATGTCTACAACGAGGTCGCTATCCATGTCGACCCCGCCTGAGACAGCTGGAAAGTTGTAAATAATGCTGTGAGCGAAAACATGTCAGCGCTTTTCTATCCCAAAGCAAATCAGCAGTGTCTCACATTGGTAATTCCGATGCTTCTGCAATGTCAATGAAGAAGCTCTTAATAGAGTCCCGATTGGCGATTAAAGCTCCGGCATAGTTTCCTGGCGGGATCACCATGCCATAGTCGGCGCCCGCTTCAGCGGCATCGCGAGCTAGCTTAATCGATTCTCGGGTACTAGCGCCCCCAACGCCGGCAACGATGGGAACATCTGAACAACCGATGCGATCAAGGGTTTCTCTTGCAGTCCTGATCAATTCGATTCTCTCTTCACGATCCTTGAGAAATAGTCAGGTCAGTTCAGAGACAAGTTTAAGTTGAACGCTCTCGGGGACCAACCAGATGCACCGCCTCGCCTGCACTGCCCGAGATGACTGGTATTGTGCCCGCCTGTGCTATGACTGCTTTCTGTCAGCTATTTGGGCTAGCAACTGCCCTAGTCAAGAGTTTGGATATACATTTGAGGTGGTTCACAAAGCTTTCTAGATCTGTCTACGCGTGAGTTCCACTACAACATGTCCGCTCTGGGGGAAGCGAACCTAGATCCTCGTTCTGCTTGAAAAAGCAAGGGAGTGGCGTGTAGATACCCCTCGGAAGCGGCCTCATCTTTGCGAAAATTGGACAAAATAAGTGAAGCTGTGTACCAATATGTCTTGACTTAAATAAAGCAGTCCTAATATCTAGGTACAAATTATGAGAAGAGTGCCGTTTCTCGGGAACATGAGCCGGCGTCGGCCGGCGCGGCAGACCGGTCCCACATAAGCCAAAAGTGCGGCCAACGATAAGATATCATCCAGTAGCCCTTCGTATCAAACGCACCGCAGGCAGTGGTGCTACAGATAGTAGTGCTACAGGTAGTAGTGCTACTCGTCGCATATCAACGAAGAACACCGCTTTGTTCCTAGTCTATCATTGACGTACTCTAGAATATAGTTGAAATAAAACGAATCTAACAATGAACTATTCTATTAAGGGATCCATGACGAGATGAAAGCTAATGCACAAGTAGAATGCAAATTCTAGAAGAAACTTTAATGACAGGCTGAGTGATTCGACAATGAAAACAGCACGGAAGAGAAGAGAGATGTCAAGTCAATCTCTAGTCCTTGAAGTTGATCGGCTAGCACCGGCGCACCCGGATCAGTACCTCTTTCGTTGGGTCTGGGAGGACATTTGTCGCAAACTCGATGTTCTTGAATCGTGGTTCGCCCTCCGGGTTCTTGATCTCGTAGTTGAGGAGGAATTCGGCAAACATCAGCTTGATCTCAACATCGGACAAGAAACGTCCAGGGCATGCGTGTCTTCCAAAGCCCCAGCCCAACTCAGTGCGAGTGACACTGACGAAAGAATGCTTGTGTTCCGAGCCATCCTCCTGGCGTTCACGATATGGACGCATTCCGTCGAACTTTTCGGGGTTAGGATAGATCGCAGGGTCGTAGTTGATGGCGCTGGTGGGGAGCTCCATTTTTGTCCCGGCAGGAATGTAGGTGCCGTCTTTCAAAGTCAAGGGCTTTGTTGCCATTCTTTGAAATGTGGCTAAACTCCGTCAGTACGTTTAAACATAATGACTGCATACAAGCGAAATCGAAGCCAGGAGACTTACTCATGTCTGGTGCGCTCATGCGAAGACTCTCCTTCATCCAGCTGTCAAGCTTCTTCATCTCGGCCAGGGATTGTTTTGTGAAAACACCGCCTGACTTCTCAAGTACCTCCACCACTTCCATTCGAAGCTCCTCGGCCCGGTCTGGCTGAACAGCCAGGTCGTACAGCACTTGAGTGACGGTCGATGACGTGGTGTGAATACTGGCAACCGCTAGTGTCATCTGAAGAATGAGTTGAAGCTCGAGATCATCGGCCTTGGAGGCGTGGGCCCCGCTAGTAAGGTGATCTAGCATTGTGGGTGGGTTCTCCAAAGGGGCACCTCCTAGCGCCTTCTTCCTGGCCAGGGATTTAGCAATGATCTCGCGACCCCCTGCCAGCTGCTGCTCCTTCTCTAGACGCTGGGGTAGGAAGTAGGCGACAATGGGTCGGAGAACAGGCGGCCAGGACTTCAAGGCTGATCCGTATTCTATGGCGGTATGGACGAATGATGTTGAGAGCTTGAGCCATGTCGGATTACGAGCAGCTTCTTCGCTGTGCATGATTCTCGCTGACATGATTGCTACCATCTCAAGCAGAGCTTCGCTGAGGTTTACGGGAGTCCATTCTACTCGTAATGTGAGTGAGTTTCCTACCTAGTAGGGTCAAAGCGGTTCAATACGGCATACCTGCGTGCAGACCAACAAGTTTTGGAAGGTGTTCCTGAATCAAGCCATGAAAGACAGGAACGTAGGCTCCTGTAGATTTGATCAGCTTGGCTTCAAAATTAAGGTTGCGAAGAAGGTTTACCAAGGGTAGGGTTCATTTTAGCCAGAATCTGGTGGGCGCCCCACGCCTCAACTCCTCCGACACTGGTGTAAGGCAAGAGTGCGTCCTAAGAAGCCAGTGAGTTTATGTCTTCTGCTCTGAGACAAGGGGTTACTAACATTGTCAATTGAAGCCTTGAAGCTCAGGGCTGGATGGCTTTTCAATTCGTCAAGATACTGAAGCGGAAGCACGATTTTGGTTCCTATCAAAGTCAACGCAAAGTCACCGGACGATTATGCACCCTGGAAATCTTACCATCCATGGTTTCCAACCCGTAAGGCTTGTTTTTGAACTGATTGATTGTCAGCATCTAAGTATGTCACTAACCTTTCATCCAGGCCCGTCCCATCTTACCCGCTCATAAAATTTGTCAAGGAGCTGTTTTGATAAAGGAGCGTATGCGCGCCTTCTTGCAATCGGGTCAGACATTTCCTCCGCCAAAGGTATCGGAACTTTTAATCTCCTCGTAGTGAGCTGCGTCAGAATTCCAAGAAGGCATGATGCGACGACGAGCCAAGTGATTGTCGAAATAAGATGGTCCCAAGTGAGGAGTGACGTGTCGAGGTGAATCGTTGTAGGAAGCAGAGATTCCATGGCGCTGCTGAAATACTGGCTGAAAGATGAGCAATTCCAACTTTTCGCACTATGAGCGCAGGAGATTTAAAGGTTGGTCAATAAATGTCAAAAGAAGTATAGGGTTCGTCTAGCTTTGGGTTGTCTGAGCTTTGGTGACTTTTCTGATGAACTACAAATCCTAAAAAACAATGTTCACCAAGGCGTGATTGCATATATAACTTTCCAAGACGCATGAACACATTGCCACAAATCAACAGTTTGGACGACTATTCGGAGAACTGGATCTTGGAGCGGACGATGGCGACCAGCTCGGCCGGACTCTGGGCAAGTACCGAGTCCTCCAGGCCAAGCCACCTGCCATATCATGCACGGGTGGCCATAGCCACTACCAGACAAGATCATTGGCGACTAGGTAGACTGAGTACTCGGTGTCTCAGCTTGTTATGTTTCTAGACTTAGGGGAGCCGGTGGGAGGATGTAGGTCTTGGGTCAACTAGTGGGCCCTGCTCCGAGTTGTGGACATAAACATGGCTAAGCTCTTCATCATTCAAATGATCCGCTGAGTGAACATGATCGGAATTGAGATACCACCGCTGCTATTCGCTGGTCAATTCCCTACAGACCACTAACAGCTCTCGCCGCGCACTCGCTGTTTCTGGCTCGCGACGGGTATGCGCAAGTTCCTAGTGACCTGTACGCTTACTGTTCAGGGGAGGCACGAGCAGAATGTGATCCATCATACTGCGATTGAAACAGTGGTACTTGTGGATCTAGCAGTGCTAAAGTGCCGCATACATTGTACGCCCTGTTGCCTATTCGTTGAATATCCAGTTTGGGGGCGAAGCCCAATGGAGACAATACGTCACCAATATCACCCCACGGCCTGCCGCCCAGCTTCTCGGCATTTCCCTTAATTCCGCAACTTGGTCTCCAAGTTCGAAATCTAGCACCATCACCGAACCTTTAGGCAAAATGGCTCCTCGTGTTTCAGAATCAACCAAGGCGGACCGAGACAACATCTACGTCCGCTCAGCGTTCAATTACGTTGATGCGATCAACAAGGCAGTTACAGAGCTGACTCAGACTTCACTGGAGCGGGTGCGGTGAGTTCTTCTCATTTCTTTGTCCGAAATTTCCCACCAAGATTTCTTCGGGCGACTCGCGCAACTACATGTATCCATCGTTCGTTGCTTAATTCTGATGGGAACAGAGACTGCATGAGCAAACAAGCAGTTGTAGAACTAGCACCTTCAAGCATGACTACACCGGGAAAGGAAGACAGCATCAATAGCGCTGACGAACATGTTGCTTTTATCGGACTGATGCGTGGCCTGATCAAAGAGGCCAATGTGTGTCCTTTCTGCGTCTCCTATGGGGCTTCATCCTAACATCCTCTGCCAGAGGCGGGAGATAGTTTACTTGTTGTTGGTGCTGACCAGGTGGCAGGTAGAAATCTTTGACTGGGTCTACGCCGCTGGCCCTCGTGTGATATTGCAGGCCAAAGCGAATGGCCGGTCTCACCATGATCAACCATATGTCAACGATCTCGTTTTCTTCATGGACTTCGTTGACGTCAACAATGCTGCTGTCGACGAGTTTACTGAATTCCACAAGCAGGAAAAGCATCAGGACCGAGCCGGGCTGCCCAAATTGACTTTCATTCGTGAATACATCGATTCGGCATTTTTCAAGGGGTACATGGACGAAGAAATGAAGCGCGCGAAAAGCAACAACATGCCCTCCACATAGCTACAAATAGGGCCCAACGATGGCTAGAACGGGCTGCCAAGGGGGCCAGAATGAAAGACTCCCCATGTTTGCTGGATCAACTCAGCCACAAGTGTCGTGGATAATGTGACGTTCATTTTGAGCCCTCTTGTCCATCAAAGTTTGGACAGGTTCATGACTAGAGTCTGCGGGATGTAACTTCAAGTGATCGACACTGCCACGGGAAGTCTGTTACCCACTCAACGCCGTGGTCATTAATATCCGGCCGTGTTTCTTCCCCGGTTGGAGAGTCGATCTAACCTAGAATTTCGGGACTTTGCAGGTGCCAAGGCGCCGAGTGTCCGCCTCCCACCGGCCGACTACGATACGGAGAAGATCGATGTGTTTTCGGAGCTCGGTGCTTGCGGGGCCCGGATGCCCAGAAGCTCTAGGTGCAACTCTTCAGGTGGCTGACGTATACGTGTAGCTGTCTGAGACTGGGAGGACGAAACTATTCTGATTGCCAAGATGAAACTCTTGGCACAGCCTTCAGTAAACAGAGAAAGATGACTCGCCCCAGTCAATGATAGACGCGTGAAGCGGTGTGGGCTTGGGTGATTGTGATGAAGCGGACACCCGTTTGTCCGAATGTCCGAACTTCCAAACGTACGTAAGCTTCCAAAAGAGTCTTTTCTCGACCCGATTCTTTTATGATACCCGAAAGGTTCTTCAAAAAGTTGAACAACTCCTTTCGAGTTCCTCCAAAAAGCTTTCTCTTTAGTGCGTAGAAATCATCAGTAGACTAGAGCGCGCAACTTGTCTTTCCCCTCTACACTCTATTCCGCCGTATCTAACCCCATCTTCGCTCATTTCAATAGCAAACACACCCCTGGACTTGTCCCGATAGAGTATTTCCATCGTTTACTCACTTGAGGGGTTAAATGTAGCGATCATCCGGTGTTTCTTCACTGATTTACCCCATACTGCATGTGACTAAGCGTAACGTGCGCCTACGTGGAGTTGAAATTCCCCCGCAAAATTTGGTCAAACTCTCGCGTAAGATTTTCTTTCTATCCATGCAATCAGTGGGCCGAACCAGCGCAGATTGATGGGAAATCTATCATCCCGCTAAAACCGTCTTCATCGAGTTTGCGGGGGACGAGATTCGCATATTCTTGTACGTAACATTATCAGCAACAACAATGAATGCCGGCTTGGCCCCCGAAAAGCTTGGCCAAGATTCTAACCATATGTAGACATCTTGATGCAACCTGCTGACCCTTATCGAGGGATATGCGCTTACTGAGCCCGAGAGAGCAGCATCCCGTCAACGCAATGGCCAATTATCCTTCCCCGGGCCGGTATCTTCAGGGGTTTCGGCCAGCTAGTGGCGATACCGGTATCAATAAGGAGCTTTCCCCCGCGAAATAGTCGCACCATCGCACCATTGGCACGCTGGCCGCCGCCGGGCACCTTACATTCCCTGAGCGAACAGCGCCGACGGCGACATATGGCAGACATAGAAGCCTGGTTACCGATATGATCCGTTACGTAGAGACTATATCCGAAGTTGCCATTATCTTGAGCTAAGACAGCACCGGGCCGGTGCATATGTTCCGAATGTCTAACGACGCAGGTCCATCTGTTGTTGCTTCTGCCAATTTCTCCCGCAACTCCCCTTTGGAATCACCAACTTCTTGGCGTACAGCTGATTCCCAGCAAGAGCCGACAATGGATCGTCAGAAGAAATCGCAAGGCGACGAAGCCGCCATCGACAAGGCAATCACTTCGCGATCGGTCGACCAGCAGGATGTGCCGATCAACGCGTCCGGACACGTCCAGGAGCTCAAGCGGAACTTCAGCCTCCTTTCACTCGCCGGAGTCGGCCTCGTCGTCGGCAACGTCTGGCCCGCCATCGGGGGCTCCATCCTCGTCGCAATCTTCAACGGCGGCCCGCCCGGTGTCCTTTACGAGTTCATTGCCGTTTCCGTCTGCTACTGGACCGTCGCCGCCAGTATCGCCGAGCTCTCGAGCGCTATTCCTTCGTCCGCCGGTGTCTATCACTGGGCTTCCGTCACACCTGGCCCGAGATGGGGACGCGTCGTCGGGTTCTTTGCCGGTTGGTGGAACTATCTCGCTTGGATTCTCGGCGCCGCGAGTATGGCGTCCATCTTCGGCAACACGGTCGTACAGATGTACGCGCTCAACCATGACGGATTTGAGGCGAAGCCATGGCACGTCTTCATCGTTTACATAATCGCTACTTGGCTTGCGTGTGCAGTGGTCTGCCTCGCCAACAGCGCTCTGCCTCGGATCAACGACTTCGGCGTGTTTGCAATCATTGCTGGCTTCTTCATCACGATTGTTACCGTAGCGGTCATGCCCGGCCGGGGCGGGCGTCCGCCGCACGCATCCTCTTCCTTTGTCTGGACCGAGTGGACCGCCGACATCGGATATCCGGACGGCTTCGTGTTTCTGGCCGGCATGCTCAACGGCGCCTTCAGTGTCGGCGCCGTTGACGCCACTACCCATTTGGCGGAAGAGATCCCCAACCCACAGCGCAACGTCCCCATCGCCCTCGGCTTGCAAATGAGTATCGGCTTCACAACTGGCCTCTGCTACTTGGTTGCCATCATGTATGCAATCAACGACTACGATGCACTGTTCAGCTCCCCTTACCCTATCGCGGAAATCTACCGGCAAGCGACTGGATCTGCTGCCGGCGCTACCGGCTTGCTCGCTCTTGTCCTCATTTGCATTGGTCTTACTTTGATGGGACTCTACATCACTTGTGGCCGCACACTCTGGGCACTTGCCCGTGACGGTGCGAGTCCACGGGCTGACCTTATGGGCCACGTTAGCCCTCGGCTGGGAATGCCGATGTGGTCTACGGTCTCTTCGGCATTGCTGGTTACTGTTCTTGGTGCCATCTATGTCGGCAGTACCACTGCTTTCAACGCTTTCGTCGGCAGCTTCATTCTTCTCTCAAGCAGCTCCTACCTCGCAGCTATTCTCCCCAATCTCCTGGCAGGAAGAAAGCGGGTGGCTTACGGGCCGTTCCATATGCGCGGATGGGTCGGCTTCTCCATCAACGGTGTTGCATGCACTTACATGCTGGTATGGTTCGTCATCTACAGTTTCCCTTCCACTCTTCCGACCAATGCTCAAACTATGAACTACGCCTGTTTGATTTGGGGTGGTCTCACCATCTTTGTTGGTTTATGGTGGCTTGTTGGTGCCAGGAAGGGCTACCAAGGCCCAACAACGACTGGTGGTGTTGTCACAGAAGCACAAGTGGGTACGACTGCTTGAGGCACGGTTGAGTAGAATGTAGAGGTCGTTTCGTAGCCTGTAGGGTAGCAATCTAGAAGCTAAGGCAAACCTTTGGACATGTAACTTGAAGGATAAACGTTGCTGTCTCTGCTGTGAAATGAAACAGATGCTGAAGAGAATGTCGCGATCCTGTGTCTTGATCCACTGGACTTCTCATCGGCTTCATGTGGACCTCCTTTCCCCCTCGATAGTCCCCCGTCCAAGTGCCACCTCCAACCCTAATGAGGCTTACGCATCAAATCGGAACGCCTCCCTTCTTCTCTCATTCTCCTCCGATGTCACACCTGAAATGGCCTTGACTGCCTCTCCTTTCATGACCTGGGCGACTGTCTTCTGGCCGCTTGCGAGCTGCTTGTTGTATCGAAGGAGAATGAACCGCAAGACAAGGGCTGTGCATATAGCGAGGAAAGCGCCGCTAGCGTTGACACTCATGGCCAGTACGTGATGAGGCGCATCGTAGTCTGGGTAGAGATAAGAAGTCCAGACCTGAAAGAGCTCATATTAGCATATTGTTTGCGTCGCTGAATGCAGGTTCTGAACACACTTGACTGGTGTTGGCAAGAGCATTGACGATAGCTACGGCAGAAGCGCGCTTGATGCGTGGTCTTATCATGGTCTTCTGTACCCAAGCCAACAACACTGCGTTCGTACCGTATGCGCCAATGGTCATGCAAAACATGGAAAAGTATCTGGGTGCCGTGCTCAAAGTTGTGGCAGCGATGATGTATCCCATGATAGCGATGCACATCGGCCAAATGATGTGAAAGCTTGCATTGTGAGTTCGGTCGGCCGAGTAGTTGTTGGCGATGGAGACGCAGAGAGAAACAAGGTAGGGCGGCGCAGTCAGAAGAAGAGTCTTGACGCGACCATACCCAAGAGTGTCGACGATATCGGGGAAGAAGTTTCCAACCGCAGAGCAGACCTAAAAAACCCAGTCAATACTTTGAACTCATGATTCAGGAATCAAAAGGTTATGTTTTACCTGGATGCAGATAAAAAGGAAGGTAAAGAGGTAAACTCTCCAATCCATCAGGGCAAGCTTGAAGCCGTACGACCATGGCTCATCGTCTTCATCAACCTGTCCAGCGTCTTTGACTAGACGCCACTCAGCAACAGCGCGCTCCTTGGGAGTCAGCCAGAATGTGGTTGACGGCCAATCCGGGAGCAGCCAGATGGCGAAGACACCAACGAAGATGGTGATGCACCCTGAATCAATTAGCAATTTGAATTTGAGATTGGTAGGCAAAATACACGATATTTACCCTCAATGATGAACAGCCATCGCCATGATTCGAGACCTTTGGCGCCGTCGAGAGAGTGTTGAATTCCCGCACCAATCAGACCGGAGAAGGCACTCCCCAGTTGACTGCCGGAGAACAAGATAGCTCCGCGGAAGCCCATTTCATCTCTCTTATACCATGATGAGATCAAGAACAGCGCACCAGCTGTGGAAAGAGTCAGTCCTGAGATTACTGAGGCCGTTGAAACTGCATAAGAACCACTCACGGAGAAAGGCTGCCTCGACGATTCCCAAGAAGAAACGAATAGCATAAAGTCCTGAGAGATTAGTGACCGCACCCGTAGCTGCGGACATGCCACCCCACACAACGACACAAGCGGGAATGAAAAGAGATGGTCGAATCTGGGTAAGGTAGATGTTCGAGGGGATTTGCATGAGGATGTAACCGACGAACAAGATCGAAACCGCCGTCTCGTACTGAGTGTCGTCAAGTCTCAGACTGTCTTTGATACCAGCGACTTTGGCTGCGGCAATGTTTTTCTGTGAAAAAGAGGCTGTTAGCGGTCGCTATGGCCGATAGGCGTGATTACGGGAGTTACAACATACTCTATCGAGATAGTTCAAGATGAAGATGATCCATACGACAGTGAGAAGACGAAAATCAAGCTTCCGTTTCAGCTTCTTCTCAACTTCGGCTATCTCCTCTTCGCTCATGGCCTGAGCCTCTGCCATGCGGTTTGGTTCTTGGGTCTCCTTGAGCTGGATGGAAGCGGCATCTCCATCGTCTCCAGTGAACGCCGACATTTCGCCGGGCACGGGAGACTTGATGTCCTGGTTACCGTTTGCTGCCATGTCGAAGAAGAATACAGGGTGATTTGCTAAGAACTCTTCTCGTGTTCGTAAAATGATGTAGAGAATTTCAACACGCAAGACAAAGTTCGCACTTGATGTCAGGCCAGCTGCTGAATTGTCGGCGAAGAGTGAGGCTCGAGGGCTTGAGGCTCGAAGTGGTTCTTGCCAAGTATAACTAAGCTTTTTATATATGGATGAGCCCAGATTCGCCAAGAGCTCTTAAGACGAATGTCAAAATGCCATCCAATGGGATAAATTTGGGTGGCAAGCACCGCAATGGAGACGAAGCATGGGAGGCTTTCGTAGTACTCGGGATAATGCCGCAAGAGGATCGAGCTTGGATGTGGAACCAACCAGCGGTAAATGTTACAGTGATAGCTATAATTGGCATCAAGGTTTCATCTGTTTCTAAACACTCTTGCAAACGGACCGTTTTCATGTTAAGGGTAACATCAGGCTGGACCAAATTTTGACAACATCAGGCACTCCCTAGTCAAAGCCTCTATGTAGGCCTGCTGCTTTTCTACATGAGCAGCCATGATATGGCATAGAAATCAAGAATGGAAGTTCTATGGGTATCAAGAAACAGCGATAGATGGCGAATAGTCAATGACCTATGGCCGAGGTTCCCCGCGTGAAGCTAGAGCCTAGATTGCCCCAAGATGGCGGAGATTAATCAATAGCTTCATCACTTTCGCGGGGAAGACACGGCTGTTCTACCCGATTAATCAAAAGCCTCTGTTGAGTCTGGGGACGTGGAGACTCCCAAGCTTGGGGGCCGGATATTTGCTGCAGGCTACCCTGCGAAAGTCACAGACGAGACTCCGTCACCACGACCCGTAATGGAGGCAAAAGCACATCGCGCCACTTATCAGACACTAGCTCCACAAGGGTCTGTTCTTCTGAACAGCCAATGACAGTGATAATTGTGGCTGTTGACGTGGAGGATAGCAGCACATGTTCAAAGAACATGTCGATCCGTGGGTGTTTCGTCCTTACACCAGGTCTCGGCTTACAGCCGGTGCATCGGCTTTCGCCCGGCAGCCATAAAAGGCCAGCCACAACGGACAGAAAGTGTGGGTTCAACACCTGGCCCCTTCTATCAAGTGCCCAAAATATCTTGGGGACGGAACGACCTGCTTCAATGAGTATGAAGACTGCATTCACCCATGCTTGCATTGCTTGGAAATGCATGTCTGGTGCGATTAACCAGCGCGAAACATCCCGAAAGGCTTCACGTGTCACAGAACACTGGTTATAACCATGCAACTGGGATTAGTTTCATTGGAGTAATAACTGTTCATGAGAACTTATGCTTCAGAGTCCACGACAGATCAACTCACTTATCTACATCTGCATTGCGCAACCTCAATTCATGGGCTTCGAAATGATCAGCATCATTGCCTTCATAGCGTAAGCATACTCCAATAATTGAATTTACACAACATGTAAATATTCCGGGTAGGTTGTTTGATGGGTATTGTAAACTCTCACATTCAGCTATCTCAGCGACGTTTGTACCGGGTCTGCTAGGAACTGTTTGTTGACATATTTCGAACGCAGGAGGAGGATGTTCATCAGGTAGCAATTTAAAACATTCGGTGAACTTCTAATTGAACCTTTCAAAGTTTCCAGCTGTTCACAAACACCATTCATGAGATCTCCTTCACGTGTTATGGATCTGGGCCACTGTCGGTCCACCTGAATTTGCTGAGGTTGCTGCAAATTTAGATGTGTACGTCACGTTAGAATGTTTTGCTTTGATTCGATTCGGTTACTGCGGGAAAATCAAGGCATTCAGACCTCGATCTAGCACATCCAGGAAGCGAGCATGGGATTTTAATAGTGCTTTTAAGGGCCTTCCAAGGAAATTGCATCGTTCGGGGTCCACTCTCCGCTTCGGGTCGGCCCAGAAGTCCGCAATCGGGCTCCACCATGTTCCCGACTGCCCCGGTCCCTTCGGAGGAAAGCACCGACAGCAGGCAGTTCATGGACATTCTGGAACGAGCGAAGAACGCCATGCAGGAAAATGCGATGGTTCAGCACGAAGCCAGGTGACGGGATTTAACGGCCTCGTGATTGCCGCTCGTGCCACGTCGTCCATTTGACAACGCATCAACAGAGTAGTTCGGACGAGAATGCTCAACAAATGCATGCCTTGACTTACCTAGGTTTCAGCGATGTTTCCGGGGCAAATCCATTTAGGTTCAGCCATGTGGAACTAGTAGAATGAGGGGGAGCACAACGGCCAAACGATAGTCCGGATGTACAATGTCGACTAAATTGGCCTAAAATACATCATTGACTTGCGGGCGTCTCGGCCAATTGACTCTCGCCCTGTCATCCCTTCCCCCCAACACTCACCCCGGATCGCCCAACACCACCACACTGGAAGATCACTCTCATCCGTGTTAGCGCCAGGCATCTCCAAAATGAGAGGCAAGGGCACTTCTTCAGCAGTCATTTCTCTCACCGACGGCTATTACAACCTTGGATCCTTCGGTCGAGTTGTCAGCAGTACCAGCAAAGATGCCCAGCTCTGGGCCAGTCGCGGCCTAACGTGGGCGTACGCATTCAATCACGACGAGTCTGCACGATGTTTCGAACGGGCTATCAACTATGACCCCTTTTGCGCGATGGCGTATTGGGGACTCGCCTTCGTCCTCGGCCCTAACTACAACAAACCATGGAAGGTGTTTGACGGCGAGGACCTGGCTATCACGACGAAGCGGGCTCATCATACCATCATGCAGGCGAAGGCTCATTCTGCTAATGCATCGCCTGTCGAAGTCGCTCTCATCGATGCACTGATCTGCCGATACCCTCAAGAAAAGCCCCTAGAGGACTGCTCGAAGTGGAACGAGGACTACGCTCTTGCGATGGATGAAGTGCTCAAAGCTTTCCCTCACGATCTGGACGTGGTCGCCCTCTGGGTGGATGCCACGATGAATGTTACACCTTGGAAGCTGTGGAACTACAAGACAGGAAAGCCCACTCCTGGAGCAAGAACTCTCGAGATCAAAGACGTGATGGATCGTACCTTCAAGCTTGAGGGTTCCCTCCGACATCCCGGCCTTCTCCATCTGTATATTCACTTGATGGAGATGTCACCCACCCCAGAAGCCGCGCTCACAATTGCAGACAACCTGCGTGGCCTCGTCCCTGACGCGGGACACTTGGAGCATATGCCTACTCACTTGGACATTCTCTGCGGGCAATATCGGCGCGCTATCGCCTCAAACTCGGACGCTATTCGTGCCGACTCTAAGTACCTCGCAAAAGAAGGCCCACTCAATTTCTACACGCTCTATCGGTCCCACGACTACCACTTCAGGCTGTACGCCGCCATGCTTTGTGGGCAATCGAGAGTCGCCCTCCAGACAATCGAAGAGCTTGAGTCGACGATCTCCGAGGACCTTTTGCGAGTGAAATCGCCACCAATGGCTGACTGGCTTGAAGGCTTCCTGGGTATGCGGATGCACGCACTCATTCGCTTTGGAAAATGGGACGACATCCTTCGCCTGAAGCTTCCAAACGACCCTAAGCTCTACTGTACAACAGTTGCCATGACCCACTACGCCAAAGGCGTCGCCCTTGCTGCGACGGGACGCGTAGGAGAAGCCGAGCAGGAGCGTCTGTTGTTCCTAGAAGCTCTGAAGCTTGTTCCGATCTCGCGGACGGTTTTCAACAACACTTGCCAGGAGACACTCGCGATCGCGGAGGCAATGCTCGACGGTGAGCTAGCGTACCGCAAGGGAGACTATGATGCCGCCTTCGCGCACCTGCGGAACTCCGTGGCGAGGGATGACGCTCTGCCATACGACGAGCCCTGGGGCTGGATGCAGCCAGCACGCCACGCGCTCGGGGCTTTGCTTCTGGAGCAAGGCCGTGTTGAGGAGGCAGCCTCTGTCTACAGCGCTGACCTTGGAATCGATGAGACATTGCCGCGTGCGCAGAGACACCCGAACAACGTGTGGGCGCTTCATGGCTTCTATGAGTGTCTTATGAAGCTGGGTCGAAAGGATGAGGCCATGATTTTGAAGCCTCAGTTGAACTTGGCTCTTGCTGTGGCAGACGTGCCAATCAAATCGTCGTGCTTCTGCAGACAGAAGACGGTTGATTGACAAATACGGATACTGAGCCCGCCATCCCAGCGGAAACTCAGTGACACCATGATCCATGCCAGGTTATAACATTAGTTGCAACAGGCATGTCAGATATCGAAGGCGGCAAGTGAGAAAGCAGAGATTGAAACATGAATAAGAGGTTCAGGGGTTTGAACATAAAAGGATCTGCATTCACTCAAGACATCTGGTAAGAATGGACATAGCGTTACAGAGTATTTAGTCGAATTACATCGTGCATCTTCAATTACGAAAACACGACTGCGTCCTAATGGATATACCTAAAGTTGGGATGAAGATGTCCCAGGATAGCAACCTCGTCCTCTGGCAACCGTAGTCGATAATCACGGTCGCCTCGTTCGCGCCTTTTGTTCTCCCATGTCTGGTAAGCTACCAGACTCAGAGATGCAACGATCACTGAAGCCGCCGTAGCCGTGTTCAGACTGTTGCCGGTTCGGTATCCCGTCTTGGCATCCGTGTTAATGTAGCTCCATGTAGCCGCAATGGAACCTGTAAGGCAAGCATCGTTAGCTTAGGTCACAGAAAGTAGCAGCATACCAGGTCGAGACACTCACCAATGTTTGATATTCCAGAAACCGCTGCATTTGCGACGTTGCGCACTGTGTCTGGAGCGGCGTTGGCCAACGACCAGCTGATCACCAAGACTCCAAACCCGTATCCCCCCGCCGTGTTGATGAAAATGGCAGCGTAGCGAGCCTGCACATTCTTCGAAGCCAGCCAAATGGAGTACCCGATGACATTCAATGTCGCGCATCCAACAATTGCATAGCCGTGCTTTCGCGTCTTCATCGTGATGTATGCCAGGCAAAGCGCGAAGACCATACCTACCAAAGGTGGCGGGACTGACAGTAATTGAATACCCACGGTAGAACGGTCAGGGTAGTTGAGTCTCAGGATTGTGACAGTGAAAATTGAGAGACCTTGAACAGTAACCTGATTGCAGGTATACATCCATGTACACACGAGGACATTGACGTTCAGGATGCCACGCTTGATGAGCTTCCAGCTGATGCGCTCTTTGTGTTCCCGGATAGCGGGCTGATCGTGGAAGATGCGCGCCATCGCCAGAGCACGCTCGTCTTCGTTGAAGATGCGCGTCTTTGACGGGTCGGCTGGAAAGAGGTACAGCGATAAGAAGCCGACACCTATGGTGATGATACTGGAGCCATAGGGTCAGCAAGGGCGCAACACAAGTGAGTTCATTGGACAAACCCTTCGACCAGGAAAATATTCCTCCATGAGTAGGATGAGCCGATTCGTCCCAGAGACAACAACCCGGATGCCAAGAGACCACCAAAAGCCGACGCTAGTCCAGCGGCTCCAAGCATGAAGAATGATACTCGGGTGGTCACCTCATTGCGCCGGTAGTATCGTGACACGACATATGACAGCCCGGGGAACTGAAAGGCTTCTGTGATTCCGAGAAGAAGTCGAATCGCGAAAAAGCTCGCTTCATTGTGAATGAAAGCGGTTGCGAGAGTCACGACACCAAAGGCTATACAGCTCAAAGGCAGCACTATGTTGCCGAATCTCTTGACGCTCAGCGAGGCCGGGATGTCGGCAAAGAAGTAGATGCCGTAGTACAAACAGGCGCCGATATTGAAGCCGTAGGTACCCAACCCTAGATCCGCTTCCATTCCCGCAACCTTTGCATTGCCAAGGTTCGTTCGATCAAGGAAGGTGAAGAAATACAAAACAAATATCATTGGCAGGACGCGAAGATCCACGCGGCGGAGGAGCTTTGCTTCAGCAGCAGGATCGATGACATAGTTGTGAGCTGCCTCTGGGTCGACATGTGTGCCTGAAGGAGTAGTGATTGAGACGATGTCTGCGTCGGTCTTCATGTTGGATTCCGACATTGTGGTTGGACATGAAATGATAGTCGTACGTTGCGTGAGCGAGTCATAGCATGGTGGTCATCGAAGCCGCTTTTCAATGTTTCGTACATTTATGGGCTTATCAAAAGCCAGGTCGAGTGCAATACCCGCTTTGCCGCTACACCATGAGATGTGTGTCTCTGCTGGAATGGAACACACCGTACAAAATCGGATAATGGAGGTATGGCTGTACTGGCGATACGACCCAAGTCTCATCAGCCGCTCGGGCGGGGTAAGCCACCTACTCGAGGGATACCAAGCTGCAGGAGCAACCTTGGAGACATGCCAGCTTCAATCGCCATACAGGAGGAACAATAGGCTATCACTTAGCGTCCACGCCCGACTTATCGGTGCAATGTGCTTTCACAACGGTTACACAGCAGCTGCGTGCTGATAGTGACTGGATGGGGGCGAGGGGGGCACCGTGCGTTTCCTAGGTTCACGGGATCTTCATTCGCTGAGAAACCGCCAAGGTTCTGAGGGATGCATTTGCAGATCAGGGCGAGGTGAGATATGGGGGATCCAATGTGATGTTCTCCAGTGGCACGGCCTCAAGGGCAATACTTCTGTCAATACCTCAAGTCCCCAGCCCCTGAGAATTGTCCAGCACGTCTCGGACGATTCGGAGGTAGGCTTTGGAGGACTTTGTCGATTCTGATTTTTCATGCGACGTTCTACAACGTCGAATGTGGTGGTGGCATTTTACAAGCCGCAAGCGATCGGGTTCAAGCAACAAAAGAAACCCATAACTGATCGGTTTTGAAAGCGATCACATATGCTTCACATGGGTGCTATCAAGCGGCTAATGCACCTTGCATCTTTTCCGATTCCTTATCAGAATAGGATCTCGGAAGGTTGGTGATAGGAACAATTGTCTTGGCCAACCCCGCATCTCAGCTTTCGGAACGCAACACCAACCACACTACACTTCCAACGAGAAGAGAAACGTAGAGTTTCTTACAGCCACACAGAAGCAGGCATCAAGTTACGTGATCATTGACGACCTGTTGAACACCCTGTCACCTATCAGCATTCCTCAATCTCGCTGATAGGACCCGAATAAATGACGGAAACAAGCACCCATCTAGATGAAGGAGATTGGTCGCTGTGTATCTCTGTCCACGTAAATTTTATGTAGTTTATTGTTGAAAGCCGCTTGCAAGTATCTGTCTTAATTGTTCCGCATTTTCCACGTCGGAATCCTTTTACTCCGCTTGATGTATCAACGGCGGAGGCAAACCGACAAACATGCTTTCCGCCTAGCCTTTTCCTCGGCCCCAGTCAACGTTGATGGCGTATTCCGCAGTCATGCGTTAACGATGTAACGAATGCGCAGTAGTGTTGGTATTGAAGCACTGCTGATTGGTGGCAATAGAGTCAAGGTCAGTAAGACGCAATTTTGCTGACCCCCAAATGAAGGGGTCTTACCATATGCTAAAACCACACGTTGCAACAGCTTACATCTCGGGCGTTTCTCAACTTCAATTGACAGTGAAAGCTTTCGGTGCCGATAGTTACCAACTTAACATTGCCCACACTTGTCAAAAAATGACGGCTGATATGTGAGTGGACCTGAAACCAGAGAGATGGGCTGGCTGGCCAGCACAACGAGAAGCATCAAAGCTCCCGCATTGAAAAACGATTCTACTTGAGCAATTACCTGGTCGATAAAGTCTCTTCTTCAAAATATGCTGATGAATTCTCTAGAGAAACGTACTCTGCTTCGTTCGCCTTCTTCGAGGGCCTCTACGAGGTAAGGTGGTCTTGATTTGTCAACGGAGAGTGCAGATCAACGATGAGATCGGGAAACTTAGTCTCATCTTAGGCGGAGGGAACTTCAAAGAAAGTGGCTGATTCCTCTTAGGCAGGCGTTTCCCATGTATTCGTCAACCTCGGCTCAGATCACCCAGCTATCATGGAGGCTTTGGCACATGGCGCACAACTGAAGGGGGTTAAGTTCCCCAGAGTCATCACTTGTCCTCATGAGGTGAGGTATCCATACCAACGTTCTTCATTGTAAACGTAGTGACTCATTCTACAATCCTGCTAACGTACTTCTCAGATGGTTGCGATGTCAATGGCTGATGGGTTCGCTCGTGTGACTGGAAAGCCGCAATGCGTTCTGGTTCACGTAGACGTGGGAACTCAGATGCTTGGGTGCGCGGTTCACAATGCGTCGGTTGCACGGTGCCCTGTCTTCGTTTTCGCAGGCCTATCTCCGTTCACACTTGAAGGAGAGCTACGCGGATCCCGGACCGAGTATATCCATTGGCTCCAAGATGCTCCCGATCAAAGACAGATCGTCTCACAGTACTGTCGGTATACGGGTGAATTCAAAACCGGCAGGAACATTAAGCAAGTTCTCAATCGAGCACTGCAGTTTGCAACTAGCAACCCGAAGGGACCTGTCTACGTAGTAGGCGCTCGGGAAGTCATGGAGGAAGAAATCGCTCCTTACAGCCTCAACCAGACGGCTTGGGAACCAATAGCACCGACAGCCTTACCCACGGAAGCTTTGAATTTGATCATATCGACGTTGGCTCAGGCTAAAAGGCCTTTGATCATTGTGGGGTATACGGGACGTAATCACGCGACAGTGAGAGAACTAACCTGCCTGGCCGAAAGCATCCCAGGAATACGCGTTCTCGACGCCTTGGGGAGCGATGTTTGTTTCCCTTACTCTCATCGGGCCTCACTTGGTGTTCGTATCGGTCGCGACACAAGTATCGAGGAAGCCGATGCCATACTTGTCGTTGATTGCGACGTACCTTGGATCCCGACCCAATGCAAAGTTCGAGACGATATCAGAGTCATCCACATCGACGTTGATCCTCTGAAGCAAAACATGCCGTTGCACTACATCCCAGCATTTCGGCGCTACCAGGCAGACTCTGAAACAGCACTACGACAATTGAACAGCTACGTAGCTCAAGACTTAACTTACTCTCAGCTTTCGCACCTTCCCTCACATGAGGACCGACGGTCTGAGCTTAAGGAGGCCCACAACATTCGAATGAGGCAACTTGACGCTCTGGCAGAACCACCGGAAGACGAATCGCAGTATCCCACAACGTCATATCTCGTCTCCCAACTGCGCAAGATTTGTCCCGAGGAGACCGTATGGTGCGTCGAGGCCGTCACGAACGCTCCGAAGATTTACGATCAGCTCAGGGTCGATAGACCCGGCCATCTCATCAATTGTGGCGGTGGCGGACTGGGTTGGTCTGGTGGAGCGACTCTCGGCGTAAAACTAGCTCTTGATCACATTGGAAAGGAGCGTGGAGAGACGAATTTCGTGTGCGAAGTTGTTGGAGATGGCACGTATTTGTTTGGCTGCCCAGGAACAGTTTATTGGGTGGCCCGCAGGTACAATCTCCCTACGTTGACGATCGTGTTGAGCAACAAAGGTAAGTCATGACAACTTCATTCTTCATCCGGCTTCAAGACTCTCGACGTTCTTTTGTTTGATTAGCGAAGACGACGAGGAGGCCATCAGTCATGAAACATGAACTGATAAATATACGACAGGTTGGAACGCCCCTCGCAACTCGCTCCAGCTGGTGCACCCTTCTGGCTACGGAGCTGCTTCATCGAACGAGGACTTAAACATATCGTTCTCACCGACACCAGACTACTCTGGTATTGCGAAGGCAGCATCAGGGGGCCAAGCTTGGGCTGGGGTAGCGAGCAGTGTTCAAGGCTTGGGAGAGATGATTCCGGCGGCAGTTGAAGCTGTGAAGAGTGGTATATCAGCTATTTTGGAAGTCCGTTTGAACGGATCCTGGTAGTAAATTTCATGTTTAAGTCGCCTTCGGCCCTTACTTGTGGGGAGTTTTTAGGATTGTCGATTTTGATCAACATTAGACTTGTCATGCAATTCACTTCACATATGACAATTAACGCTTTCGCCAAGGAGAACACCGCCGCCCACTGGCAGAAGCTTTGGTCGATAAAATCACGTATTTGAACGTTTCAGCAGACTCAGACACACCAGAATGCGTCCGGTCTCTATCACTACCACATTTGTCAGTAATATTACAGCCATCGTCCGGACTGTCGGCCGATTTCGGGGCCCCGATCCGGAGCGCTCCCGGGAAGCGGGGTACGGACATGGACCCATTTGCTAACAACTTCAGCAAAGCACGCTCGAAATCCCAACTGGAAAAGCACTTCCGCATCCTTGGCCTGTTGTTTGTTTGTTCACCATATGGGCCCATCGGTGGCTGAGCATCATACAAACACATCACACCGAGGTTACCAACGACGAATAGGAAGGAAGCGGCACAGTCCGTTCCACTGATAAACACAACTGGTCAGTACTCTGCATGTCCATTACTGATTGGCCTGCGAATGGAGAGCAGGGGACCGTAGGAACGTTCCGTTTCCGATTCCGGATTTCATTATCACCGATAAGATTAGTCGAACACCAAGCCGTTAGCTCATATGCAAGTGTCCTCACTGATCAAGTGTGCCGCATCATTGCGGGACCCATTTGACCATGTGCTGCACGAGTCTAAAAGTGGGTGGTCGCAATCAAAGCACCTTTTCAAACCAATTAGGCATGAAAATGGAGAATTGCCATCGGCGTTAAGAATACTTAGGCACAATGAATCACATAAGTATGTCGTCGAGAGGTGAATAGCGTCCAGGCCTTGCTGCACTCTACCTGTTGCATCAGATACTCCGTCATCTAGTGCATCGGCTAGCCCCATGTGCAGATTGCAAGTCTGGGTTCCAGATAACAGTGGTCCGGGATCTTTCAATGGTCGCCATCTCGCAGCATTACGGGTGTCGAATGCAAGGCAGATGGGGTGCAGAATCAAGTTTACTGGTCAACGCAGAAGACATCATGGTTGTGAAGTTTTCTCTTAGTAAACGAATACGCGTGTCACGGTGTCCATTCCCAAAAAGCGGCAATTGTACTCTCTTGAAGGTGATGGAAAGTATGTCTCAGCTGTATCAGACCCTTGGCTGCTCTTTGTAGCATTCCCTTGACTCTTGGGCCGACTTCAAGTCTCCAACATGGATGTTATCCGCCCCGTGGTGCTGGTTGCGCCACCCCCGCAAAGCTCGACACCCACTCCATGCTTTCTGTTATCTTCAAATATTCCCATTCTCCACAATAGTTCTACTTCGATTCAATGTACAACGCTGTAGATAAGTAGCGTTTGGGCTTTCTACGCAACAGGCGTGTCTGGTGCTGCAATCCCAACACTCGGCGGCATATGCTGACTATCATGTACGACATTCGCCCCACCAACGCAGACAATCATGCAGCCGGCAACAAGCGTCGCGGCCCTCAAAATAAGCCTGAACCGACGAAGAAGAGAGCACCGTACGCGACTCGGGCTTGCGATGCCTGCAGGCGACGAAAGGGTCGATGCTCTGGAGATATTCCTTGCTCATATTGCATCTCTCGTTCTCTCGAATGCGATGGCTTATCGTACTCGGATATCGAAGTCAATGTGCCAGTGAGACGGCGAAGTTTGGTAACTCCCGAACCTTCGATAGCTTCAAGAGAGTCGAACGCACCAAGCAGCTCGTCAGCTGCAGGGCCAGGCAGGCGGCCACAGCCATCAGACGCGTTTGACAGGCAACAACAGGATTGTGGATCGTTCTCCGAGACAAGGTGAATAAAGTTGAAATGCATTCGCAGCTTGTCGTAACTGTTATGCTGATTCAGGCCTGCAGCATGCTAATTTCTCTTGGAGAGCTCGTTAGCAAGCTTCAAGAACAGATTGGCAACCTGTCATCGCGCGTGGAGTCGGTCGAGAAGCACAACACCCCTACCCACAGCTTCAACACAATTTTAGGCCAACCCCATCAGATCGACAAAGCAAAATCTCCGAGCCATGGCTCAGATATCCAAGCCTCAGAAGAGGAGTCTTCCCCAAGGCAGCGTCTCGCACGTCAAACGACCAGTCGCAGGCATTACTGCGGGCCAACATCGCCAGACTATAGTTTGAATGTGGCCCAGATGCGCATGAAGCAAGGCATCTTCAGCCATCAGTCTAGCCGACCATATCTCCCTAGTATAGAGGACTCTCAGTCAGATGATGGAGAGTCGGAGAATGGCTCGGGATTTGATTTCCATGATGGTCCTTCTGGTCAAGATTCTGGCGGCTCTCTAAAGAGGCTGATTGGGTTTGCACGACGTCTCACAAAGCGCCGAGCTACGCAGCTAATCTCTACCTATCAAGAGGTTTTCGGCGACTTCCATCCCATCCTAGACATCCAGAATCTCGTCAGCCAGCTCGACAGGCTCTACCAACTCAATGCTCACACGTACGCAACCGACTTTTCCACGAACTCAGGTTTCAGCGAAGTTATCGACGAATCTTCGGCCCTGGTCATCAACCTCGTACTCTCCATTGCGCTCTGTGCTGAGCCAACTCAACATCCAAGTATTGACGTGTCCGGGGAGATTTACTCCTATTGTCGGCAAAACATTGAAACACGACTAATGTCCTCTGTACCTCATGTGAATAATGCAGTAATTGCGATTCTAGTGGTGAGCCAGGAGCCCCTTCTATTTGACTTAATCTTGGTAAGGCACTTTGGCTGATATGTCCTGTCAACAGGGAACTTATCGATTTTTCCGAGACGATGCACGAACGGCGTGGAGAATGTGTGGAACAGCAGGCAACATACTCCTTGAGCTTGGACTTCATAGTCGCGATGTTCCTGAGCACATCCTAGGATCTGAACGCGAGCGAGTACAGGTTATTGCTGTCATATGCACAACGATCGTCTTAGACAGGCAGTGGAGCGCGACTACAGGGTTGCCAACCCATTTTCAAGAGTCGCATTTCCACCAAGCTATGAAGTCGTCCGTCGAATCTCCATATCTCCGAGCAATGGTGGCATTCATGGCACTGAGCGACAAGTTTACGTCACCGGTTGCTCGCAGTGCCGCAACAGGTCAGCCGTACGATGAAGATGAGACTTTCGACATCCTTAATTTCCAGATTGAGCAGTGGAGAAAGAATTCTGTGGGAAACTTTGACCTTAGAAAGCACGAGGTATTCGTCATGACCCCAATCCGCCGCATACCATCTTGGGCAGTCCTTCTGAACCTAAGAGCCAATGCGGCCCACAGCATGCTTCTCCGCCCCTTTTTCTTCACCAACAAGCCTACACCTGGCAGCAGAAAGAACATCGAGTCCGCCTTAAGGCTTTCAGCTGAGTCGATCAGCATATTGTCGAAGCTGGACAAGGCCACGGATGTCTACCGAAAACAACAGCCTTTTTACGTCCACCTACTCGTTAGCGCATGTGCTCTCATGTCCCTCGTGATTGCCCACGTCGCTCAGAATCATAGCACTCTAGCCCCTGACTTACCCGAGAGCTTCTCTGACACCGTGAGCAAGAGTTTCAGGAAGGCTCTCAAGTTGGCAAAGGCATACAACGGCGCATCACGAGCATCTCGCAAGCTATGGAAAAGATTATTACTCATGCGTGAACCTTTGATGCAGCTCAAAATTGTTTGCGATGACGAAGAGCGCCCTATGCGAGTACCAAAACGAGGCGCAAATCTTAACCGCTCATCCTGGGCAGCAAATCTCGGCAGCGTGCAGACCACGGTCGTCAAGCAGTCTGGGCAGAGCCTGCAAGACCCATTTTGCTTGGCGAGTTCGGTGGCAGAGCCGAGAGTAGCAGAAGGCGGACTGGCGAACAATGATATCAATATCGAAGTTAACGACGCAAGCAGCCTTTATCCACCATTCTCAAACGACTTCATGCAAGATTTGCCGTTTCTTCCCGGTTCAGCGGATGCAGCCAACACCGGCTTTGATGGAACTATTGCTAGTCCAGCGGCGGTATTTGGAGGGACTGGATCAATTTTCTGCGATTGGCCGCTTGTGGACAGTCAGACATTCTTCTCGGAGGGAGAACTTTTGTACGAGGAATAAATTGTCCGGCTTCTAATACTTTGTCCCAGCAACGTCTCTAGTCTTTTCGAAATCCATCCCATCTTTCAAAATTATCGATGTGGAAGCCCAGTGAGTCTAGCATCCGACCGACACTCTGGTCAATGATATCCTCCAAGGTCTTCGGACGCGTATAAAACGCAGGCACGGGTGGGAAAATTACAGCCCCGGCTCGTCGAAGAAACAACATGTTGTCGAGATGGATATCGTTCAGTGGCGTTTCTCGCACAACAAGCGTCAGCCGCCGGCCTTCTTTGAGTGTAACATCCGCGGCGCGGGATATCAGGTCGTCTCCAAACCCAGCTCGGACAGCTGCCAGTGTCTTCATGCTGCATGGCACGATGATCATGCCATCATGTTGAAACGATCCAGACGCAATCGGTGCCGACATGTCCCGCGCAGTGTAGTTGGTATGCGCTAGACCGCGAATCTGGTTCTCGCTGAGGGGCGTTTCGTACTTCAATGTCGCGAGCGCCCACTTGCTCATGATCAAGTGCGTCTCGACACCAATCTCACGCAGTATTTGAAGCAGGCGGATTGCAAATGGCGTGCCAGTGGCGCCGGTGATACCAACGACCAGTCGCTTCGGTCGCGGTTGTACACATCGAGTGTGGTCATCGTTGGTCGGTGCGAGTTGGGACGTGGAGCCATTATTGCGGTGGGTTAGGCGCGCAGCATACGATAAAGAACGGATGTCTTTCTTCTTCTCTCCTTGGTTGACTTTTAGCTGGCGACGAGCTGTTGAGAGAAAGTATCGTGAAGATCCTTGGGGTGGTGTAGGCAAATTGGGTACTCGTAACGACGTAAAAGGCTTGAATGTCCTCAAATCTACCCGGGCAACTCGCTGAGGCATTATGACAGTTGTCTCTGCTAGGCTGAAAAGCAGAACTGAGTGATAACTTTACTGTTGAACATGGACGAACTGCGTGACACTGTACGCCGGGCACGAACCGTCACTATTTCCAGCTCTGGCCTACCTAAGTATCCATGTCAACCACCTCATTCCCCAACTTTCAAGCATTCAAGCAATTAGAGCATGAGATTGAGCTCGTAGCACGAAGCTCGGTAAGGCATGCACGATAGGCTATCTCACAGCTATACGAGGTGGTGGCGACCATTCCTATTCCGCGGAATGGCTTAGGAACACTGCAGGAACGTTCCGTATTCCCTGTTCGGCCCTCCAGAACTCCGGAAAACTTAGCATTAGCTGCCGCGTCGACGCGCACAACTGATCATGAAACAGCTTGCGCCCGTCAATCGCCATGGTTATCAAAGTTGATAAGCTTTCTGATGACACATGGATGATCATTGTGTAACAGACCTCTAAACCACCAGCCCATACATGACACCAAAGGAACTGGCCCCCGGACCAATTCGAAGTCTTTGTCTCGGCCTCTTCTTTCTCCCAACCGCAACAATCATGACCTCTAGAACAACCCTATATCGTTCTTCAACGGCCGCCGGTAGGCTTAGAAAAGTCTACCAGCGGCCCTTCGCAGCAGTTGAACATTTCAAGTGCAACTACTCGCACTCATCAGCCGACAAACGGTGTCAAGAGCCTGACGCCATCGAAGCTCAATTGGACTTCAGAAAGTTTCTCGACATTCTTCGCTACGATAACGACCTTGCCGAGATCAATGACGAGGTTGACCCGCACTTAGAGGTGGGCGCCATCGTACGCAGAGTCAGTGAGGTCAACGATAAAGCGCCATTATTCAACAACGTCAAGGGCACCCGCAATGGATTGTGGCGCATGTTTGGAAATGCTGCCAGTCTACGGCAAGATGAAGTCGAGAGATTCGGACGTGTTGCCAGAAACCTGGGTCTACCACCCAAGTCAAGCTGGAAAGAAATATCAGACCGATTCATGTCTTGGAAGAAGGCGGCTCCGTTGCCGCCAAAGGTCCTCCAGACTGGTCCATGCAAGCAGAACAAGATGTTTGGCGATGAGATCAACCTGGAAGATTTGCCGGCGCCGTACCTTCACGAGGGTGACGGCGGCAAGTATTTGCAGACGTACGGAATCCATGTTCTCCAAACGCCGGACAAATCTTGGACGAACTGGTCAATCTTCCGCGGCATGGTGCACGATCAGAAGCATCTGGTTTGTCTTGTCGGCAGTGGACAGCACAACTCCATCATCCGCGACAAATGGATCGAGAATGGGAGCAACGAGATGCCCTGGGCGCTTGCCTTGGGGGTCCCTCCCATCGCCAGCATTGTTGCGTCAATGCCCGTTCCAGAGGGCGTATCTGAGAGTGAATACATTGGGGCCGTGACTGGAAAACCCCTCGACATGGTCAAGTGCGAACTGAGTGACTTACTGGTTCCCGCAAACAGCGAAGTCGTCCTCGAGGGCACTATGTCTTTCACAAAGAAAGGGCCGGAAGGTCCGTTCGGTGATTATCTAGCCTTGGTCTTTGATAATGAACAGAAGATGGGGCCCTTGTTCCGAGTTGAGGCAATTACCTACAGAGATAACCCTATCCTTCCCATATCCTGCCCGGGAAATATTGTAGACGAGTCTGTAAGTGCATCCATCTGCTCGATACAGAAAAGGAGAACAATTCTGACACCACCTCAATTCGGCGCAGCACACCACAGCTCAGCTAGCAGCTCCTGAGCTTCTTCTGTTATGCCAAGAACACGGTCTCCCCATCAAAGAAGCTTTCGCTCCCGTCGAGACACTAGCAACATGGTGTGCCTTGCAAGTTGACACGGACAAGTTGAGAGATATGGGAACAACCCCTGAAGACTTTTGTCGGAAAGTCGGCAGCATCGCTTTTCATAATAAGAGTTGCATGCTCATCAACCGTATTCTACTAGTGGGAGACGAAATTGACGTGTACGACTGGGACAAGGTCATGTGGGCTTTTACGACTCGCTGTCGGCCAGTTCATGATGAATATGTGTTTGACGACGTTGGGTGTCATCCTCTGACTCCCTATATGTCTCAGATTCCGGGTGCATCTAGAAGGGGCGGAAAGCTTGTTTCGGACTGTCTGATAAGATCGGAATACACCAAGCCCAGGAATTTTAAACATGTCGACTTTGAGAATTCGTATCCAGAACACATAAAACGGAAGGTCTTGAAAAACTGGTCAGCCATGGGATTTTCAAGTTGATCATACAGCTATGGACCGTTTGATAGAATGTCATCTGATACGTAAGGGAAGAAAGTCTAATGTTTTTTCTATTAATTCAGCAACGTTCTCTTTCGTGGAACCCATAAGCTCGGTGGTTGGCGGTGCTGAACAAAACATCATCAGATATTGTTCTGGCCCTTCATACATCTACTCAATAGACACCACGTGCTAGTCGCGTCCGGCAGTCGGATGCTCCGGGAGCAACCAGGCTTTATTCGTCGGAGAGCCACCTCAATTTGGCACTAATCAATCAAAAGATCATTCTATCAAGACGGTCTGTTGCGATCTAGGTCTTCGTTTGAGTTTTTCCAGAGGGGCTCACCGTTTACCTAGTGGGATGTTGACACATGACGCTGGCTGAGGTCTTGGTACCGAACGTTTTACAACTCCAAAACCGAGTCATTGAGACCCGTCAAGCCTTCGTATTCTGAAGAACACAGTTTTCGCATGTGCAAATGCGGTTCAGAGTAACCCCTTTTCTGTCTGCCCGCTCTGAGTTAGCGCCAAGACTGGGGTCGTTGAAAAAGGCCATCTCGGATATGCTTGGCAGTAGAGGCGGTAGCCGCACGCAGGGGCTCCCGAGGCACCCAGATCTCCATCACCGAATAAGGGGCCGCGTCTTGGCCCGTGAGGCCTCTATCGATATTGCCTCGGTGAAAAGGACTCACCGTTACCAGCGGCGGGAATGGCAGAGTATGGGGCCGGATTGCCCGCCGTTTAGAAGGATCCACAGAGCGCCAAGGGTAGCCAGTCCTCGCCCCCGGTTGAGCCCCGTAGGGCCAAGACCTTGTCGGTATTCCGTATGGAAGCCCGAAAGTGGCGGAATGAGCGCAATTGCAGGGTCGTGCTGCTTCTTCTTCGCGGCTTTCGTTGGTAGCGATGGGCAGAAATTTTCGTTCGAAGTATGAAATAGTCAACTGTGGTCTTGGCATTACACTACATCCCTCGAGTTCCAAGATTTTCCGGCAGTAGGTAGGAGGGCATGATTGTCGCAAAATTGTACAAAGGCTTCAGGGAATATGCCGGGCACTTCAGGATGCCGGCCCTCTGAAATTTTCATGCTGACCGATAGCTAATGGTCTCCCGACACGAGATAGCCAAGGAGGGCTGTACCTCTTCATCCCCCTTGTTTTTCACCTGAAGTAGAGCCAAGCAGGCCGCTCGTCTGTGAGCAGTGAAGCATGTAAATGATTTCCGGCGCCATGGTGAACCTTTCGCGAGAGGGCCCGTGACGGAAGACAATTGTGATATACGATTAAGTTGAGATCCGGAGGGTGATCTCGAAGGAAAGGATAGCCTGGGTCCACCATGATGATATGGGAGTCTTCAGGAGAGGGCCGGGAGGCGGGATCGAGGAAGTCCAGTACATACGGATTAATTCTGTTTGTCATGTGAACTTGCTGAATGCTACCATCGAAGCGGGATATCGGGCACCTTTTTCCGAGTGAAGTCTTTTATTTTGACTCAAGCAGTCTATTCGACTCCTAAGTTGACTTTCCGCAGGACGCCGCGGAGATTGGCACCACGAAGACATTGGTGCGGTGAGCGCCAAGTGGAATCAGAGCATTGGGGATTGCCAAGACCTGATAGTGCTGGTATCCATCATGGTAGTATCGTGAAAAGCTTGGCGGCAGGGTACAGTGAGGAGGCAAACCGAAGGAGGAGCGCGACTTTCTTCTTCTCTAAACCTCCCAGGCAGTTTCCTGCGTACATTAGGGGCTGGGAGCTTTCAAGGATCACCCTTACGAATTTTGAGTTGTTTCAAGTTCTCAGTGGTGGGATTATTGACGGGATGCACCGCAAAGTGAGCCAAGCTCACGGGTGCCGTTGTTGTTATGTTGTTTGATGAGCTTCTCACTTGGTGGGCTGTTGTCTTTGGCTCGGCACGGAAGGTCGACACGGTGCGGGCGCATCTCGTGGCAGTTTGCTGAGGCTGATAATGCAGTGTGACAACATCAGACGCTTCCATTTGTCTTCCGGGCTTCTGGGCCCTGTCTGCCGGCGTCACTTGTCACTTGACTATGCAGCTGACACTTTAGTGTCTGGTGTCATTTGTGAAAGCGTGGGGAATTTCCGACAACCAAAGAATGAGTGTTTCCATCCCATATCGCTTCTTTCTGGTGGATGCAGTGGACTCCGTTGTTTAGTCGGTTGGTCAAAGCAGGTTGCCCCTTGCTTCGTAGTCGAGCTAGGCAATGTTGATGAGGTAGCTTAAATGAGCTTGATGTGATGACTTCATAATATGTGGGTGGTCTTAATGCGAGGGATGGCATTTTCTTTACACTCTCACACTCACGCAGATCCGTCTGCTACATTATCCAGCAGTCAGTCTCAGGGAGTTGGGCGGATGGGAAACTCGCGCGTGGGATGTATCGAAAGGGTGCTGGGTGACTGGGGTTTCAGGGGAAAACTCGCCTTGCTCACCCCTTTTGGCCAGCCAGCGGAGGTAGAAGCCTCATCGGGAATAAGCGCTGCCAATATTGCGGGCGGGCAATATTTTGAGCATGCCGAAAACTGGAGTTGCCAGCGAAGAGTGCAAAGTCGCAGCGGAAATGCCGGTGATTTCCAACGGCTTCAGGTGTGATGGATACCACAATCCGGCAAGGTGGACGAGGTGCCACAAGGCGAAGCGGGACGATGAGGGGGTTTACCTCCGAAATACCTGTGCGTTCGGAGAGAAGCCGGATTGACATTCAGCATAGCCTCAGAAACGAGGACGGGAGAGCGGGAGATGATCCAAAACGCTGCTTTAGATGAGGAGGAAGGCCAAGACACTATCAAAAGGCTGGGCACGTGGGATGCATCTTGCATGGGCGATCGACAGTCCAGCACATCGGATATGGCACCCAACAAACTCCTGTGCGTTCTGGTAGGAAAGGGGCAGAAGGAACAAGCTTGGTTCAGAAGTTCAGATGACAGCCGTCAAAAAGGCAACAGATCATCGGGCGCAACAACAGGGGTGATGGATAAGGTTAGGCAAGGCCAGGAGGCAACCGACAGCAAGGGCGGTCGGTCTCGGTCGCGGTGGGGCCGATAGACCGCTTCCGATGAGGTCCGTGACGAACAATTGGCTCGGCCGCTTTCAACGACCGGTGATGGTAAACATTGAAAAGGAAGAAAAGAATCCAACATGTTGGTGCGGGGCAATCCCTCCTGGCAATTTTCTTTGGTAGTGCAATTGAGGCGAGTTGGGTCTTGGCGTTAATCAACATCTAGCAGCGGACCAGGTTGTTAGCTGCGGCAATCCATCCCATTGCGCACATGGAGAGCACTTTAAAGTCTTGGCAACTCCGCCTTGCCAAACCACACCAAAACAGACCGCAGGGAGAGGAGGGCATCAACCACGGTTCAGTCTTGACAACCATCTGGCGTCGGATTCACAGTCTTACGGTATGTGTCATTGGTACAGATTGTCAGACATTTTCCGTCAGTCAGTCTGGCGTCCAAAAGGATGGATCATGGGGTGCGTCCCGGTGTGAGCATGTCACCTCTCCCCTGAGACAACCTGGTCTTTGGGCGCCCATCGACAATCCTACGTAGCTTAATCTCTTCATGAACGTCTCGTACTGTTCTCCGATTGGGCCGCTTCATACCGGAGACCGAATTCTGACTTACCGTCACAGCATCACCTTACCGATTATACATCCCCAGGAATAATATTGACAGGGTACATTACGACGTCTGTCTTTGTCTTTAGTGACATTCGGTTGGCGGCTCGCTCGTTATCATCCGTGCCTCTCACTCGCATGTTTCTCCGTTCTGGCGTTATCCAAGATTTTCATCATGCGCGCTGTGTTCGCCCTTGCATGCGATGTTGATTGCTACTGAATGCCAGGTGTGGATCGGTCCAGAGATACCATTACCGCGGAATCCCAAGTGCCAAACTTTCACGCCAACGCCGGCACGCGGAGCAAATCTTAGACAGTCTCCATCGCCAACCTAGCATCGCGCAAAAGGAACCATACAGGCATCTCCCGAGCCCGCAATTTTCATGTCCACCAATAGCCCAGCTTTGCCTTCTCGAAGCAGACCCCCTCCCCATCCCTCGGTCTCCACCCTGGACCAATTAGCTCGTCGACCCCAGCGCCACGACGAGTCTTGGTTAGCCTGCCTAGACACCTGCTCTGAATCGTGGGATCGGTCGAGAACGAAGCCGGCAGTCTCCTCCTCTTCAACAAGGGATCTCTGTCTTTGTAAGGTTTGTATATAAGTCGGCGTCTGATCCGACCTTCTCGGGAAACTCGTTCTGCCCAGAACCCTCACTCCCTCAACCTTAAACCAACTACTACATTCCTTCTTTTATAAAACACGTGTGTAGATACAAGTCATCAAGATGCAGATTATCAAGTTCGGCCTGGTGCCTTTGTTGGCCGCTGTCCCCGCCCTCGCCTGCAACGGCTACACCGGAGGTGTCCCCAAGGCCACCGGCACTGTGTCCTCCAAGTCGTACATTGAGATCAAGGCCGGTCAGGTCTACGACGGAAAGTGGCAGCGCTTCGACCGCGGCTCTGGTGCCTGCGGTGGCCAGAGCGAGGGTGGTAAGTTGTCCTCCCGCCCTGGAGACCGATACCGACTATCTGATACAATGCTTCGCAACAGACTACAAGGACTCCGTCTTCTACATCCAGGCCGGCGGTACCCTGAAGAACGCCATTATCGGTAAGAACCAGGCCGAGGGTGTCCACTGCAACGGTCACTGCACCCTCGAGTTCGTCTGGTTCGAGGATGTCTGCGAGGATGCCATCTCGATCAAGAACGACAAGGCCGGAACTGAGTCCTGGATCATTGGCGGCGGTGCTTACCACGCTTCTGACAAGGTTATCCAGCACAACGGCTGCGGTACTGTCAACATTATCAACTACTACGTTGAGGATTACGGAAAGTTGTACCGCTCGTGCGGCAACGTATGTCAACACCACCAAGCATCACCACAACACGATTTTGAATGCTAACCACTTGGAAACAACAGTGCAAGACGCAGTGTAAGCGCAATGTGTACCTCGAAGTTCGTGTATTTATCCCCCTTCTTCATCGTCAGGTTGCTAACTATCATCAGGGTGTTACCGCGAAGAACGGTGGCGAGCTCGCCGGCATCAACGCCAACTACAAGGACACCGCCACTCTCAAGAACGTCTGTGCGGACGCCAAGACCAAGTGCCAGATGTACAATGGCTGCGCCGGTGGCTGCGAGCCCTCCAAGGCCGGCACCTGCTCTGGCTAAGCATCTTCGGCTTTGGCCAAGCGTATTGCGCAACACCCGCTTGACGGGTTTTCGCACATCTTCTTCATTATGGACAGGTTGAGGAGTTGTCTGGGGAGTTTTCCGAGCTTCGGAAATGACGCCGACAAAGTGTTGGGGGGTTGAATCATATTCAGTGTCTTGGGCGAGCCTCGAGACCTTTAGACATTCTTGTACATACACATTGGGAAACCGCGTACATACTTATCATAAGTGCACATATTTGGCTACTAAATTCGCTCCCGAATACTTATGCAAGGGCTTGTGAGAGTCACTCTCTCTCAGATGCCCATTCCGATGCTTGTGAATCATATGCCGTCCAAGACAACCCTCGGTCAATCCCACCAAGATGCCCATAGATGCTTGGGCATTCAACGTTAAGAAAGGTGCCACCAGGCGTTCATCGAGTATGAATTCAATTAAATTGAAAACTTTCGCGCTAACTGACCTTGGCAACTCGGCGTTCCATCATATAACCTCATGATCCACGATTCCCTGCCTCCCGCAACTCTATTCATGACTCGGGCAACTTGCAAAGTCGTATTATTACTTCACAACTACAACTGCCCTCGCCATTAAAGAAGGAGGGGCTCGTCTCTCGAGTTCTACAGCCTGAGGGGCCTTGGAGGCATTGGTTCCGAAGGCCCAAACGGGAACGATGCCCGTCTGATGGCCCAAAGTCCAATCTGTTGTTCATCATGCTAGGAGTACATGCAGATGTATCTGCTTTTTCGATTTGTGTTCATGTGCCTTAAACACCTGTCAAGCAAGTGACCAAAAAACTGGACACCTTGAACTGGATTTGAGGGGGAGATGCCTGTCGTAGCACTGGTTGATATCAGATATCTGGACCTTTTGCTAAGGAATTTGCACGGGAGCTGCCACAGCTTTCTCTGTCTCTATAGCACGAGCTACCAAGAGCTATATGATTACAGGTTCAAGGTATCTCTTTATACCGACCTAGCTTGTTTTAGCGAGCTACCAGATCTCTCATCCCACGACTTAGAGGCAAATGTCAACTTTCTTCTCACGAGGGCGACAAGAAACCCTCACTATTCCGATCACAATAGCTAATCCTCTCGTCAAACTCAACAACCTAAGCACTAAAATCTTCTCCTTCGATTTTGTTTCATGCACTAACCTTGTCGCAGCCACCCTCGAGTAGAGATTTAACCATACATGGAATATCTGCAGCTGAGGCAATCATGTAGAGGCCTTGGCTGAGCAGCTGTTGATGGAACCTCATCTTAGCTCGGTTCATCGCTAGTATACACTTGCTCCTCGCGGCATCGCCCAGTGACTACGTTAAGCATGTCATGCAGGCAGTCCGTCTCTACAACGAGGTGCTTCAGGGGACACTATCTCTCGCCCAATGAGCAAGACAATGTCCGCAAAGTGCTCGTCGAGGCAGAGACCGCGTCAGGCGAGGCTCGACGCAACCAGAGTGCCGTCACCCGCGAGGTGGACAGGGTCCTGTGAGCCTCCTCTCCGACACCTCTCTTCATCGAGGTGACTGAGCAAATTACATGTACAGGACCACCGGAAAGACTCTGACCGACCTCCATGATGCTCAGATACAGGAGCTCAACGATAGAATTCTCGAGCAGGGGGTCGAGCAAAGCGGAGAAGGCGGTCCTCTAGCGGAAGTAGTGGAGGAGGAGGATGAGGCCCAGGGACGTACACCTTAGACCGTTCATCTACCCAACCAGAGTCCACCTCATGTCATTCTTCCATCCAGCCAGAGCGTGCCGGACACATCTCTAAATATCAAGACTACCACGTCAACATCGGCCAGTCGCAGTCGACATCTTGGACGACGACACCAAGCCTCTCCCACTTTGGTCTAGACCAGAGCACTGGTAACCAAGAGGTTCTAGATGTGTCGGTACGAACCTGGAAGTTGTGCGGCTGAGAGCACCAGCATTACAGGGATGAGACGGGGAGGTGGGTTGCATGCAGACATTAGACCTCGCAACCGAATGAGAATCTGATGACTTGAAAGTTATCTGTTCAGTGCTGCATGCGTAAACGACGTCTTTTGGTACCCTTTCTCATCTTCAGGTTGTTAACATATGACCAGGGTGCAGGAAAGTCGTCACCAGAGATTATCAGCATGAGAAAGGAGCACAAGTATTGGGTAAAGAGGCATTCATTCATTCGTGTAGAATAAGCCCGCTGTCTGCGAAATGCCATCTGCTACCTAGAGAAATTATGAAGAAGAGAAACTGGCAAGGCAAGCATTCCACGAAGTACGCTAATATTGCCGCCTCTAGCCATCCCTTCAGACCCGAAACTTTGCCCATGAACCACAACCACCTCCCTGAACCCCTGGTAATCCCATACAAAAGCAAGATATAGTCCGCCACGAAAACTGACAATGGGGGTATATAGGTTGTAAGTGCGCACCAGAAATCATTGCTGGGCAATAAGTCGTCAAACGCCATCCTCGGGAAGCCACTAACGACCAGACTTGTGCAGCTTAAGCAACTCGTACATCTCGTTGTCGGTTCCCGTGTAATTGTGGCCCGACATGTTGAGCCCTCCGTAATGCTGCTGCTGCTGGTATGCCTGACTGGCATTAGCAGTCCCGCTTCCGTAGCTGTTGGACGTGCTGCTTCTAGTGCCGTATCCTCCTGCTGCATTGGCCGGCGTGGATGACGTTGTGCTTGAACCAAAGCCGTACCAACTGTGCTGGTCCGGCTGAGCCGACTGTTGTTGCGTCTGCGACGAGTAAGAGCCGTAAGATTGCGTCTGCTGCGGCTGTTGCTGTTGTGATTGCTGCTGCTGCTGCTGCTGTTGGTGTTTATTTGACGACGACCGAGTGTGAGTACCAGCTGCTGAAGCACGCATGTTAAACGACTGCAAGGACGCGGTTTGTTGCTGGGTCGTGGTCGGTGTCTGCGAATAAGAGGAGGCGGCCGGAGTTGTATTGTTGTAAGACTGGGAGCTGCGGGTCTGGTACTGGCTAGAACGAGAATTGTTGGTCGGCGTATACGCAATGTTCGTATTTTGGGCTGTGCTGCTTCGATCGTACGTGTTGTCGTACGAAGTGTAGGTGGATGTGGTCGCCGACGTTGTTTGTGCCGTGTAAGGCTCGTATGCGAGCCTCGTGTCAGAGGCTGCATTGTTATTGCTCGTAGCCGAGTATTTGGTGTTGTAATTGCTGTAGCCAGACACGTTGCCCATAGGCTGAGTATCGACAGTGGTGGACTGCTGCACCGTGTGATGAGACGGAGTTGGTCGCGGATCGGTGTTAACAGGAGTCCGCGTTGACGCTCTATGTCCCGCTCGGCTCTTAGCTCGAGCTGTTTGGACAGGTGCCTGGAAAGGAGACACTTGAGCAGGTGTGACAGACTGCGCGACTTGCGGAGTTGGAGATGGGCGGTGCTGTTGCTGCTGCTGCTGAATAGCGGCATGAGCTGCCGTCTGCTGCGTAGTATTGAAGCTGGACTGCTGAGTAGCGGCTTGAACTGGGGTCTGTGTAGACCTCCTTGAGCTTGAGCGGGGCTGTTGCCTGGTAGTCGTCGTTGGAGACACAGTATTTGCTGGCGCCTTTGGCGGCGATGTCGCCCAGTTCTGCGCGTAGCTGGGAAGTGGGACAGCACTCTCCGTCGTAGAAGTTCTAGCTCCGGACGGCAGACTCCGCCTTGTAGCTGTAGAAGTTCGTGAAGCCTTTGGGCTCTTGGCCGCTGGTTGCGTGTAACTCACGGTCTCAGCGACGGCTGGCTGGGTATATGATGTGGTGTCCATAGTCGGCTGAGTGTAGTTCGCAGTCTGTGTCAGCGCAGGTTGCGTATAGGACGAAGTGATTGCGTGCTGATCCGTAAAAGAGACCGTGGCTGATGGCTCCGGATAAGTGTTTACGGCATGAGACAGGCCCATGTCGTTTGAAGAGCCTTGGCCATACGTGAGATCGCTCGGTCCCGAATTGAAGTAGTCCTGGGTTGATGTGTCGGCTGCGGGAGTCAACATATTAGCGACGGGCATGTTTGATGTGTAGTCGATAGTCTCGATGTCGTCAGGCTCTGGCTCTTCTTGTGGTTCTGGAACAGGCTCTGGCTCGGGCTCTGCGTCAGCCTCCGCGTCGTCCTCGTCGTCACTAACAACTTGAACGGCCGTGAGTGTAGATTTCTTCTTCGTGGCAGCACTCTTGACCAGCGGGTACTGGCAGTCACGCCCTTCCTCTTCGCACACATCGCAAGTAGGCTTTGTTCGATCACACTGCATCTTGTTAGTTTGGTGAAGGGTGTCTCTGGCGACGGTACTCACCTTAAGCTTGCCGATTCTGCAACCAATGCAAGAGCCTCTGGAGATCATCTTCATCGGAGTGCCTTCAGGGGCTGGGACTAACTCCTCTTCCAATTCCGTGGTTGACTTCGATTTCCGTGACGCCTTCTTCTTCGCCTCGGTCGGGGTTTCGGACTCTGAAGAGGCTGCGGGTTCCTCGAGAACTGCTGGCTGCGGCGGGGTTGATGAGGCGCTCGTTGACGAAGACGCAGCGGCGTCATTCGGGTGCACAATCCGTAACCTCTCTGCGCCGTACTTGACGAGCATAGATAGAGATTCCTTCTGGAGGTCTGGAGATTGGTTGGCGAAGATGCTAAATTGCTCCGTGGACAGAGTCTCCGGGTCCACTCCGTTGTCGCTCAACATTCTGATGGCCACCTCACGGCGCCTAGCCGCTTCAGCCGGTGGCACGTTGAGATTTGCCTGGGAGTGGAGGTTGCTTTGCACTGCAGCATCTGCCTTGGTCATAACCGTTGAATCCGCTGCACCCGCGCCGTCCGCGGACGCCTCGGCGGCGTTTGCGTCTGACTTCTTCTTCCTCTTCTTCTTTGGCTGCGCAGGAGTGCCGTCCTCGTTGACGGCCGCCGACTTTCGCTTTCTCTTTGGCTCCTTGGGTGTTCCATCTTCGTTGTACTCAACCTTCCGGTTTCTGGGGGTCTTCTTCTTGTCTCCTGCGGGGATCAAAGGTACAGGAGGCGGTGCCGGGGGTAGTGGTCGGAAATGCTCAATCATCTCCCCAACGGTCTTGTGCAGCGGCGAATGCTCGTACTTGACGTTGATCGTTCGCGAGTTCTTGGAAAACGCGATGGTCAGTGTGCCTCGGCAGTCGAAAGCTGGGCGGCCTGTACAAGTTAGCATAGAAACCTAAATCATTAAGGAAAGACCGTACCTGAGATAACAGGATCGAGCTCCTGTTGGCTGTACTCTCCTATGAGCGACTTGGATGCGGTCTTTCCCTTTTGGCGATTCCACATGGCCATCGAATCCTTGCACATATACGTGAATGTCCATCCATATGGACCTCGCGACACCTCTCTGACCACCCAATTACTCTCGTCCACTGTCGACAGCAAGGCGACGATATGCTTGGCCACTGCTCGCTGCATCGCTGGATTGTCGTGCGGCTGCTGGATAATGGCATCGTACGCGCGCACGACCTTGACCTGCTGACCTTCGACAGTCTGGGAGCGGAAGCCGCTCAGGGCCGGGTCGATGTTTTCCTGGGCGTCGCCATCGCTCTCGCGGATCGCAAACTCGACAGTCGAGGGGACGTCCAATGTCACGGAGACGTGCTCACATCGCGTGGGTGTTCTCTTCGTCTCAAGGTCTTGTTGAAGCTGTGCGGGGAGGTCTTCGGGTTTCGCGATCGAGAACTTGTCGCTCAGCGCGTCGCCGTAAGACGAGGGCGCCAGGCCCAGAAGGGCCTCGGCCATCGCAGGATTTTGTCGGCTATCCTTTTCGTTTCGGTTGATGAGCGCGGCGAGACTGGAAATTCGCGATTTCGCCGACGGCGACTGCTGCGTGCGTGTGATGTTGTGGGATAAACCAGCGATTGACGCTTTGGTTGGAGTCGTTTGCTCGTACAACGTCAGCGGCTGGGGGCGCGAAAGCGCGGTTCCGCGTCCGTGAGAAGAGGGGTGGGACAAAGAGGAAGGTGGAGGGCGGGGTGGGGTGGCCATAGCGGCGAGAGTTCCTTCCTGGCCTGGGCTTTTGCCAGGATCCGCGATTGCGACTGCCATCCAAGCGACCTCAATGGACAGTTGCCAGCGAGGTTGCGACACCGAAGAATGAGAAGGAGAAAGAAAAAAAAATAAAAAGTCTTTTTCTGTAGTAGTTTTTTCTCCGAAGCTTTGCAAGTAGAGGAAGACACACAAAATAGAAACAGCTCGTCGCGGCGAGAAGGATGATGGGGTAGCAAGGTTGACTAGGTTGTTGCTGGCACCGTCGACGTGGTGAGATTGGCGATGAGAAGGACAAAGTTGGAATCTCCAGAAAAAGAAGTAAAGAAGACGCTTCAGAATGTGACCGGTGTGGTCCTCCTTCTCAGTCACCAACCTAATTTCAGTTCCTAGTGATCCTGAGGCTACGGGTCGTGTTCAGCACCAAAACGCTGCTTCAAGGTCTGGTGCGAGCTTCGGGTATTTCTTTGCACCATTCTCATTGTTGTCACAACACAAATAAACAACTTTCGGGTTTGCCTCAGTCCTAGGATCACGCGGTGGGATTACTTGTTTGCCTTGCTACGGAGTAATTTTGATAAGGCAAACCAAAGTCGTATAGTGTTTGAGAGAATTCAAGTGACTATTCAAGCCGTCCAGAGCGCCACCAGACAGACGCCAAGTACAGCAAATGGATCAACAACAAATCAAATAAATACGCTTCAAGATCGAGGCACGATCACAGATGTTCTTCCTGAGCAGGGGTTTCATCAATCTCATTATACAACTACATAGAAGAGGCGATCCAAACCGGATCAGTGATTAATGAGAGCTCAAACTCCCTCGGGTATCAAAAGTGGTTTACAAGTGTTGAATAAGCATGCAGCTTAGTAGTAAATCTTCTCGTCCCAGATGGGAGGTCTGGCTCCCTCGGAATCCCACACCAACTTGTTCTTCTCATCCAACTGGCACCCCTCATCGGTGATGGGAATGATCTTGCTCGTCTGCGCAATCTCATGCTTGGACACACCAGCGCCATCCTCAGGAATCCAAAGGAGTGGGGGGAGGCTGGAGACGGAAGGCGGGTAGTAAGCGTTGTCCTGGATGTTACCAGGGTACAACTCGTCGACACTGGCCTCATCGCGAGGCACAAGCTGGCGAAGGTGCGTGTAATTGGCAAAGATCCAAGGCTTGAGGAAGCGGGTAACGATGTTGCCACCCTCCATCTCCACCTGGTTCTCCTCTCCTCCCGGGCTGAAGTTCTTAACGTTGGCAATCTTCTTGAACGGGTTGCTTGAGGTGCCGTTCTGGCCATCCTCCTCGGAAACACCTCTGCCAGAATCCTTGCGGTCAATATCCTCGACGTTGGAGTTCAAAGATTCCTCTTCAACCTGGAGCGAACGGGGCAAAGTGTACAATAACGGGTCCAGGACGCTGTTGAGAGTAATGTGGAAGAGGACGGAGAAGATGAGGAAGACGATCATGAGGATGAGAGGTCCAATGGCTTTCGAAACGGCGAAAAGACCAACCAAGCAGATCTCAGCAAGGTAAACGCCTGCGAAAAGCTGCTTGAGAGCACGAGGGTAGAGGAGACCTCTCGTGTCGATCTTGGTGTCGGTAACAAAGAGAATGTTATACCTGTAAGCCAAGTAGAACAGTCCCATACCGATGGTGGAGAAGAAGAGCATGAGCGGCGCAATGATAGCATAGGTGATGCCTGTGGTTGAAATTAGTGAATAGCATTACCATGGAGGGATGAACAAGAACTTACTGATAACGGCAATCATGGTGTAAACTGGCAGGACGCTTCCCCAAGAGATCGCCGCCAGTGTGGACCACTTCACGTAGAGAGCTCTGGGAGTGTTGGTAAGGAACTTCAGAAGCACCACGAAGATGGCGAACGCGACTACTTGAGTCATCGTACCGACTGCCAACGTAATACCCTGGACGATGAAGTAGCTAATGTAGAAGCTGGACGACTTGGGCAAAGCCTCGGACAGGGTTGAAAAGATGGAGCTCGGGTTCTGGCTGATTTGAATGACAGCAGCCAAAGCCGACTGAGAGATGGTCGTAATCAAGAAGACCTGGATAAGCTGAAACCAGTAGTAGGCGTTCTGGGTGAACAACTCGACCCGGGAGTTGGAAGGTTCTCCAGCCAGACGGGCGCAAAGACGCATGATGACGGGAACCAAGGACATCAGAATGGACAGTGCCACACTAGGCAAAAGACCAGAGACAACACCCATGATCACGTCGGGGATCTTCTTCAGCCAGGCGAGGAAGGCGTATGTCTCGAGTTGATCGACACGAGCGATGAAACCAACTGCAGTGACTGGAATGGCCCAGAAGATAATCAGCGCGGAGACGAAGGCAACGACAGCGTAGCGGCGAATGACTCTCTGCCACCAAGGGACTCTGAGGGACTTCCAGATAACTTCGGTGGGTTGAATGCCGATGAACTTGGGGGTCATCTGAAGAGCCTGGTGGTGAGTGGTGACCTGGTACGCAGCCTGGGCATCGGACTGGGTGAAGAACTCGACAAAGACGGCAGGAATCTTCTTGGCCTTTCCGGCACGGTAATCGGCTTGGGCGGCTTCGACGGCGGGAATAAGACGCTGCAACTCGGATCGGCACCAGTCGATCGTGTCAACCTTCTTTCCGACCAGTCCCAGGGGGCCGAGTCTGTGTGTAGGACGCTTCTTCTGAGGAATCCACTTGGTAGCAGCATCGGCCGTCTCGGCGTCTTGAGCGGGAGTCTTCTCGGAAGAGGCACCCTTCTTGATAGCCTTGAGGCGGGCCGCGTTGACCAATTTGATGAGCTTGACCTGGGCCTTCTCCAGCTTCATGGCAACCTTGTCACGCTCCTCCACCAACTCGTCCAGCTTTTCGGTGTCTCCGGTGATCCAAATTCTCTTGACCGAGTCGCTGAAAAGCTTCTTGAGTCGGTGTTCGTCGAGGTATTCTTCGGGCACGGAGGTGAAGAGAACAGTTCGCGACGAAATGCGCTTGGAATAGGTGGGCGAGAGCAGGAAGGCCTGGCGCAGGTTGATGTAGAAGATGCACTCGCGCATAATGAGATACATGACGAAGCCATAGAAGAGCCAGCCGACCAAGGCGTGCGCATATAGACGATTGAGACCTGAGGATTGGCTGATGTCGATGTTGCTGTACGTGAGGACATCAAGTTGGCTTGCATTGTTACCACCAGTAGCGTTGATGGGAAACAGGATGGGCCATGTCATGCCGAGACCAACTAGACAGATGGAGGCGCACAGGCGCAAAAATCGAAGGAAAAGGTAGGAATCAAGAGACTGGTGCTTGAGGGCGTAGACATCGGGGATTTTCCAGAAGCTCGCGAACCAGTTCAGGATGCCACTGGGTAGGCTTGGTGTTCGTTCGCTGTGACGATGTTAGTCCACTGCCGTCAAGTTACGAGTTCCACGCAATGGGCATTACCTCTCACGCAAACTGCCCAGATAGGTTCTTGGGGCATAGAATCTACGCTGGCTGCGGCGCAAAATCAAAAAGATTACCAAGTAGACACCGGCGATAGGAGCGCAGACAGCCAGAGTCGAAACCATGCCCGACAGAGAGCTGCCAGAGGTGTCACCCCGTGCCTCGCCCTGGTTTTCCGTCGTAGCATTCGCGGCGGACGACATGGCGACGGTGTTGGCGAATTGGGTCGCCTCGAGGTCGACGGGAAGGTGTAGTGGTGCTCTAGGAGTTGTGGTTGAAGAGGAAAAAGAGACGTCAAAAGACGGGAGAGATGATGGTGGGGGTCCCTGGGGCCAAGTCGGGTATTAAACAGGGAAATAGGCGCGTCGTGGAGACACAGCGGAAGGGGCTTGGAAGAGCAAGAAGGGACAGGGGCTGTAGCTGGAGGGGGGAGAGAACGGGATGATATGTGCGTTTCTGTGGGTGTTGAAAAACCGGGAGTTGGTCCCTAGTCCCCAGATGAGAGATGGCACGATGCCCGATTAGAGCAGATAGGTCGGTGTCGATCAGTTGCACAAGCGACGAGCTTGCCAACCTGCCCAGAGCTTTGTGGCGTGGAGCGCGTGGGCTGGTGGTGCGGTGCAAGTGTTGGTGGTGGTGCAATGGTGCAGCGGTGCACAATAATGGGATGTGATGCTGGCCTGGGCTGGACCTGGGCCGGACTCCCCAAGTCAGGAAAGAAGAAACAGTGACGTGAGGGAAGGAAATTGGGCGCGTCTCCCAATGTCTCAGTCCTTCGTCGTGCTGAAAGGAGGTGACGCCACAGAACCACGGAAGTGCGCTAGGAGGTGCGTTAGCCTCCTTTTTTTCTATGCGCAGTGGCTGACGATCGAGGGTTGGCGGGAAACAGCCAGGCTATCGATGGAGATATCCGTCCTGACGGGTGATGGAAGGGAGGAAGGATATGTCGGCGCCGTGTTGTTATGAGAACGCAGAAGAGAGAGGGAAGAAAAAAAGACACGGCGAGGCGGTGGAGAGGATCGACGATTCTGGGTGTCGGTGTTGATTAAGTCGGTGGCAGGAGGACCTGTGATGCCTGACGACTTCTCGACGGGGAATGGACCTTATGGGACCGTATGGGACCTGTCTGCCGGGCTGTCTTTTCATGAGACGGAATTTCTTGGGCTGAAGAGGGGTCCTGTCCCTTATTCTTATTTCGAAGGGTCCTTCACCGGCCGAAAAGAGGCCAACCGGACGAGGATGGGATACTCAAATCTGGGACCCCTGGTTTTTTTTTTTTTCACGAAGTGAACACAGAGAGAGGAATACAGGAACACATCCACACATCACATGCCACATGCCAACATGCCTGAACAGCGTACCTTGGTCGAGTCGCAGCAGTATGCAGTATCCGTAAAGGGGAGGGAGACAAGAGCTGAGGCGCGGGATGGTGTGTCCCAGGTCCAGGGCCGGTAGAGACAGCAAAGACACACAGAGAGAGCTTCCATGGCTGATGGCAGGGCAGCAACCGCCTATGACGCATCTCTGCAGCGCCAACTCGGCTCGACAATCGTCCAATGTGCAGCTACGGCATGGCACCAAGACTCCAAGACTCGAAGAGGGGGGTTCCACCAGACAGGGGCAGCAGCATTTGGGGAGGTGCGAAGGTGGTTGAACCCAGCTGCAGCAGCTGCAAGAGCAAGACTGGGTGTGCTCCCTGGCAACTTCCTGGCGTCGATGCGCCTGGGAACGGCAATGCACTGGCCATCTGGTGGAGACCGCGCCCACCATCGTCGAATCCTGGCCAGTCGAGGTGTTGTGGGCCGGCTGAACGCTGCATACTGCGCCTCTGATTGGCCACTACATTTGCAATTGGAAACCGCCCTTAACCTTTGCGACTGCAGTTTGCCAGCAAGAAGCACTCTCACTGAGGGAAGCTACCACTGCCGGCTTGTGGGCGGTGGTGCTGCCGCCGAACACACTGCCTACCTACCTTCCGCCGTAGAGTTTTTCTCAGTGCTAAGGTAAGGTAACTTCCTCTTGGCGGCCTCCGTCTGGAAGGTAGCACCTGCTGCCGACATCGACATTCGGACGTCTCAACCATCCGATGTGTTCGTCTGGTCTGTTGCCGTTGCCAACTTCTGCGCACTCTACATCCCACAGTCATCTTTCATTTTTCTGCCCTGATTCGCGCCAAATCCTCACCGGAAACACCGTGATCCACCAGAACCGGCTGTCGTCCGCCGGCAATGTTGCACCGGACCCCGGCAGACAGAAATGCGCAGGGCCAGACTTCCAGGTTTTTTCACCACCCAAAATCTGGACGTCGGCTCCTCTCGCTGCAGGGCTCGTCGCAGTTAAGCAAGGGCCCTGGATGTGTCGCCCGTGGCCGAGAGGCTGGCTACTGAGCCACGCCAATTAAGACGACCTGTCTTTCGCGCGCTGCCGACAACCATTGAATGCGTTTCGACGTTGCCGCCCGTCTTTCACCCGAGACGAATGGAAGCCAGCACCGACCCAACGGCAGCCACACGGCAGTAACGACGGACGAGTGACATCAACCTGTCTTGGCCTCCCCCGAGGAAAGCAACGCATGAGAAACCAATTCCACCCACTGACGCAACCTGCCCGTGGTTTTTTTTTTTTCTGCCCTGGATATGCGTACCGCGACACGCACCACTCACCACGCACTTCCACGCGGCTCTTGCGCATCTCTGTTGAAAACATCGCCGCACTATCGCAAATTGGACAAACAATCGGCGGCCCCAGACCAACGGCCTCAGCACCAGCCGGCTGGGCAGCTACGTACAAGCGTCATCGAGATGCCAATGCCAACATCGATGCGCTCTCTCTGCGAATAGTCGTTTATCATCACCCGGACTCCAACCGTGCCGGCACTAATAACCGGCGACAGCTGCGCCGGTCTTCGTCTGGCATTGGGGCGATGGATGGGAAATGGGATCTGTGCAACCTACAACACCGCTCCTCGCTCCATCGACAAGGCCAATTTCCCGCTCTGGAACGCTTCGAATTTTGCCCACCGGCGTCCTAAAACTAGCGGCCATGGTCAAAGTGCCAAACCGCTTCCGGCAGTCTGGTTGCGCTTCCATCGGCGCTACTCATGGAGAAAATCTCAAATCCTCCACATTCTGGCACCCGTTCCCTTGCTACTATCGACAGACAGTTTCTCCTCAGACCCCTGTTCAGCTGCCAAAGGAAATTGGACGCTGAAAAAGACGGTGGACCAGCCTGCAAACAGCCACGAGAAACAAACTTGCGAGGGCCACAACCGATAGCCCACCTGAGAATCAGACAGCCCGCGAGTCACTGCCACTATTTGCGCGACAACGGGCGACGGTAGCCGCCCGCTGCCCTGGCGATGTGGCCGTCCGGTCGGTTACACCGTTTCGCCTTTGCCATCGTTTGTTTCCAGTGTCTTGTGCGGTCGGCGGGAGGGCGCGCAGTTTGGAATGGGACTCGCCCAGTCTAACAGCCATAACAGTGTCATCTGGCAGAAACACTAGCTGCCCTATCGGCGTAATCTGCAATCCTCGGCAGCCTCTGCTGCATCTCTTGCCATGCTTGTACAGCTGGATGTGCTGCACCTCTTGCAGATTTACCGTCGCGTGCGCCGTTCTGTGTGTCCTTCCCAGCTGAGAGACCGCATTTCGACCGGCCCAGGCCCCATGCTGTCATCAACCCCCTTCATCAAATATCCCGGCGAACTTCGCCCCAATGGCGGACCTCTCCGTTGCAAACCTTGGCGGCCGTTCTAAACTCTATTCGAATGCTTCATTTGAGAAGTCCGGATAAATCAGCACCGACACCTGCCATATCTCTATTCGCCGACCAACCATCGACTATCGCGGCATGTTCCTCTCGTCGGTGCCACGTTGTTTAGCCGTTGACGACCAGATTTCCGGGGATCGTGCGCAGCACGAGGACGGCTATCTGGGGTCGGCGGATCGCTGGTTCTCGATTATATCCTGATCGGGTCGATCGTCGTTCTATTCCTGCCCGAGTGGCGTTCATGTGACCAGTGTTGAGATGACATGCATCTTGCTCATGGGAATGTGTCCCAAAAGCTGCCTGATGAGTTATCCCATCATGTTTGAGCAGCTTGAGATCTCTGACGTAGCCTCAACTTGGGCTGAAAGTGAAATTCACTGCAAATTCAGGCAGCCACTTGCATTGATGAACATGACCTTCCATTTACACGGTCATTCGTCTTCCACAATCACAAAGACGACCTTCTCCCTTGCAGGGCGTTGCTGAAAGAGCTACAGTAGGCAGTCTTTGCTTACATTAGGTTTCTATTTTCTCATCCTTCCGCAGCCTCGACGGTCGCATTGGCCCTTGCTATTGTTCTTAAATGGGCGTGGCCGTTGATTGCTTCATAGAGACGTATTGCTATTGTTCGTCCTATCCATAGCTTTGGGCTTCAAAGATCGCAATGGCTTCTTTGTCCCGTTTGCTGTTACAGCACCGACCAGATGGTCTCAACCCTTGAGAAGTGAAGAAGGCAATGAAGAGAGGTTTTTCAAAATGGCGACTCTCCCCAGCCTCAGGTCTCTTTGGGCGCAAATGGACTCACTTTCTCGTCTGACATCATCCCTGGTTTAGTCGAAGCACTTACAACTGTCCACGTTTTTCTCACAATGTCTACTTACGACCATGGTCATCGCGAGCCCCATCCAGGCTACGTGGAGAAGACACCATATGCTCACGGGTACCAGTCACGATACACGGAAGAGATCATCAACAGAGGCGGCTATGTCACTGGACACGACAACCCCTGCGACCTCCAGCTCCTGGATCATGTCAATTGCGGTTACCTCTCAACGCATGGAGTGCCGCCGACCCTGCTCGCCCTCAAGCAGCATGCTCAGTCGCTCGCCGTCCTCATCTCTCAGATCACAATCTCGAGCCAATACGCCGAAGTCGACAACAAGAACAACGCCGACGGACGTATCTACAAGTCGTTTCGCGACAACGAAGCCTTTGACTGGCTCAACGACCTAAGCATGCCCTACGAGAACGACGACGAGTGGCATAACAAACCTCTGACGGACCTCATGAATGTCGTCGCGAGACAGTCGGATACCAGGGGCACCGAGCATCACTGCCCCCTCCAGAGATTCTCCTTGCCGGAGGAAGGAAAGACGAAGCTGCGCCCCTACGCCTCGCACAGCGCCCTCGCCATGCACGCCAACGAGTGCCTCGAGGTGCTCGATCACGAGTACAGCGCCACGGGCGGCCTCATGTCCCTCCTCCCGACTGACTCCGCGGCCGACGCCAAGGATATGGTCGCGGTCCGCAACAGCCTGCTCGGCCAATTCCTCCTATTCGCCCAGCACCTCGTGGCCCGCATGCATGACCTCGAGCTTAGCTACGCCAACGCCCTCGACGTGACCGCCGGCGAGGCCGCCGTGCCGATGCAGATGCTCTCCAAGGTCGGTCCGGACGGCACCTCGGGCAGGGAGGTGGCGTACCCGCAGGACAAATGGATCCTAGCCAACGCCGGCGACGACGTCTTTGACCACCTGCATCGCGCGTTGGACCGCCAGGAGGCACAGATCAAGATCAAGCAGCAGATCTACGAGGCAAACGGCACGTACGGCGAGCGCCTGTGGAACGAGCAGCGTGGCGGAGACCTGTACGCCCGCGGGCTTGTATTCTACGACGTCAAGACACGCTTTTTCCGGCTACAGGGCAAGGGAAAGAGCACCATCTTCATGCTTCCCGCGCACGGCGAGCATCCGGCGGTGCAGCAGACGCGCCGCATCGAGGTCACCCCGACGGTGGTCTCGGTCGTGACGCCGACGTGGCCGGCGCGCGTGTCTGAGTGGGAGAAGAAGTACCGCGCCAAGCTCGAGGAAGCGGACGAGAGGGAGATCCAGCACCATGACATGACCGCGGAGACATTTAAGATGCGGGAGCACAACGAGACGCTCGCGACGGAGCTGCAGAAGGCCCGGCTCATGAACGAGAAGTTCGAGACTTACTACACGGCGTCGGAGGCCGCGGACGGCGCCGCGGTGCTGGAGAGGAAGGCGGCGGCGCTCGAGGCGGAGCTCGCAGGGCAGAGGGCTCGGATGGAGCAGCTCGAGAAGCTGGAGACGCAGCTGGAAAAGCTCAAGCCGCACCTGCCGGAGAGCTACAAAGGGTTCCTGTACTCGCCATTGCCGGGGCAGACGGAGCCTCTAGGTGCCGCCATGTTTCGGGACGCGCCTGCCACGGGTGTCAGCGACTGAGGACTTGGTATGTCTGAGCCTGGTGCGAGGGTCTTGGTGATGGAGGCAACCCGAGAAAGTGTCCTGTGTATGTTTTGACGGTGGCGTAAAGGGTATTGTCTAGGTGGCACGCGAGTCGGGCATCGTATCATTTGTGCGAATACACGACGACGACGACGAGTAGAGATGGTGTCTTTCGTAGCTGCGTTGGTGTAGCTTGGCAATTGGACCAGTTGATCGGACAATGTTGGACAGTGGCGTACAGAAGAGCACACAATAAACGAGCTACTCGGAAGAGGAATCTCGAGGAGGAAACGGTTGTCGAACTCAGCGGCACCAATCTTCGGCTCCTCTCCCTACCTTAGAACGCAACATGTGATTTCCTAGAGTTTGGTAGTGCGCAGCAATGAGCCGCGACTCCCTTGGTTGGCGGTTGCGACCGTGTTATCGGCCATCTTCAAAGTTCCACCAAAAAGATTGGTTCCCCTCCACCCCTCAAAGATCGAAAATCAAGGCCGCGCGACCCACGATTGACGATTGGGAACATGGAACAAAGAAACAGCACCAGGGATGACGGTCGCGGGCTAGTACAATCTCGGCATGGCACGGAATCGGTCAGCAAGGGTCCGGGTAGCCGAAGCACCGCACCCCACCCGAGCCGATTCATCCCCCACCTGCCTGTGTGTGTCGTTGCCCCAGCGACGATGTTCACCGGCGCCCGCCAAAACAAAACCCTGCAGATTTCTGAGGAACTGCTTCGGCGGCGCGGCATGGCAATCCCTCATGATGCCATTCGACGGCCAGTCATTGGTGATTCGGGGTGTCTAAGAATGCGCTAGGGTAAAGTAGACAGACAACCTTGCGGCGCGGACGTTCGATTCTTGCTGCTTCGTTCTAGCCCGTTCAGAAGCTGCTCGGCGTCGAAGAAGTGCGCGCCGCCCTTTCGATTGGACAGACAGCGAGGAACGGAGTGGTAGCTCGGCAGACTTTCGCCGCGCTTCTTTTTTCCCTCCCTTCTTCAAGTCCTGTGTCTGGTTGGTTTCTTATTCCCTCACGCGCTACTGCGTACGTACACCCGAGCTTGGTTGCTTGCCCGCCACCCCTGTCATCCAGACCATTCGATTTGTTGACATCCCACATCCTGTCCGCGAACCCGCAGGCCGCAGACACCACCGCCGCCCCAACCCCCAGCCCCTCGATTTGCATCCCAGCAAGCGTCCCGTCATCCAGATTAATCCATCGACACACGCAAAACGTTCGCCCGGGGTCTTGCAGTGTAGGATCCTCTTTCTCCATACTTGATTGCCCACCATAGCTTTGCTGGCCTCCTCTTTCCCGCATTGCTGCGTGCCCCGTGCTTTCTTCTCTTTCCCATCCTTTCTCTTCTTGTCCAACGCAGCATTTTTCGAGGCCCATTTTCGTAGCCCAGCTGAAGCCGATCCTAGACGAAGGGGGAAGCGAACGGGAGACGACCAGAGAAAGAATGCTTGCTCGTTGAACGACGAAACGGCGTTCTAGATCTGTGACCTCACCCATTGGAGAGAAAGTGAAAGAGGGCATACGAAATACCTGTGATTTGCAAACGCGATCGACGACTGGCGCAAGGATCGGGGGAGGAAGATCATGAACGTGGCTGCCGCATAGCGGTCGGCGGATACGAACAACACAGAAACGGGACCACGATACGCGCCCGCGACAAAACGAACACACATCACACGATGGTGTCATCGACAACAACGACGACATATGGCCGACGGGCCCTCGACGCCCGGAGGACCACCCTCGCCGCGCTGCTGCTGTCCTCCGCCGTGACAGCGCAGCAGACGTTCCCCTACGTCCCGACGACAATCCTGCTCTCCCCCACGCAGCCCGGCGTACCAGCCAACGCCAGCAGCAACGGCCTCGCATATATCTTCCACCAAGGCAGCAGCAGCAGTAGCGTCGAACTGCTATCGTTAAATGTCTCCTCGACAGTCGACGGGGCCTCCAGCCTGCAGACGATATCGAGCGGCCTGCCCTTCCTCGACGGCGCGAGCAAGACGACGGCCTTCCTGCCCGCGATGGCCGACAACGGGACGATCGTGGTGCAGGCGGGGGACTGCGCGGCGGACGACGGCTACGACGTGTGGAGCTACACCGCCGGCTCGTGGTCCAAGACTGCCGCGTCGCTGCCGAGCTCTGCCGACTCCGACGCCGGGCCGTATGCCCTCGGCGCGGGGATCAGCTTCTCGGCGACGCTGGCGCCGACGATGTCGCAGCCGGTGCTGTACTCGTTCGGCGGCATGTGTCTGAGCCCGACGACGGACGAATCGACATGGCAGGAGAACGGGACGTACACGAAGGCGATGCTGCGGGTTGCGCCGTCGGACAGCAGCAGCTCGTCAGGGGCGTACGCGGCGAGCTTCATAACCGGCAAGGGCCCCGCGTTCCCGGAGGCTGGGTTCTCGTTTACGGCGCTGAGCCCGTCCATCTCGAACCGGTCCGGGGTCGTGACGCAGCAGAACCGGTATGTGCTGCTCGGCGGACACACGCAGCAGGCGTTCATCAACATGAGCTCGGCCGCGATCTGGAACCTGCCGGAGGAGTCGTGGAACTTCGCGACTGTCGGGGCTGTGAGGACGGGGAGCAGCGAGCTTGCCGTTAAGGGGGTGGTGAGGAGGAATGCGGAGGTGGAGAGCCGGTCTGGGCACACTGCTGTGTTGAACGAGGACGGCACTGCGCTTATTGTAATGGGAGGATGGGTTGGGAGTGTGTCGCAGGCTGCTTCGCCGCAGCTGGCGGTGTTGCAGATGGGGGATACGTATGGAGATTGGACGTGGGAGATTCCGACGCAGCAGCCCAGCGGCGGCATCTTCGGACACGGCGCGGCGATCTTGCCCGGGAACGTGATGATGGTGTACGGGGGATACGAGATCTCAAGCTCGGGGTCCAAGACGAAGAGGCAATCGAGCGGGACCGGGCTGCGGTTTCTGAACATGACGTCGATGTCGTGGACGACGAGCTACTCGAACCCGAATCACGGCACAACGTCAGGCTTAAGCGGCGCTTCTGACGACAACATCAAGAAGATCGGCCTCGGAGTCGGCCTGGGCGTGGGACTCGCCGCCGTTCTTGGTGCTTTCCTCGTCTACTTCTGCTACAAGAGGCATCTGAGGAAGAAGAAGCAGGCCAGAGACGAGGCGGTGCGCTCTCTTGCTCAGGATGCTTCCCACTTCTTGCACCCGGAAGACGACATGTTAGAGCGGCACGATCCGTCTGCTTTCCCCTGGACAAACCACGCCTGGTACACCGGAGGCCACGACCCCTACGACGACGGCGCCAGAACAATGGGTTACGAGTCCCTGAGAACCCCCAATCAGGGAAGCTACGGCACATATCAGCAGCCACCCGGCCTCCTCATCCCTCGCAAACCCATCCCACGAGCAGCCAGGGGCGCGTACCAACCCGCCGCCACCCTGACGACACCAGGCCACATCCACCCCATCTACGAAGCAGACGAAGACGACCCGGACAACGCCAAAGCCAGACAACGCAACCAGGAGCCCGTGACGCCCACGACACCGGCCTACGCGGACCCTTTCACCACACCCACGGGGTCCGGTTCCGTGCCGGTCCTCGTCCCAGGGAACCGCAACTCCATGACCCCCAGCCCCGAAGCGCTCATGCGGCGCGACCCCGAGGTACAAGACTGGCAGTCCGACGTGGATGCCGCCGAGGCGCTCCTCGCGCAGATGCCCGCTCGGCGCAACACAGGAAAACGATCCTCGCCCTCGCGGCGCGCGTCGATGCGGTCGCGGGCCAGCATGGCCGACGACGAGCGCACCGCCAGCAACGTCTCCGAGTCTGCACGGAGCGCCATCAGCCTGCCGACGCGCAGCGCGTCCGCCAAGCGCAACAGCGCCGGCCCGAACAACCTGAACCTGACCATCATCACGGACGGCAGGGTGGGCACGTCGAGCTCGTCGAGCAGCAGCGGGCACACGTACTCGACGGCCAAGACGACGTTCAACGCGCTGCAGGCGGAGGGGCCCTCGCTGCTGCACCGCGGGCAGAAGCCGCTGCACGAGTCGCCCGACGACGACGAGGAGGACTACATACACATCCCGAGCAGCCCGAGCAAGCACAAGCCGCGGCGGTCGCTGGGGTGGCTGGGCAGTTTGAGGCGGGTGTTTAGCGGGAACCCGAACGAGTCGTCGGACTCGAGCAAGGAGGATGATCTGCCGAGGCGGCTGTCGCTTGACCAGGTCAGCTCGGACTACGAGCCGCGTCTCGTGGGGTTGTCTGGCATCGGGGGCGCCGAGCTGCTGAGGAGGAAGCAGGGCAGGCACGATTGGGATGTTGACCAGAAGTCTCTGGACGAGTGGGATATTGAGAAGGCCATCGAGCAGAGGCTTGTCCAGGTCATGTTTACAGTGCCGAAGGAGAGATTACGCGTCGTCAATGCGGAGGTCGAGAAGGAGGAGGAGGCGGTGCTCGTAGACCCGGACAGAGACGAGCTGGACGAGCTAGACAGGCTGGTGCACGACCCAGAGAAGGCGGGCTTGGTGGTAGACTACAGAGACAAGGGCAAGGGCAAGGAGGTCGCGGAGGAGGACATCACAATGGCGTTTAGCAGACCAGAGTCACCCGAGGGCGTATCATTGTCGCCGACGAGGGGCAGGAGGTTGGTGCATCTACCGCCGCCCAAAGAGGACGACGGCGGGGGCGGGTTGAGGGTCAGAGAAGAGTCTGAGCCGAGGCCCAGTCTGACGCTGAGGACGGCGGAGGTCGTCAGTGTTGTGAGGCCGAAGACGAGGGTGTTGGAGATGGTGGAGAATTTCGAGACGAAGAGCCGGGAGAGCAGTCCATCGCTTCACTAACGGGCTACGTCGTTTGCCGGGCCCTCTCGGTTCGGTTCCTTGTATCTTCCACCATATTTCTGCACTGGCGTCTGTGTTTCCTCCGCCGGGAGATGTGCTGTCTCCAACATTGCTCCTGTTCGGAGAACGAGACGAGACGATACGTGTACATGGGTTATCATGGGTCGACGGCGCGCGTTGGGGAATTCTGGGTTATTTGCAAATGGAAGGCGGCGGATTTTGCTTGTATTTTAACGAGAAAGCGATACATGCTTCGGAAATGGATGGGAGACGGCTTTTTGGATTTTGCTTTTGAAATAAGGGGCTTGGTTCTATTCACTCGCTTCTGTGTTTATGCAATCGTTTTTACGGTGGCGGGTGATATATCATCCTACATCGACAGGTAGTTTGAGGGAGGCGATGGGAGCAGGTAGATGAACCCCGGGCTTGGATTGCTCCAGAGGTTGAAATTGAACATGGTCGGAATGTTGCATGTGTCGGTGCTTGCTTCGCTGTGAGCTGTAAATAGTAGGATGGTTGACTGTATCGAGGTCGCGGATCGTAAAGGTTGTCAAAGCCTTGCGCACGCGAGCTCTTACTCAGGGGCAACCTCGTGTATCTATCATGTACCGTATCGAATGAGTTGAAGAGGTCTCTGAAAGCAGATGATGGGTCTGTTCGCACTGAAAGCCCCTTCCTGCAACGCTTCGTGTCATGCATAAAACTGCAACTCTTTCTTTTCCAGCGCTCGCAAGCGGGTATCTCATAACTGCAATCCAAGCATCATCTCCCCATCTACCATACAGTCCATGGGCCTCCCCATAACCTCACCCCTCCTTCACCCCCTCCTCGCCCTTCTTCTCCCCGTCCGCGTCCCCCTTCTTCCACCGATACTCCCTCTCGATCCCCGCCCTCCTCTGCGCCGTATCGCACAACCTCACATCCCCGCACTCGCACACAGCCGGCTCCCTCACCCAGCGGTACGTGATACTCCACCGGTCCTCCCTCCTCCTCACCGTGCCATCCTTCAACGTATCCGTCTTCCTCTTCCGGATCCCATGCGTCCAATGCAGCCTCGAGTCCCCTGACATCTGCAACATGCTCCGCGGCGTCAAATCAACCTCCACCGTCTCCTTCTCCTCGCCCCCATCCTCACACTCCCCTGTCTTGGCCCTCATCCTCGAAAACTGCATCACAACCCCGCTCCCCAAACTCAGCGCATACAGCTGGTCGTACGCGCTATGCGTGTCCACGTGCGGCGGGATCCCCGCGCCCGGCGGGTAGTGCTGCAGACACACCTGGTCGGGGTCGCGCCCCTCGCGTGTCGGGATCAGCGGCCGCAGCCACTCCGGGAACGCGCGGAACGGCACCGCCGGGTCCACGCCGAACGTCTTGTAGTCGAACGTGTACCCGTAGTGCAGCGACAGCCGGCCCGCGCCGCGGTCCGTCGGCCACTCGAGCTCGAGTCGGAAGATGTCGATGAGCCGCGCCTCGTGCTCCGGCGTGATGAAGTCGTCTTGCCAGAAGAGGCCGCGGGGTTCGGTTGGGAGTTCTTCCATTGGCGTGCGCGTCTGTGAAACTCTTTCGTTACCCAAACTTGCGGCAAGGTAATGAATGGTTGGCGTGAGAGAAGACCGCAGGGTTGATTTGTTCCCGTCCCGTCGGCTGATTTTGATGGTGGGCAAAATCGTTCGAGTGGGGGGTGGGGCTTTTGTGAGAAATTCACAAGTTGACTGATAATCTGTGTCCTTCTTTCTTCTGCTGCAGAACTGTTCAAAAGGCTCTTGAAATTTGAGGACTCTCTATTGTTGAGCGCGGTAGTGTGCGCGAGGAGATTGTTGCTGGCTCATGCCATTTTCAACGTTTCCACAAAAAATTGACAACGGCCGTCAAGTGAGTCGATTGAAGTCGCACAAGCCGCGAAAAGAGTGGGTCCAATATCGGGAATCGGGCGGAGGATCGGACACCCACGCGGATGTGCACCGGTCTGACGGGGGTTGGCCCTATCCCACTGCTTATTGGCTGTGGGATTCAAGGTGCTTTTTGATAACAATTAGGTGGGAAAGCAATGCATTAATGCGATATTCTCGTTCATAATCAGGTCAACAGTAACTGGGACACGGTATTCAAGTTGATAAACTTCATGAAATTGTAGTATCGTTCCCAATCAGCTAAATGATGTGGTATCTCGTAAAAGTAACGCCAACCCATGCATGCAAAAAGGTCAAACCCATCCGTCTCTATGATACAAGAGCCCCTCGTCGCGATATCCCAAACATATATAAGAACGGGTCTCACCACGAGTTATGATTCACGGCCCCGACTTAGAAGGCCTGCCCAGGTCCAGCATTGTGGTTATATCCCTGGTTATAGCCCTGCTGTCCGTTCCTCTGCACAGTCGGCATTTGATCTGTGTGCGGCAAGACAGGGCTTTCAGGCACAGGGCTACGCGCTCCCCACAGAGCCTCCCCAATTCGCTGTTGCGTCAGGTCCCGTGGACCAGTGGCAGTGGGACTTGGAGCCACGGCATTTGGTGGCATTCCGGGGCTCGGCGCTAAAGCTGTTCTTTCCCACTCGGCGTCGGCATCGCGTTGCGGGTGGTATGCCTCGCGTGGTGGATGATAGGCGGGCACCATGCCGGCCGCCTCGTAACTCTTATCTTGGTAAGGCGAGATGGGGGACATTGGTGATACAGGTCTTGCTGGGCGTTGCGGCGGCGACATCTCGGAAGCGTGAGGCTGAGCGTGTGCGATGAGGCTGTCGCTTTCGTTGTCGGCGCGGGCGGGACGTGGCGGCGGCCTCGAAGGCTGTAGGTAGGTGCTGCGGCGGAATTCGGTTGCGATGGGAAGATGGTCGGTACTCTTCGCTCCGGGGCGGGCGTAGGAGGTGTCGCCCTTGTCGAGATCATCCATATCCAAGCTGGCGGCCGTCTTGTAGCTAGGGTCCTCCTTGCGGCGCTTGACACCGCAGAGGAGCCAGCGCATGCCACGACCGAAGGCCTTGACAAAGTCCCAAAGGTTGAGCGCATTTCCAATGGCACCAAAACCAAGCCAGCCTCCGGATGGAGGCCCATGCTCATTCTCGCGCGGGTGAGCGTTGGGGTCTCGGGAGTCGGGCGTAGGATAGAAGGTGGGTTTCGCGCCGGGAGCGTATGGTCTCCACGGGAAAGCCCAGAGATGCAGGAGGGCAAAGAGTGCCATCTCGAAGCATAGTAGTAAGGCGGGGATGCCGACCTTAATGTCGGGATAGGCGAGGACCTCGTTCGGGTGGACGAGATCGAGAGTAGATGTGGCGACGGAAATACAGGTGACCTGCCAGAAGGAGAAGAAGACGACTAGCTTGATTGCCAGGACCTTGAGGAAGGGCGAGTGCGGTGCAAGAGCTTCGCGCATCTGGACGTAGAACTGGATGACGCAGTACATGGCGATGGTCACGGCTACACAGTTGATTGAAATGACCTATGGCTGTCAGTGGAGACCCTCAATGTGCGCAAGCAGGGAGACATACCCAAATGTGAGCAAAGACCGGGTTGTTGGAGCTCTCGCAGTATCTGTGGAAGTATTGAGAGACAACCGCGGTGACGGTCATGGCAACACGGATAAAGACATAGTGATAGATACCGATCCAGTTGATGTTGAACCAAGTCAAACCGCTCTTGGGCGTGCGCCAGGGTCCTCTGTCACCACCACAGCACTTGGCGAACCAATTCAGGGGCCAGACCCAGGGCTTGATGGGGTGCAGGTTGCGGAAGTATTCTTTTTGAGTGTGTAGATCCGGGGCCAGGTAGTGGCACATGAGGGAGAAGAAGGAGGCAATGGCGAAAGCTTCATAGCAGTCGCTCATGACCTGGAAGTAGACGGCGTGCCAGTAGTAGTATAGTTGGAGAAAGGATGAGGCAGCGTAGACGGGGACCATGAACAGGATACGGATGATTTGGCGCTGCTCTCGTGGTTTCGTGTAGTTGTTGGCGTGCATGAACACTAGATACAGAGACAGGCTGATGGCGATGATGGTACAGGAGCCGGCGATGACGAGGGCGAGGTCGTGGAAGGTCAACGGGCCGGCGATGAGGATCTCGGAGCCGGGGAGGACTGGAGCACGGGAGAGACATTTGTTAGCTTCATTCGGGCGGCCGGGGCAGGAGGGAGGATTTGCGGGTTAGCTGGATGACGTACTCCTCATGTCCTCGAGGGTGGAATTACACGTCAAATTCATATTGACGGTTCAGCGCCCACGAAGGGGTGGCCGTTGGGTGCTGCAGAACGTTGGGCCAAGAGCGAGACAGCGGTAAAGAGGTGTCGCGGGATCGAGGAAGTCGAGGTTCGGTGTGGACGGTGACGTTGCGTGGGTTGGGTTTGTGAGTGCCAAGACTCGTCGGCTGCAGGTACCAGAGCGGATGACCAGGTCTTGGCGGAGCTTGTCGCTCGTGGCTGCTCGGTGGTGGTGCGGAGGAGGGTGTTCCTTCTCGCGAACACGGCCGGACGAGACGACGTAGAAAAGGATCAAAAAGAAAAGAGTAAGGGTCCAGTGAGGTTATCTCCTCCTCTTTTGATTGCCAGACGCACTGCAATGCAACGCCCTCCCTCTCTTTTGCCCAGGATTCCGGCTCTCGAGTCGCGAGTCGCAGTTCGATTGGAGTGTGGTGTGTGGTGTGTGGTGTGTGGTCGTGTGTCGTGCGAGGTCGCCTGGTCCCAACAATGTCCCAGGTCGATCCTCCTCTTGCAAGATTCCACAAAAGATTACCGGCCGTCGCGCGTGCGCAATTACAATCGTCGTTCGAGTATCTTATCTTTTTCCGTGCTGCAGCTGCTGCCCTCGTCGCATTTGTTCTGTGTTCGACCCCGGTGCCGCAACAAGAGACCAAAAATAAAAGAGTACTGGAAGAAAGGGGGACGGTTGAAAGTGGTTCCCCCTGAGGTCGAAGAATGAAACAGAAGACGCACCCGAGAACAGAGGCTGTCGTGAAGCTGACAGCCAAGAGAATGATTTGGGAAGAGGAGGGAAAGAAGAAAAAAAAAACAAGAGGAAGGAAGGATGCGAAAACGGAGGGGAATGGAGACTTGAGAGAGAGGCGAGACACGAATGAGCAACGGTATGAGCCACCGGGATTGGATGTGCGGTAAGGTAGGCAGTGTGGTAGGTAAGGTGGGAAGCCAGGAGCAGGATCCGGGGTCAGCAAATGGCAGTCCAGTCCAGTCCAGTGCGAGATGATGCCTCTTGGTGGCCTGTCCCATGCCAATCCCATCTCGTCCATCCATCCATTCCGCCCAGCTCCTCCTGCTTTCCTGCTCCTCCTCCCCTCCACTGCTGGGCCGGTGCTGCTCCGTCTGTTGCGCTGCGTCTCGCTGCAGCCCCCCGTTTGTCGAGTGGCTGTGCCAAGGGTCGCTAAGGCGGCGCGCTAAGATTACAGGGCCGCTGACGAAGGCACCGTCCATTCAGCAGCGACCTCCCTTCCGCCTCCGGGCCAGCACAGCACCCTCCTTCAGGGGTTCTCCTTCCATGTGAATGGCCAGACGCCATTCGCCTTTTGCATCATGCTGCATCTCGCGCACCTATTTCTTCCAAACCGTCCCAACTTCTCGCCCATCGCATTAACGACGAAGTGGCCTAGCATCTGGTATGACGCACTTTAGTGCTGACCTCGCTCACCTCACAGACACCATCGCGAACCGCGCAGGTCACGGACAGACAGAGGGAGTGCCAGAGAGAGGCTCTGCCAGCCATCGATCGCACCAAGCAGCACCGCGCACCACATCGTCCGTCGCATACTTACGGGAACGCGTACACTTACGGGGCATCTTATTTGATTTCCAAATAAGGCCCTGGGAATTCGGAACCAGGGAGGGGGGCAGCGGGCAAGGGGAGGGGCCCACGGGAAAGGAAACATGGCTCCCTCCCTCACCTTCCCGCGCGGCGGTCGCGGCCAGCACCCGGGTTTAATGAAGACATCCATTGAGAAGACGCACACACACACGGAGAACGAATAACAAAACAGTTCCAAACGGAAACCAAGTCATACCAAGTATCCGTACCAAAAAAAATTCCCCGGACGAATCTCAGACTTCGCCTTATGCAGGGACTTGTCTTCTCATTCCTCCTCCCGCCGACCACGACCACCACCGCCGAAGCCGGGACCTCCTGAAGTCCCCGTCGTTGTACGACACCTCGCAAACTCGGACGAAGGAGGGTGATCAAACGCGAGAAAACTTTTGATGAGACGAACACTGCGGACGTTTGACATTTTGGCAGGCGAGCAACGCCCGACAACAGCAACGACAACGACGACGACGTCACATACGTAATCGCAATGTAAAAAAGAAAGCACGTCCTTTTCAATCCAGAAGCCAACCGCGGCAAACACACACGTCCCATCGCGACTTGGGGGACGGGTTTCTTACACCGCAGACTAAAAAACTCAATGCATCCGAAATAATATGCCAAGCATCGCCCGCCCAAGTCCCGGCACCACACCCGCCCACTTTCCGCCGCGCTGAGCTTAAAAAAAACATTAGCTGAAGCTATTCCCAGCCCTCAGCCACAGTGGGCGACCCAAAGGCAGCCACCATGCGGCGTATTCGTACACGCAGCCCCGGACCAAGGCAGTGAGCGACAATCCCAACCCGCCGCCGTAAAACAATACGAGAGAGCGTGGATCCAGACATGCGGGACTACGAGTCAAACCAACATCGCCATCTCCCCCAAACGTGCATCATTCTTTCACAAGAGACATCATCTCTTGCAATACCTTTCAACAGCCCCCAACATCTTTAATTCCCAACATCCACCGTACAACCATCGTCTGAAATTACACTCAGGACCCTACCAAATATCTGCCCCCAAGCATCAAATATCCCATAGCCCCAACTCTGTTTCGAAACATGCGACTTTCCTCTGACCCTCGCTCCCGTGTCTCCCTTTCCCTTCCTGTGTTCCGCGTCAAATCTTATTCTTATCTCGGCCGTTATCAATCGGCACTCGAAGCATCGCCCGCCGTTGGATGGTTTTTTCCACAGGGCACATACCCAGATCAACTGCAGTAGCGCAGAGGACTTTGACTTTGACCTCAACGTAAAGAACCAAACACAGGTGCGGTGCCGAACCCCCTTGGCGGCAGCACGCCGACAACAGACGGAGGCTCCGTTAGCTCGCGGCATCCCCCTTTCCCCCACGGAACAACGAAGCCACTTACAAACGCCTCCAAATCTCCCAGCCGCAAAATCTGCAAAACTACTGGATTTAAACTCGTTTCCGCGTCGCGTCATCGAGACAGAATCGGTCCTTAGCCCCAAGCCTCGTCGCGATCTCCAACCTCTTCCCTCGTGAAAACCCCTGAACGCGCTTCGACGATGCGGCTGACAGCGATCGCCCGAGAGCGGCAACATCTTCCCATCCTCCTCGCAAGTGATATCACAAGGCGATTAAGACTGCAAACGCAATGTGAGAACAGTAAGACCGCAACATTCACCAATAACAATCGCCCAAAAGACCCCTAAAATCCCATCCCGCACGCACGCAACCCGTATTCCAATCCCCAGTCCACCAACACAATCAGATCACACAGCTCATCCTTTCCCTTCCCGTCCGTTTCAACGTTTCAAAACACCCATCATAAAAGGCCAAGCTTTTTTTTCCCCAGCTGCGCAAAACGGGCCACAATCCATGTCCATAACACGCCCAACTCAAATAAAAAATTACGAAAAATGACATCAGCTTCTGACACTCTCTCACTCACTCACTCACAGTTGCACGCGCACGCAAACCTTTTGCAAATAGCGATCGGCAGGAACTCGCTATCCGCACCCGGCCCCGACCCTCCATGAACATCAAAATCAGTGCACCCGACACACACACACACACACACACCTTACGCGAAGGATGGAGCTGTTACTGCGCGCATTGCATTCCGGTGGGTCAAGTCAAGTAAGCCATGTCATCAGATCATATCATTCACAGCCCGCAAAGCTTTTCACGACGGCGGCAAGGGGATCATCCCGTCCGCCGTATCGAATACGCACACCGGCGTCCGTGAGCCGCCCGGGACCTTGACACCCCCCCCAAACGGCTCCGGCCCGAGCCAGGAAGGAATCGAGGCCATGATTCCGAGACAACGGCGGCGATTAGAACAGATCTGAACATCACATCACATCTGTTGCACACCAGATAGGGGACTGCATCTCTTGAAACATCATTTACGTGTCTATTGTGTTATCAAGATTCTCGCGATTAGAAGTGAATAGAACTTTTCTCCGTGCGCTTGCCGGTGCTCACGACGATCATGGAGAGGACGCTGTTTTCACGTTGCCCTTGCCCGAGACCCTCGTGGCTACACGACCTGTGCCCACGGCAGCTCAGCTCGACAACCGTCGTGCGACCCTCCCCGCATTGCCAATGGCCTACTACGTGTCTTCTGAGCACCGTCACCCATGAACTGTGTCCTGTGAACGCGTAATGGTGTCAATTGTTACCGTCTGTAACCAATCTCTCCCACCCAGCCGTTCGTGGCTGACTGGCGTCCAGTCCACGTTTCGCCCGTGTATGTACAGATGCCGTCCATCATTATACCAGTGGACCCATGGCCAAATCTCATACCGATGGCAAGTCCCATCTTCTGCGACCACTGAGTGCAGATTATAGTACTATTCTTCGTCTCCTTGCTTTTATCTTGCACTCCCGTCATGTTGCCGAAAACCACAAATCCAAGGGGGTGAAAACGAATCTAAAATTATGCCAACCATCAATTGGTGGCCCTCGTGTTGCCCATGTGATGATGTGCGTTCGTGTCCGTGACTCAGTGGTCTGATGCCCATACCGTGTTGCTGCAGGTGTCGTTGACTTTCGCCCGAGGGCCCTCCCGTGCCCGGTGTTGCAGCGAGGGCGCCTCATCCAATGCCCTTCCCTATTCTGCCCTGTGAAATGAAAATTGAAACGCCGCCCTGGTATCTCAAAAGCGCAATGCAAAGACCGAAAATTTGTAATGGGGCCGAAATCGTGTGCGTCGTTAATGATGATGTGTTGTCATCCGGATCCGCCCGATGTCCCCATCCCCTCATTCAGGATCGGGGTTGGTCGCCCGCAAGACTGGTTTATGAACCTTGCGGGAATAATCTTGGTCGTCGCGCAATGTGTTGATGCTCTCGGCGCTCTTGTTGTTCAGGTACAGGCCCCTTCCGAGGGGCTCCATGCGAGGATCGTGTGCCATGAGGCGACTGCGGCGGTGGTCGCTGGTCGAGTCGGCATCCCATCGTCCACCATCAACTGTCACAACCATTTCGGGATTGCGCGGTGAGCCCGTCATACCGGCTGAGCTGCCACGGTGGCTGGGCTCGTCGTACTTTTCGTTCTCCTGGTGTTGCTTGCGTCGTCGGAAGAACAGGAAGAGACCTAGTCCTGCAAATGCTACCACGGCGGCAATAACTCCCACAACCACTCCAACGACTGCACCGGTGCTCAGTCCATTCGATGACGATGCCGAGCTCGAGGGGGACAGCTCTGATGCCCCTGTCGCGCCATCGGTTCCCGTAGCCGTAGGAGTGACAGTAACAGTCCTAACGGTTCCATCGGCGGTGACGGTCTGGACAGACGTCTGCGGTTTTCTCGATGTCGTCGTTGTCTAGCGCACAAGTCAGCATCAACTCTCGAGAAACGCACGTTGCCATCTACGAAATTGACAATCGATTTACGGCGTGTTGATGGGGATTGCTGAGGCGTACTGAAGTGGTTGACGGGGTCGTCGACGTTGTTGGGTCGGAGGTTGTCGTTTTCTGAGGTGTCTCAGTCTCAGTTACTGTGACTTGAACGGTTGTTGGGACAGGGGCCGGAGGGGCCTGGTTCCAGACGATTAAGCCAGGGCATCACATGGGTTGGTGAGGTGACGAAATTCATCGGCCAAGAAAATCACGCAAGAAATCATGCACATGCTTCACGAAACATCAGGAATGGGGGAGACTAACTTGTGTTGTTGACGCCGCAGCAGCAGAGGTAGTGGCGGCATCGCCGCCTGCGGTGCTAGTAGGGGTCTTTGACAACTGAATGTACCCGTACCAGTTCGGTCGTGAACCGCACTTCTCGGTGTCGTAGCCGGGACAAATGTCGTTGCATTTGTCTTCGACATCGGCTTCGGAGGACGCGGCCGGGGCGACGTCGGAGCACCAGCAAGACTGGTACTGAACAATGGCGAAGGCAAAGTTCTTGCCTCTGCAAAAGTCGGAACAGAGACCGTTAGTCTGCCATATACTGAGATCTGTGGCCCCATATTAGTATTGGGTTTTCAAATGTAATTCATACGAAGGCTCGTATCGGCTAGCAGGGAGTGAGACGTCGATGTCGATCCATTGAGCCGCCGCTTTGCCTTCAGGGAACTCGTAGACGTACTTGCGCTCATTGATGCCGTGTTTGAGCTTGAGCAGAGCGTCTGCTTCAGCTGTCTTGGTTCCAACATCCTGGAGTCGAGCATTCTAGGGTCGGGCGTGGCGTTGGCCAGCGCGGCACATGATAGAATGACGAGGGCAAAGATGGCCCAGCATCTCGTGAATCGATCGGTGAATGCCATTTTTCTGTTTTGCGATGGGCAAGTCTGAAAAGAAAGTAGCAGTCAGCGTCGGTGTTCGAAACCGAGGGGAAAGAATGATTTAGGTTCCGGCATAGGCTCGGAACCCGTGACTGGGGGAGATGTAGGACTCACAATTCCCGGAGTCAAGGCCTCACAAAGCTGACATCTGACGTCTGGATCGGTCGGTGGGCAGCGGGAGGAAAGGTTAAAATCCCACTTCCAAGGTGTGATCCGTTGCTTGTCCTACACGACCACGCAGGGCAGTCGGGAAACCGCACGGTAGTCGACGCTGTGGCGAAGACGGCAACGAAGACGTCTCGACTGGTCGAACTGGCGAGGATGTCGAAGGGAAGATGGTCTTCTTTACGAGCAAACGAGAAGAGCCTCCAGTGCGTACCTGCTCGAGCGAGGATGTGGCCGGTTGAGCGGAGGGTTCTGGAAAAAGGGCAGGAAGGGAAGTCGACCGGGCCGTGGCGTTCGTACAAGATTTGTTGGCGCCAAGTGTGGACGGAGGGCAGAAATGATGAAAGTGGGCGAAATCAAGGTGAAGGCGCGGAATGATACTAGCAGAGGCAAGCCAAGCACCGACCAAGCGACTGGATGATTGCCCCTAGAGACAGCTAGCGCGTGGATTGGGAATAAGAATGGGGGACCTTTGAGACAAGGCAAGACCGCCGGGTGCGCAAGCAGACGAAGCGTGGTCGAGGTATATTATGGCGCTCCTTCTTGGGTGAAAGTGCCGGGTGTGCGTGTCGTCGAGGGAGTAACCTGGCGCCTGGGGGTGGAGGAAGGGCACACAAGGTCGGACAGGGCAGGCAGGATGATGCCGTCGTGGGATACCAGGCGTCCTTGGGATCAGGTGCCGGTTCGGTTGGGTGGTGAGGAGGAGGAGGAGGAGGAGGCGAGGAGTGAGGTGAGGTGAAGAAAGGTTAGAGGTGTCGATGGTCAGGCAGTCCTGGGAAGAAAAGAAGCAGGAGCCAAGAGGAGGGAAGCGAAAGAGGCAGGCAAGGAAGGCAAGCGAGCGAAGTGGTTGGTGCCGAGCAGCAGCAGCAACGCAATTGAGATCCGGTATCCGTGGAGTAACCTGGAAGGTATCTGGTATCTACCTAGCTACTGCGGATAGTATCTGCAGACTGCAGCCACAGGAAAGGTAACAGAAGAGCGGCGCCGGCAGCGGCTGTAGGCAATGTAGATTGTAGAAGCAGCAGCAGCAGCAGCAGCAGCAGCAGCAGAGTGAGACCCCGAGCAAGCAAGCAAGCAGGCAGGCAAGGACAGGGAAGCGAGAGACGAATGCTGGGTGCTGCAGCAAAGCGATTGTGTGGTGGTGTTGGGTATTTCCCTCCTTCCTCTCTCTGTGTTCTCTGTGTTTTTTCCCTCTACGGTGACCGGGGGGTGCTGGACAGACTAGCCAAGGTGGAAAGGTAAAAATTTAGAGGTGCTCGGGGGGCAGGAATGGAAGGAAAAAAGCCGAAGAAACGAATGGAGCTTGGCTGAAATGCGGAAGAAGGCAGGGGAGAAGGGAACGAGAGGCGAGAGGAAGACAACGTTCCCAGAATCGAAAGAGCAGAGCAGAGCAGCAGAGGTGGAGCGGCGGAGGGAAGTTACAGGTAAAAAGGCAGAAGTCGGGTCGCAGCTGCACCTCACCTCAGTCGACGACGATTCGATTCCAGGTTAGCAGCTAAGCAAGGCAGGCAAGCAGAAGCAGGGCAGACAGACGGATGCTGTGGATGGAAATGACGGCTGGTGCGAAAGTCGACGCTAGCAGCATGGGAAAGGAATCGACCGAACACCTCACTGATTCACCGCGACTGGAGATTGGGACGTGGACTGGGAAGCAAGCGCAAAACGGGCAAGGACGTGGAAGCAGTGGATGGACGCCCGGGAGAATAATGGGGCAGTCACAGTCACCACCGGCGCTGCCATTGGGTGGTTGGAGCTTGCAGAAAAGAGTGGGTTTGACGTGACCGGGGTGCTTCCAAGACTGTCCAGGACCAGGACCAGGACCAGGACCAGGGTCACGAACAAGCCAAGACCCAAGACCAGGACCAGGACTGAGAGAGGAACACGACCCGACCACCATTGGCTTTTTCTTCCCTGAGTCCTCAAGGCTAACGGGTAGCCAATTGCTCGAGGGATTGGCGTCTGCCTTCGGGTTCGGGCAATTCTATGGGTCTCATGTCTTCAGAATCCAGTCCAACACTGAGGCATCTCGGTGGCATTGTGCTACCTATGTTGCTGTGTTGTGTTATGTTATGCAGCCACGATGACTATGCACTCTCAATCGTCAACAGCCGACAGAAGACTGGCGTTGGCGGCCACGATAACCACTCCAGCAGGACCTCTCTCTCAAGACATGGCACAGCAGGCGTCAAGAAGAAACACCATTGAACCAAGCCAAACCAAACCAAACCAAACCAAACCAGTCCTACCACAGCGTTTGATGCTGCTGTCGCTGTTCACCGTTGCATCCACCACCCAATCTGGTTCCACGTCCATTGAGCAGGAGCCCTGCTATCGGGAGCTTCTGGTCCTCGCCCTCGTCTCCTGCCTCTTTGCGATGGATTTTTTCTGCCCGCTTCTGTGAAAGCTTTTTTTTTTCTCTTCATAAAACAGCACATAAGACTCGGCATACCTTATCTGGCCTTATCCATATCACCTTCTCCAAATCCCCATGCCCGGGCAACCTGGACTCCCTTTCTTCATCTCACTGCCCTACGGCCCATGGGCAGGGAATTGAGCAATACGCGGCGACGCCAGATAGATGGGCGGCCAACGTCGACACAACATCCCGGGCGCAGCCACTCAAGAGTCCGCCCGCGCGGCCGGCGCATCCATCCCGAGCTGCCCTGAAGCGGTTTAGCACTTGTCAGGCGTGCAGGGTCTCGATGAACATCGAAATCAAACGCAGAGTGCGGACGGTCCGAGAAGACAGGTCCGAGTGCGCTGGCGCTGGCTGTCGCTGAAATGGCGAGCCATGAGTGGATAGACAGACGCCGTCTCTTCCCTCACCTCTGTCGATTGAGCCGCCTTTATTACCTACCTTACCTCACTCCCTATTACCGCTATTGTCCGCTTCCCCCTTTCCCTTACAGCACACACACACGCACACACTTCATGACACCATGCCGTCCATCGGCCACCATGATCTGACGAGAGAGCACAGAGAGCACAGCACTGTCATTGTTCAGGGCTGTCACTGCGCGAGACCGGCGGCGGCGCGAGAAGACCACCATTGACACAGTACCCCCTGCTGTAGCATCCTGCCTCTTTACCCCCCTGTTCCCCTGACACCATGTCGAATGTCGTCACTCCCCCATCGCCAAGCGGACATGCACAGACCATGCCACCATGACAGCTGAGCGAGCCTGATAGGCGGATCTGAGAAAGTCGAGGTCGGGTACGGGTACGTGTATCTGTGTACCTGGCCGATGTTTATTCAGCAGGCATGATGCCCGCATTCCTTGCCGTAGCCCGGCTGCGAACCTTAGCTGCGCGGCGGTAACAAGCGAGAACATCCCCAAGACTCAGGTCTCCAAATCCTTCGTCCCCTGCTCCAACTCTTCCTCCCCAATGGAACCGCTTAAAAAAAGTGAAGCGCTGAAAAACACGACAGAGTTCGACCCCACAGCGGTGATCTCGCTGCACAGGCAACCAGGGGGGCCACGCCCTCCCAATTTTGGAAGAATTCCGCCGCAGCCTCTCAGCGTCCAGTCCAGCACATCCAGTTGCCAGCGCTACACTACCGTGACTACCTAGAGGCGTTGCAACGAACGACACGACGCCTACCACCTCACCCAATCTTTATTTCGTACGGATACTCCGCACTATTCCATCGTCACATCATCCAGAATGCGGCAATCCTACAACTCCGACAGATGCCACTGCAACGACAGACACACATCGAAAATTCCAAAGCTGCGAGGCGGCAATCACGTTGTTGGCTGGCTGGATCTTCACCTCTGAAATCTGCCCCTTTCATCTCTTTGCTTATTTTAATTCTGCCCACTCTGCTGATTGTGTCCAAGACGTGTCTGAGTCGTGATGCATCCACCACTCACCCCCCAAGCCAACTTTCTTTATTGCCTTCGTTTTGCTTGTTCCTGCTGTGTGCAGGGCGTCCACGTTTTGTTTGCTATCTCGCCTACTCTCAAACACACAACAGTGACCTATTGCAATTGCCCGTTTTCTGTCCCGACTCCCCGCCGCCCGGGTTGTCGTGTTGTTCAGCTTATGAAGGGCATCCATTGGCATGGGTGGTGGTGCTCCTTCGCTTTATTGGAATAATTGCGGTTTATGAAGGTCCCCTGCGTCCTTCCCGCTGCTAATCCAGTCAAACGTAGTTCCTTGGCCCCATCCGGACTTTGCCTTATGACTGAGTTGTACGAGGGGATCCCTCGAGGGCGTCTTCCTCCCATTGTTCGCGGCGTCAATACGAGCCATGGCCGGGACCGCCGGTTGTCTCGGTCAGCGAAAGCAGACAAATCGCACGAGGACCCTACTATCTGATACTTTTACTGCTTATTGCCCTTCCCACCTCTCTCTTTGGCCGTCGGGTTGACCTGACGCCCGGGTCTCACCAAAAACAGGCTGCCGGCAACGGGGCACATTCACGATCATTCCTATCGTTGCCCCGGGCGGGAATTATCACTAAAACACCGCTTCTTCTCTGGCACGTCGAGTCATTTCCGTTCCATCAAACTCCATTTCTACCGGTTCTCTCGGCTTCACTCAATGAATCACCGACCCGCCCCGGCCGTCTCGAACCCGTCAAAGGTGAAAGGCGAGGCCCCGGACCTGAATCCTCTGCAGTCTCATCCCTCTTTCTGGTCAAGCAACTGTTTATCGTTCCTTTCCACACGTCCCACACTCACTCACTCACATCAACAACATCGACTGCGCTGCCGCAGTCCCCCCTACCTAACCCATTCGCGCGCGCCGATAGCAGCCTAGCATCGCTGCCAATTTGGCATCTTGGTTGCGACCGACCATCGAAACTTGGC